GAAGTTTAAAAAGAAGAGAAAGAAATAGTAGCAGAAAATCTTCCAAGCCTGGAGAAATGTTAAATATGCAAATACAGGAAGGTCAAATCAAAAGTTTCTAATCATATTCAGTCCAGTTAAGACTATACCTAAAGACTATATCACCAGATATATTATAATCAAGAGGAACCAAGCTACTCTTTCAACACTTTTAGAATTTTCCTCAGCTAAATATTTAATTTGGTCACTAGTAAGTTGTTCCTATTTAAAAACACTAGAACATTAGGACACTAATATAATTCAGTCTTTTTTTTGGCCACAGTGTAACAAGCCATCTTTTATCCATTGTCAAATAACATGTTCCTAATTTCTGAGACCTTACCAGAATGGTCTTTACTCTCCATATTTCTACCAAAATTCTGCACTTAGGATGTAGGCTTTCTCTCCAGCTCTCCACTGTTCTTCCTAAAAACCCTCTCCAAAATCACCCTTAGCATCCATTTTTCTTTCTACCTTACACTTCAGAACTCTTCCAGCCCCTACTTATTACTTATTTCCCAAGTTACATTTTTAGGTATTTGCAATAACAGTATTCCACTTTTTGATCTCAATTTCTATCTTAGTCAGCTCAGGTTAATAAAGCAAAATACCACAGATTGGGTGTCTTAAGCAACAGACTTTTATTGCTCACAGTTCTGGTACAGTTCTGGTGACAGGAAAGTCCATGATCGAGATGCTGGCAGATTTAGTTCCTGGGAAAGGCCTTCTTGTAGTTTACTGATGTTTGCTCTCTAACTTTGGCCTTATACTGTAGAGAAAAGGGGGATGCTCTGGTCTCACTGTTTTTAAAAATGTCACTATTTCCATCATGAGGGTTCCACCCTCCATATTTCATATAATCCTAGTTTTTTCCCAAAGACTCTACCATCAAATGCCACCACACTTAGGTTGAGAGTTTCAATATATAAATTTGGGGGAGGGAAACAAATATTGGGTCCATAACAGATGGTAAGGAAGACAAAAAAATAATGATCCCATTATATAAAACCGCAGAAAATGTAAATGAATGTAAAATGTAGTTAATGCCCACAGAAAAAGAAAGATCAGTGATTTGAGGAAGAGTGTGGTAAGATGGAGGGATTCTAAAGAGCAAGAGGAGTTTTTTGGGGGGATGGATAATAGATACATTTGATGCAAAAATTTCAACAATTGTTTTATAGATTTAGGTATGTTATGATTTAATATTTTAAACAAAATCAGGTCATTTTATTCAAATGATATCTCAAGGTATTTTAAAAATTAATATTTTGTTGTACATTATTTTAAGTCTATATTATTTGCTACTTATTTATTTACTAAAAATCTAAGATAGAATTCTTTTATTGTTTTTTTCATTTCCTTAAGAATACATTTTATAATTGTTAAAACAATTTGAAGTTTTCATATACCCAGAAAAAAAAAGCACGTCTTGAATGAATTTCCAAAACCAATAAATTTACTTTTCTAACATTATCTAGATCAAGAAATGAAACAATACCAGAACACTGACTGCCCCCACGTCATTCCTTTTCCCAATAAATATCCCACCCATTTCTATTCCTAAGGTAATAATTATCTTGACTTGTAATCTTTTGTTAGATGTATTCCTTGGTATTTGGTTTTATTTTAAATGGCATTTAAACAAAAATTTTTTTTGTATTTTTATTAGTCTACTTTTTTGATGCTGTCTCTCTGTCTACAGGATTTTATAATCTAAACAAAGCTAAAATGTGAGAGATTTTACTCTATCATTTTAGCCAAGTCCACCAATCTCCCATGTCATTGCAGAACTTGGCATGTATCTAATTGAAGCAGCAGCCCTGTGTTTGGTTTCTTCTAGTTTTCTTTTTTGTTTGTTTGTTTTAATTTTTATTTTTTGGTATTAGGGATTTGTTGTTGTTATTTTAATACTGGGGATTGAATGCAGGGGCATTTAACCAAAGAGACACATCCCAGCCCTTTTTTATTTTCAGACAGGATCTCACTAAATTGCTGAGGATCACACTGATCCTCCTGTCTCAACCTCCCAAGTTGCTGGGATTAAAGACGTGCTCCATGGTGCCGGCTTGTTCTAGTTTTCAACACACAATTCTATTTCCATGTGATTAGATAAGTTTTGAGTTTCTCTTTCCCAGAGTTGATTCCCTATGTAATGAGTTAGTGAAGATTTCATTCCATATCCAGAATTTACAAATGCTCCAAGGGAAGAAAGTACTTGGATATACCTCTTCTAGGAAGGACTCAAACGTCAGTTGGCTTTTAATTTTTGTGATTCTTATTATCATACTTTCATTCACAGCTCTCCAAGATATTTGCAAATATGCCTTTAAACTTATCTTTTAAAATTTTTTGTTCCTGTTTTAAAATAGTCGCTGCACTGGTCACAGCAGTGAGTATGTTGGCCTGCCAGCAAGCACCTACTATATCTCACTTTGAAGTACAAGTCTTGATCCATTCTTTTTGACTTCTAATGTTGATGCTTTATGGTCAAAGAAATTAGTACTCCTGTGAATTTGCTAAAGTTTTCTTTGTGGCTGATACATAGTTTATTTCTGTAAATATTCCATATGTATTAGGAAAGAATACATCTTTTGTGTCAAATGTGGAATTCTGTACATTTATGGTTCAAACGTATTTAATAATGACTTAACTATGTTTTAGTCTTTAGTATATCAGCTTGTGGCTTTTTTTTTCTCCTCTTCTTGATCCATTAATTTTCTAGAGTTTGTTTAAAATATCTAAACATTTTCTGGTTTACCTATTTCCTTGTAGTATTATTTATCATTATTTTATTTTTAGGTTGTATTAGTAGATGGCATGCATGTTTAGATGGGCATAATTTTCTTGTTCTATTATCCCACCAGTACACATCATTTTTTCATTTATCCCTTAAATTTCATTCTTCATATATTAAAATTGCTGCCCTAGCTTGCTTTAGGTTTATATTTTTCTGGTATACTTTGTGGTCACACTTTTTATTAACTTCTGTATACTTTTCAAGTGTGTTTTATAGACATATTGTTGGACCTTGCATTTATAATTATATTAATCATAGTTTAAATATAATATAAATATAATCATCTCCAAGAAGTTTTAACCCACTTAGGTTCTTTGTGATTGCTGCTGTATTAGCAATTGTCTAACATCTACTGTAGTATTGTTTTGCCTCTCTCCCTACTAGTGAGGCCACCAAATAGTTTTCTTCTAATGGTTGAAAAGCAATATTCTTTGATATTTTTGGTAGTATTTTTCAACCTAAGCCACATAATCATGTTTATTTACTCTAATGATGTGTTTAACTTAGTATGTTTTGAGTGGATACATTATTAGCAAGCTTTCCGATTCCTTTTGTCTTTCTCTCCCTAATCCCCCTTTCTGCTTTATGTTGTATATATTTTCTGTTTCTTTCCTTCTTTCTTAGACTTGTTGTTCACTGGCTATAGGTCTGAGGGAGGAAGGAGGGAACAGATGACTGTGGATGCGATCAGTAGACCATTGGATTCATGGTTTTAGGGCTTGGAGAAAATTGGGGCTAAACATTTGGAATATATATAGCTGCCACTATTATTCTGTGAAGAGAAAGAAGGGGAGGGAGGGAAAAAGGTGAGAGAAAACATTAGCGGTAGGCTGGAAAAAGAAGCCAGCATATAAAAACTTTAGATTCACAGACAGATGGTCATAAAGAGATCACATATTATATATGTACATGCCAGGAATTTACAGATATCTGTATTGGATATAATAAATACATATTATTATATATAATGACTCTGCTGATGGTCGAGTTACTGTGTGATTCCACTCTCAAAGGTAAGTTACCAGGCCTATCAGGGTCCATTCAAAACAAGACTGGTCAGAAGTGGTCTTGTTACAGTTAGAAAACTTTTTAAGCCTGATTCTTTAGTTAGAAATAAAGAATGGCAGAGAAACTCCCTATCATTAAAATAGTTCCCACTCTCCAGCCTGCAACTGTCCAAAATAAAGTTTACTTGAAATAGTCTATGAAATGGCTAATAAGATCTAACTATCACTCATACTTCAGCATGGATTCATTTAATATGTCTACTTTCTCATTCTGAAACTAAAGTCACAAAGAGGGCAGGAATAAATAAGTTCTGATTAATAAAATCTTTTAGAAAGGGCAAACTAGGATCATTTTTGAAGGCTAGTTTACTCTAAGCAGAATGATGGCAACAGATTCTTTTACAATATAAATGCTATTTATGGGAAATGTTTTGCTTTGACAGCCTGATAAATGCTATTGATGAAAAAAGTTGGGTTCCAAAGAATGTGAATTTGTCTGAAATCCAATCATAGGTTACTTGAATATTTTCTTATGTAATCTCCCTGATGGCAGTGAAGAGCAGAAGAGCAAGGTAGCAACATTTCAAGTATCTTAGTTCTCATTTATTCACTTAAACTTAATCCCACATTTATTTTAGGCTACCTATGTACAAGCAATGGATCTTTAAATCTCTTTTTGGGATCATGACCATCCCTGGTATCTTGGTGTTTTTGATATTTCCTTTTAGCACTGATCAATTCAAAAGTATCAAATGTGAACATTTAAGCCATGTGTTTATACTAGTAATTAGGTACCAGGAGCTGTTCTAAGTTTCCTGAATATATTAATGTATAAATTATATAAATCCCTTTACTAACTTTATAAGGGAAGTGTTTTTCCAAACTTGCAGATGAGGAAGTTGAGTGTATACATGTTAAACAACTTCCCCCAAATTGTGATAGCAGAATTTGAACCCGTGCAGACAAAGAACTTAAACTTGTATAAAATTCCAAGTTTAACTGTTTCATTTTCTTGATTGCTTTGTCCCCTTTGAGAATGTACTATGGAAGAAACTAATTTCATGTGGTTTTCTCATATCATTGGTAATAAATTAATATCAACTCTTCTTTCTTCATCAGGGCAAAAACCTCTATACACAATATTATATTTTTTTTTCAAAACTGAAATGCAAGTCAGATTAGGTTTTAAAAAGTACCAATTTAATACTTAATATTTAGAAATAAGGTACACAGAGACACAATAGTAATACAAAATACATACAATTTTAAACTGCATTCATTTGAACCCTTAGCATGGATGGCTGACAGCTTCCCAGACATATAATTTTGGACCATGTTATCAGATTTTTTGGGGGGTGTGTGTTTATTTAAAATACATATATTCATGCAATTAGATTTTTTAAAAAAATAAATATGACAATATATGGATTTCTGAAGTATAAATTGACATACAAATCTATATATTTTCTTAATATTTTCATTAAAGAAGCATTCTATAACATGAAACAGTTCAATTTAGATGTAATGAAAAGGCATGAGGTTTTATTAGAATTGTGTAACTCACATACTTACAGAACAGTAAACACAACATTGTAAAACAAAATTACATCATTATTTTTCTCCACATCATCAACTTCAGAAAACTACTTCACTGGAATAATTACAAAATTCCCAATTCCAAATGTTAATAAGGAAACTCATAGAAGAGCAATTTGGGAAACTGAATTTTACCTTCTGAGAATTAGTGGAGTAACACAGTATTGCTCCTGGGGATTGTCAAAGCTTTGCTAGAACTCCTGGGGTGTAGATTATTTTATAAAATAGTAGAACTAAAACTCCATCCACTTACCAGCACACGAGCTTGTGATAAGCTTTCCCTTCGAAACAAATGTCCACAACTCTGAATCACAGGTTAGTGAACTGGTCTTAAATGTCCTCACCCTCAACTCTTCAAAAAGGTAGCTCTAGAGTAAGAAGAATCCATTACGTTTTCTCACCTGAATAGTTTGAATTTTTATTTTGAATTTATATGTAAGAAACAATAATCTTACACATAAGCAAGTATGATAAAACTTAAGATTTAATTTTCAAAGAAAACAAGTTATTTATTTATCAGAACATATTCCTTAGTGTTAACTAAATTAAAAAGTTAACACAGGAGAGGCAAAAAGATTTTCCTGAACTAATTAAGAACAGTAGTCCTTAACTCTAACTACAAATTAGAACCAAATGGAGTTTTGAAAAAAACTGAAGCATGACTCCATCACAAGGGGTGGGGTCCATATTGAAACCAGATTTGGAATAATTAATAATTATTAATTACTCAGGATGGATTTTGTCTAAATAATTTAAAATTCAAATACATGAGTATTTCCTGTGTGACAGACACTTGCTCTGAATGCTAATATAATTCTTTTGCTGTCACAAAAGATTTCCTTTTATTTTCCTGAAATGTCCTCCACTTAAAATTATCATTGAAGACATCACCTCAGAAACATTCTCAAGATAGAATGGACAGAATGTAATAACTTAATTTCATTTTTCAAGTCATACTACATGATGTATTCTCTACCTTCTATTTGAAGTCACAAAATCATAATCTATGAACTGAAATAAGATATTGCTTTAATGTTTAATAGAATCTCCTGGGTCAAGAATTAATACCCACTGGCATCCATGCTTGCTTTAAATTGCCTAGAAAAATCTATGCCAGATCCTCTGGGAACCTAATAAGACTGGGTTTTTAATGCAGATTATGTTTCTTGTGACCTATTTATAAAACATTTCTTAAAAACATTACAGGAATATGGTTTTAGAGACATATATAATTAGAAATTAGTTTTCTCAAAGGAACTAAAAAGTATAGTTTTTGAAATACTACATAATTAGAAATTAGTTACTATCCCAGAATGACAGCTTTCTTGAGCTTTAACATTTCAAATTATAACTTACTTTATAAAACTCATTTAAAATGTATTTTAACTAAAAAAAAAAGATTAGATTTCAATTAATAAATTTAACTTTTAATTTGTACCTACTTTCAATGTAACACATTTTTCAGGTTTCAATTTGCTAAAACCAAGGTGATAAATTTATTAATCATTTAGTAGGATAATTTTGTAATTGACAACTGGCCCAAATGATGCAATTTTGGTTAAATCATAATAAATGCTCATATATGCAAATGCACTAGAAAACAAATTGCTTTGTTTTGAAAACAATTTGTTTTCCATATTGGATAGAATTAAGACAGCTTAAAACATTTTTATGAAACTCAGTAGTTAAAATAAATATTTAATAATATATATACCACAAGATATCAAGAATTTAGTGCTTAAAAATAAACTTTGTCACATTGTTTTCAGTTAAAAAGAACTGAACTTAGTGGCTTAAAGTAAGAATAATCAAGGTGTCACTTTGAAAACAGAAAATTAAATTCAATAAAACTAGAGAGCTAACAATAAGATGAAAGAGAAGTCTACTATTACTCAGGAGTCTAAAGTTAAGAATTATCAGAGCTTCTCAATATGATTAATGTTAAGAAACATAACAGTTTGGGGATTAAAAGCTGAAGAACAGTCATGATTTAGTGGTTCATGTTTTGACTGTCAATGTGGAAAAAAAATACAGTATATGTGAGCACCATTAGAAGAGAGAGAGATTGTGTGTGTGTGTGTGTGTGTAACTTCAGCTGCTTCAAAACTGCATTGTATAATGAAGAACAAGTATGAAATTAAGAAAAACTATTCTTAAACTAACATGTCATAATTCATCTAAAATGTTTTACCCAGCATTCTTTCTAAAAGTCAACCAAATAATACAACATAAAGACCCAGTGTTCTTTTGTAGTGCAAAAATCTCTTGATTTAAAAGAATTATTGAAGAAAAAAAAATGTGTTCAAAAAATGTTTTTAACCCAATGCCAGTTTTCAACAGGTAAAGGAAAAATGGAGTGGCTAATAAATGGGAATTCATAGAATGAACCAGCACTTGTTGGATTTATCCTCAAAGAATCATAATCATTCAGGCTTCAAACTATTTTTAAGTCAGAGTTGTAAAGATTATTCTGCCAGAAAAATTTTCCTTCTATAATCAAAGTCACAAATTGATCAGCTGTAATTTGAAATTTTTGCTTTGTTAACCAAAACTAAAAACTTCTGCCATATCATATATGACACATATCTTGGGGTAACACAGGTCTTTAATGAAAAATCTTATTTTGATCCAATGTAGAGGCAGCCCATGATAGACTGTTACATATTCTTGATATTTTTCAAAGCTCCCAGTACAAGCAATCACATGATATAGATTGAAGTTTTTGATACCAATGTCACATTATAAAGAATAATGCTATTCTCCATTTAAAATACGTTCAATTTCTTCTAGTCTTTTTAAAGCAGCAACTCTCTTCTTCTCAATTTCTTTGATGTCTTTTGTTGTTTTTTGGGGGGTCTCTTTGTCTGCATTTTTTGCTAATTGTTTTTTGGATTTAGATTCAATTGTTTTCATTATCTGTGTTGGTCTGGATTCACTTCTGATTTCTTTTATATTTTCAGCTGGAAGTTTGTCTCCTTCTTCACCTGAAGTCTTATCAGCTGGGAATACTGGCTGTTCTACAAAACCAGATGAGGAAATTTTATCCCTGACTATACTCAAATGGCGTTGAATATATTCTTCATGTGGTGCTAATGCCAATGTTTCAACCAAGCATTTTTCAGCTTTTAATAAATCCTTCTCTTCAAAATAAACAACACAAAGATTGTGTTTTCCTTGCACATTGCTTGGATCCATCTCCAAAATCTTTTCAAAACATTTTTTTGCTCCAAGTATATCTTTCTTTTGATTCATCAGAATGTCTCCTTTTAAAATGAGACCCTTGATATGATCAGGGTAGTATCTCAGTAACTCTTCTAAAATTGGCAAAGCCTTTAATTCTTTTGCAGTCTGAGAATACAGGAGAGCCAGATTAAACAAAGCACTTCTGAAATCGGCTTGTAATTTTATAGCTTTCTTCATCCAAATCTCTGCCTCAGTGTCCTTTTTGTCATCCATGGCAAGCATTCCCAAATTGAAATAGCCATTAGCATCTTGTGGCTCTTCATTTACGTAGTTTAAAAGTCTTTTTCTAGCTTCAGGTCTGAGTTTAACTTCCCCTAGGAATCATTTTTTTTTTTTTAAAGATAATAAAATATTATTATCAAATGAATTGCATCTAAGGAACACAGTCATTTTCAAATATTTAATTAGATTACAAAAAGATAGCACCAAAGCAACTAATTTCTATACCTTAAATAAAAAACTAAAAGCAAAAAATCTCTCTTTATTGGAAAGATAAATATGTTTGAAACACTGACATAATTAAATGGTAGATCATTTCCTTTCCTTTAAAGTAGTAAGAGTGCTTCAGAAGCCAAAAGGGAAAAAAATAGTTTCAAAGTTAAGAATCTATAAGGAAATATCAAAGGAAGAATAGAGAATTAAGAGGACAAAGGTGTATGATTTCCCAAAAAAGACATCAATCTTGATTTTGTTAAATTATGACTTTATATTCTGAACAAGTTACTTAACATCTCTGGGTTAACTTACTGAATTTTACAAGAATTACTATGATATATATGTAAAAATGCCCAGCAAAAAGTAACTTATTGTTAAAAATGTTTCAGAATTATTAACTCAGTTTTCTGGCATATTATTTCAAAATTTTTAGGAAACTTCAAGGGCAAAAATAGACCATTATCTATTAGGCTTTAAAATTAGGATCTGAAAAACAAATACTTACTGAGATAATTTCTATGGCAAATAAGATTTTTTTCAGTTCTACAACTATACACTTTAGGGTGCAATCTTATATTGTATAATGAGCAGCCTTCATGATCATTATTTTACAAACCATTAGTTTTACTAAAAATTATACATTTTTGAACACCAACCATAAACTCTGTTCTTTTAATTCACAACATGATGAATATGGAAAATTTGAAAATAAATCACTAGACTTCAGTTACTAATGTAGCTCTATGAAGTTGGGAGGAGCTTCATTTATAACTTAGTAAACAGAAGATCGGTCAAAGTGAGCATATTAAAAATATTATAATTTTACGATTCTTTCCTTTTTGTAAATGTTTTAAGAAAAACATTTAAGAAATAAACAGCAATTACAAATAAAAAGATCTTTCCAACATAAAGTTTAAAGAGATTATAATCATATATTCTGCCTTGAGAGGGACAACTAACATTTCTATACAACATACGGTAAAAAGATAGAAAATTATTGTGATTAATAATTTAGTTTTGCAGGATTGTAGGAAATATAGGAAATTACAATAATACCTCAAAAAATTAGTAAAACTAGATATAAAAAATATAAGTATTTTATCTTGTAAATCAAAGTAAACTCTAATGTTATTTATATGTTAAAGAGGTTATATTATGCTTACATGAATAAATTAACAAACACATTAGATATTGTTTAACAGACTGCCTAAAAATTAGTCTTAACACATACTGAAAAATGAATAATTAGTATTCTCATGTCAGTGCATTTTACTTGAAAAAGAGTCTAAAGTAAAACTCAAGTATTTTAAATATTCTTACTATGTCATTTATATACAATTTTGTTATAAACTACCTCTACAAAATGTTTATTATGGGTAATGAAGTTTAAGTTAATGTTTTACTGTGTATCAAATTATAATTATAAAAATACTGAGAAAACATACCTGATTCTTGCATTAGTATAGCAGAATTGAATAATGCTAGTTTGTGCTTTGGATTTAGTTCTAAAGCATGATTAAAGTTTCTTAAGGCTTCATTTGGTTCTTTAAGTTCAATATATACAATTGCCAGGTTGTACCAAAGATCTGCATTATTTCTGTCCAGTTCTAGTGCTTTAAGATATGCTTCCTTTGCTTTGAGAGGTTTATTCATTTTTAAAAGCAATTCTCCCCTGTGAAAAAAATTAAACATGAGGTTTATGTAAAACATTATATGTCAGTTAGTAGATACCATTTATTACAAGTTTGAAGCCTTTCCACATATTTCATTACTTCTCTTAACTTAGTCTCTTAAAAGTTCTCTTCAAAAACAAAAATAACATTTTGAAGCTGCTCTCAAGTTTGACTCCATAGTTCAGCAAATTAGGCTGGATATATTTTCAAATATTATTACAGAAAGAAAACGTATGCTTGACTTTAGGTTAGATGTGGAGAGGCACTCAAAAAAGGGGAACAGAGAAAATCTATTCTTTGAATATATCTTAAAATGAAACAGACTTGACTACATTAGAAAAATTAGTCTAATCAAGTAATAATAATCAAGTGTAGGAGATCAGTATATTTTTCAGATAATGAAGAAAGCATTTGAAAAAGAAAAATAAATGTGATTGTAGAAAAATTACAGTTTTCAAATCTATGATACAAATCTCACTATACAAATGAACAGAGCATTTGAAATTTGTAACTCCTTTTATTAACTTACTATCCTTAAAAGTACTCTATAAAATGAACATTAAAATAAAAAAGGAATTTCAAAAAAGTTGATCTTGTAGGGTAGAAGGGAAATAGTGCCACCTGCAGATAACTAAGAAACACATCTAGAATTGGAGATCAGTTAGAAAATCATTGCATCAATTTTCTAATCTAGTTTCATTTACTGCTAGAGAACTTAAATTTAGTTTTGCTCAAAAATATTTTTACTAATATTTTCACTGAAACAACTTCTAAGAATTAATCTATTTTTTAAATGCAGAGATTATTGAATAATTCTTTATGGATAAACACATGACAATGAATACTGGATAAGGCTAAAAAAGAGAACCTCCAATTTAAAAATAAATTATATCTCAAAAAGTTAAATTCTGAATGCACTTTTTCTATAGAAACAGTGGTTAGTTTTCCTAGCCTGGCTGCAAAACAGAGTTTAACAGCCATTTTTCCCAAAGTATACAAATGATAACACCTACATGAGAAAGTACATAAGACTGAACATGTGATGTTAGAAAACTACCAAGGTTTCTTTGTGGTTAAAGAAATCAATAACCAGTCAAATCTCAAAATTTACTTAAGAAAGTTTCTGAGAGTTGAATAACAGAAGGTGCTAACAGAAAATATAAATTCTAGATATTTTAGATGGGAAAAAAAGAAAAAGATTTTGGTGATGATAAGAGAATGAAACAGAAGGAGCTTTTTCTACCCTTTCCTTCATATAAAACTTAAGTTAGCCATTTCAAAACAAGGGATTCCCTTGTCAATTTCAAATTAATTAAATTTGGTTGTCATTCTAAAATAAGCTATAATCTCTCTATGTATTTGGAGTCAAGTAACTAAAAGAAAAACATGCCAAATTTAGTCAAGAGGTACATGCAGATACAGCTTCAATCTTCTACATTGATGGCTCTAAAGTGAACTATGATACCTGCTAATGTAGGCCTGTTTGAAGTCTGGTCTCATACTTATTGCTTGTCGATAAAGTTGATCTGCTTCTTCTAACCGGGACTCATTTGCTCGGATAAGGTTGGCCAGATTGATATAAACATTTAGGTGGTTAGGAGCAATTCTAGCTGCATATTTTTTACCAGGAATAATCTGTTTAGAAGAAAAGGTATTTTCATTATTTGATATTTCAGTACCAAATAAAGATAAAAAGTAAGTTTTCCTAGGGGCTTATTTAAAGTAACACAGAAAACAGTAACATTATGCTGCCAGTTTTACTAATGTATCAAATTAAATATAAAAATGTGAAAGTGAACATGTGTAATATTCACAAAACGTAAAATTTTGTGGCAATAAAGGACAATTTTTCATTCATGCCAGCTAAATGCAACCATTGATAGCTTTTTATTCATATCTACTTTTTCTAAAGTCAGATAAATCAGATATTTTAGAGGCCAAGATTTCTTTAAAAATTGGCATCAGAAAAGGAAAAAACCCAGATCTCCTGCCTCTCAGTCCAACTGTACACTTTGTCAATTTTTTTTTTTGTCAGCAAAATATTTCCTGAGGGCAGTTAATTTTATTTCAGAGTTATACTTAAAACTAACTTGTTTGATAAATACATGTTCTAGTCAGTTGATTATTCAGGTTAAAAAAAGGTCATTACATATAATATAGATGGATCCAATTTTTTAACGAACACAATAAATTATCTGATTAAAAAACCTATAATAAGTATAAATTTAACATATCATTTTAGAATTGAAATAATCCTCAGGATATGTGGTCCAACTTTGTTTTTAGAAAATTTATTAAAGTATCCAATCATTAATATTGCTATTTTAATGAGAAATCTGCAGCACAAATTGTTTTCTGAACAGATCTTTCATCTTTGATACTATATTGTTATATCTGATGAATTTCTGCTTATATCATTCTAACAAGTGATTAAAACAATTTAGCAACAGAGACATTCTATTTTATCACTTATATTCATTTTTTGGATAGGAAAAATGTTGAATTTATTGCTTAAAGTACACAAAATCCTCCTCATATAGACTATAAGACTATAAATAGACTATAAAAATAATTAAACATCAAGTTAGCTAGAAAAGTAAATGTAATCATTTATAACACTTTCTATAGAAATAGAAAATTCTGTAAGACACCTTACTTTTTATATGAACAAACTGAAGAAAAAGATTTCCCATCCAAATAATACTATTCAACATGGACACAGAGGAGACATGACACAATAGATTAAATTATGACAACTTACTTGAGGCATTAGTGATTTAGCCATCATGTAAGATTCTTCAGCTTCTCTAGTTCTATTTAAATTTTTATAAGTTCTTCCTACATTCATGTGGGCTCCAATATCATCTAAAAGAAAAAAATCATTCATTGAGAGGTATAATAGTATTCAAGGTTACTGAGAAGACATGCTTCTAGAAATAAACTAGGTAAAAAATACAAAAGAGGGAAACAGATCTTGCTTTTCCTCTGCTCTGAACTTTTTTCTTTTTTTGGTAGTAGGGATTTAACCCAGGGGCAGTAACACTGAGCCATATCCTCAGCCCATTTTATTTTTATTTTTGAGACATGGGCTTGCTAAATTGCTTAGGGCCTCACTAAGTTGCTGAGGCTGGCTCACACTTATGATCCTCTTGCCTCAGTCTCCTGAGTAGCTGGGATTATAGGCAGAGGATGCCACCATGCCTGGTTCTCTGAACTTCTTTTAACATAACTTGGTATAACTTATGATTAATGGTATACTAAAAAATCATGTATAGCAATGTGAAGGCAGAAAATGTATTTAACATGAAAAATCTATTTCAATCACTCTCTAAAGGGTTAGGACAACATAGGTCATGATGACATTACCTTACTACTGTTCACTATATTTTACTATCTTATACTAAAGCTTATTTCTATTTCCTTAATCTCATAGTTTTGGAATTCAATAAAAAAATATGGTTCAACTCTGTAAGTGAAAAGGATCATCATGAGTCCTAGAATTAGCTCAAGTATTATAGCTAACAAATATGTATAAAAGTCAGAGACTAAAAGAATTTTGTGATAAGCTTTTTAAAAATGTGTGAATGTGACTGTAATGACACAATAATGGAATATAGGGTAACAGTATTATGTAAGATGCTGTGGCCCTTCTCTCTTAAATGATGATACAACACTATATAATTCATGAAAAACTTATAAAAAGATTATGTTAACTTTGGAATGCCAGGAAATTATGCCTCATTTTTCAAAATGGAAAAATACAATCAATTTTTTTTCAAGGAAAGAAAAATACAGAAAAATATGAGGACTCAATGCATATTAGTTTTAAAAAGATACACTTCCCAGTAAATACTTCAAAGGTTTGGAACAAAGATAAAAGGAAGAGAGATCTTAAATTAGACAATTTTTATTCAACAAGGATATCTAACAGACATGACAAGGTTTCAACTGGTGAATACTACTTGCCTGTGACACCGACGATTTTGCAATTGTGGAATAATTCTCTGACTGCAACTCCCAGGACACATAGGGGCCAAGCATATCTATCTTGGGTATTCCCCTAGGAGGAGAGCAACAGTCCTAAGATCTTGCTACATTATGCTTCAGGTTGGCAACTGTGTGTACTGTATAAAAAATGGCAGATGTAGTATAAATTTGGTTTGAGAACTGGGGGATAAAGTTGGAGGTAAGGGAGTTTTTCATTTTAGATGTACTGCCCAGTCTTATGGAGTCAGTAGGGTTAAGAAAGCAAAAACAAAACAAAAAAACCTCAGGCTAGTTATTGCAACCCTACTTGCAAACTAGAATACCTGTTTTTAAAAAGTTTCAAAGGGAATTCTGCTTTACAGCCAGGAGTGAAAAATTATCTAATTATCAAGTGTGTATAAAAATACACAGTAGGTAATCTTTGCTTTTATAGAACTGATTTGTTTTTTAATTTTTAACATCAATTAAATCCACAGTTTTTGTTATAAAGAAACATATACAGTAAAAATGAAGGATATATAGAAAGTGAAAAAGTTATATAGTAATGAATTTAATCTAACAAAAAATTAAACGGGAAATGTATATAAAGAAAAATGTAAATAATGAGGTCAGCTGAGTGCTTGTACTAAAATAAGTCTCAACCAGGTTTAGAAAAGAAAGAGGTTATTTACTTAAGATAAAAAAATAAAGCAAATTATAACCCACTGGAATTAGGTGGAATAATAAGAAGTTATTGCCATCAATGCAGTCTTCAGACATTATAATAAAGTAGCTCCATTTTTTCAAAGAACAAAAGACAGCAATTAGATATCCTTTAGCAATAAAATGGCTACTTAATAAGACTTAAAAAATGACATAATTTGTAAGAAGAATTTATAAGTTATAAAGTTAAAACATCCCAAAGGATTTTGGGAACAGTATTATTTCTAAAGTAAATTTAAATTCTAAAAAAGGCAAGAAGATGAAAAAAAATCAAAGATATTTAAATAACTAAGGAGCTATAGAGAAGTCAAAGCACAAATTTGTTTATCTGAGTAAATTATTCAAATCAAGCATAGCATAAGTTAGTCTGCTTTTAATTCAATGTAAATGAGGACATTATAAATCTTAAATGTACTCTCAGTCTGTCAATAACTGTTTTTCTAATAAACTCATATTTTTCAGAACCCTAGTTGGGTAGTGTTTCATTCCTTCTCTCTCCTCAAATTTCTAATATCTTATTTTCATCAGGGAAATGAGAACAGAGAGGAATTTATGACTCATCCCATTATCGATGCTCTCAACCAATCTATGTGAATATACATACTCAGTTTTCCCTTCTATACCTCCTCTCTGATCTAAGACCAACCAATCTACTTACACACTGAATCATGTTCATTTTCTCCATGTGACTCTGCTCATACTATCTTTGTACTGCTAAAATCTCTGTTCTTTTATACAGTAAATCTCTTTGAAAGAGTTGTTTGTATAATTATTTGTACTTCTTCATTTCCAAGTGACTCATGGATAGAATTCAGGACATCCAAGAACTTGGAAGAGAATGTAATTACATTTTAATTTTCATTAACATGTATGAGTAAATTAGAATTTCCTTCAATTAGAAACACAGGCAAATCCTAATAAGTAGTAACAATACCTTGACTTTGTCATTTAGAAACCACAGATTTTTTATATGACATTACAATTGTAGATACTGTGAAATTTAATTTTCATTTACCATTCCTCTTAAATGACCAGTTATTAGAAGCACCATGGGCTTGCATGTGATCTCAGTCATCCTGTCTACATGTGATGTAGAAGGCAAATTGTCAGGCAAATGTGTATGCCTGCTAATGCTTTAGCCAAAAGAATGCAATCAAGAATTCTCACACCGATGTCCAAACTATTTTGCTTCCCAGTATTCCCTGTCCACAAAATTATCAATTAAAAATAAAATTTATAAATATCTGGAAACTCCTAAAACTCTTTTAAAATTATTCCCATCCTGATGACATCCAAGTTAAAGTACAGGTCCACTATCTTTTCTGATTAAACAGTTTCAAAGATTTTTACTTAGATAAAAATGAAATCAATGCTCTCTAGGCAAAACAATACAAAACAAAACAAAAAAATTGGAGGATTCTGATGTATCTTAAGGGTAGATTATCCTTGACTTTTAAAAGGGTTTACAGTAACTGTAACTTTATTTACAAAACTGTGAACTGGGATTTTTAAAAATACACTTGCAATTATCAAAACAAGAAAAATAAATTGGTTATCTAACATAACATGCATGTGGTCTGATCAAAGACTATCATGTAATTTATTCCCATTGTATGCAACAAAAGCCTTCACACGTTTTTTTAATTGAAAGAGCCTTAGGATGTTATGAATCCCTACTCTGTGTGATTTAATGCTATTTCAGGGCTTAAATGATCATCTCTATACTTGTTACTATTCAGTCTTTTGGGACAAAATCTAAGTCATTCTTTTTAGCTCTATCTTGGTTACATTCTCCCAAACTCCAATAACTATTCATAATACAGTGAAATAATGTCACTTCATCTGTCAAAGTAATCTATGAACATAGCAAAAAACAAACCAAACCACACAAAGAATAAGAAGTCTCTGAATATCACTTTCAACTTTTATAAGCTTTTTTATTCATAAATATTTCTAATAAACTTGATTACCTGTCCTCCCAAGTCTATGACTTATTAAAAGAGTAATTATGAAAGTGTGATACTTATGTCATACATAGAGAGGTTCAGCAAGTATATCTAAAAAACTATAAAGGTGACAACTGATAATGATGGAGAAAATTATTTAAAACTAAGTGCCCATACTTGCAACATTCTCTGATTAAATACACTGTTTACTAGATTAAATTGCACTTATACACATTTATTAACATACACGTTTAGTCTTCAGAACAATGCTGAGACAAAAATCATTATTCCAATTTAAAAATGAGAAAAACTTTGGCTGAAGGGGTCTAAATAAGAGTCTCAAAGCCTGTGTAACCTGACATCAAAACTTTCTCTAAATACTCCTAGAATGAATCTAAAAGACTTCAAAAGTAATGAATTAAAACAACCACATTTAGTGATTCTTGATTGTGTATAGGATGCTACAAGATAATGTAGGAGTTAAAAGATAAATCCAATGTTTTATATGCAATTTAATAAATATTTTGAGCAAATTAACATTTCAATAATAAAATATGGCACTTCAGAGAATATATTTAAAAAAAAAGAGTAGTTGTAAGGGATTTTACATGAGAAATACTTTTTTTAGGTGGAAAGATGGGAAGGTAATTTAGAATAAGAGCCTATTTTTTGTAGGGTTATAAAAAATGGGTTATAAAAGATCATGTCTAGCAGGGATATGCTGGAAAGTAAATGGGAGGAAAGGGAGAAAGGAGAGGTTCAAGAAGAATACAAACAGATCATTATCCAAAGTACACGTATGAAGACACGAATTGGTGTGAATATACTTTGTATACAAGCAGAGACATGAAAAATTGTGCTCTATATGTGTAATATGAATTGTAATGCATTCCGCAGTCATATATAAAATAAAAAAAATAAGAAGAATATAAACAGAGCCAAAGTAGAAGAACAGTATGTGTACCCAATATTTCAAGAAAAACTAATCTTGATGAAAGAGTTATAGGAGATAAAACTGGAGGGAAAGACCAATTGTTCCATTTCTATAATCTTCTGTTAATCTTTCTCTAATTCAAACTTGGCTTTGTCTTGGAGACAAGGTTACCTTGCTTGTACCTATTCCAAGTGTTGACTGAGTTCTTTTTCTTATCCTTTGTAACACTGGGCCTGGAAGAAGATTAGATGTTCTCCTTGATCCCTGAAGCCACTTGCAGACAATTATCAATCCTTTCAAAAATCACTCTTGTCTAAACATCAGGTCATTGAACTCTATTGTCCATTATCCCTCCAAGTTGCAGTCACTAGTCCCTGTGTGCATATTATAGTGTACATACTTGATACTGGGTTCCTATTGCTCCCTCCAACATCATGACAGTCAAAATTCTTAGCCATTTCAAAATCTATACAGATTTAATATTGTGGCCTTGATGCCTTTCTTCCAATGATTTTCACCTCTTTCTACCAGTTTAGGTTGCTCCAACAGACACAATCATACCTCCTAGAAAAAACTGGGGGCAGTACCCAGTACTCTGTACTTCTGTGAGGACACTTAAGGTGGTGGATTACTTTTGGTTGTTAATCTGAATTGAAAGTAATGGCATTGGTGGGTACGGATCACATTTGGTACATATCCTATAATAAAGTTCTACACTGTTGAAATGTCAACTGTAGTCCCTACTGAAAATATTGCTGCTCTAGCTACACTCTGACCAACCATTCTTCAGACCTGTAATCTGCTGATCCTGTAACTATTTCACTACCACTTACCAAGTTTCTCATCTACTCTAAACCAATTTAAATTCTGTAACTCATCATTATAATCATTCCGTTCTTTTTTTTTTTTTTTTTTTTTGCTTAGTTATACATGTCTGACAAAATTTTAACTCTTTTGAATTGAATTCTTCATTACCACTGTAGCTAAAAAGTAGTAGGAGAAAAACCTGTAACTATACCAACTGGTTTAATTTTAAATTAATACTAATCTAAAGTAGGGTGTCAGAGTTGCCTGGCAATTATACTCTATTTTCCTAATCTATATAATAGGAAACTATTTTCCTAGTTTCCTTGATCTTTGTTTCTCTAAGTGTGATTTGTAGACTAAGCATCAATGGGAACTTAAGAGAAATGCAGAATTTTAGGCTCTATCTAACTCTTCATCAGAATATACTTTATAACAAACTCTCTGATTCATATATACATTAAGTTTATGAAGCAAATTCTTGGATCACTATTTCATATCTTTTTCTGTTCTTAGATCTCAAACACTTCTTCCTTTTTATTCTCTACTAATGATTTTACCTTCTATTTCACCAAGAAAACCGAAACAAACAAAAGAAAACTCCAGAAACTTCCTCCTTGTCATCTATTCTCCTGCCTCTTTCCACATCCATATACTGTGCCTTCTGTTACCACATTTACTGTCAGTACCAATTTGAATAAAATCCTCATCTTTAGCACCAGATCCTTTCTGGATACTGGGTCCCTATTGCTCCTTCCTCTCATCTGTTCAATATCATCATCTAGTTATTTGTCTTCCCACGTGGCATTATTACTTTCCCCAACTGTACTGGATTAGCCCCAAAGGTACTTTTTTTCTTCCACTTCCGAATTGTCTCCAATTCTTCTTCTACTCTCTTAAAATCACTTCTACCAAGCTTGTGCATCCAGTACTCCATCAAAAAGCACATTTCACTGTCATCCAACAACTATGTTAAAAGAAAAAATTCTCAAATATATAATATAAATGTTTTTCCCCCAAAAATGTTGTTTTCCTTCTAAAAAAAAACAAAACCAAACCATTCATCAATTTACTAATAATGCTTACCTGGCTGAACATGAGTAGCCTGTAGAAAGTATTTCAAAGCTCTCTCAAAGTTCTTTTCATTTTCCAGAGCATGACCCACATTATTCCATAATTTGGCATTATTTTTATTTACCTTAAATACAATTAAAATGAAGTAAATTACATACTAAAAAAATGACTCCAATTCACACAGATATTTGAGTGGTGTACTATTAGGAATGGATTGTTTCATAGAGATGTCCCTGGAGATGAAGTCAAATGAAGACTGCTTCACCATATTTACTCTCTTCTTCCCCTAATGATATACTAAAACCACAAAAGTCTAATTTCACCTATTTTATGTTATTAGAATTGTACTTAAAATTTTACATAATCAAAACATTAAGTGCTGTGTGAAAATTTCTATTCTATTCATATTCCTTCAAGAAAGAAGGTATTAGAATATGAGAATGTTCTTAAAACATTGTATTGATGACTTATTTTTATTCTTAACATGTTTAAAGCTACTTAAGTACTCTATTATGGTAAAAGGAACCCTAAGTTCTGAGTCAATGTGTGCTTTTAGAGTTCTCAGATGTGCAAGGTATTCTTACAGGCAAAGGATGATACCCAACCAAGGAATTATCAATTATGACTATAGGTTTTATTTTTTTAATTTTTTTTTTAGTTGTAGATTGATACAATACCTTTATTTTATTTACTTTTTTTAATGTGGTGCTGAATATCGAACCCAGTGTGTCACACATGCTAGACAAGTGCTCTACCACTGATCTATAACCATGACTATAGGTTTTAACCATTGTTCTGAGAGTGAGAATAAAGAAATTTTCAAAAAATACGGGCTCAAGGTTCACTTGTCTGCAGAGCTCAGGGAGAAGGTGGAACTACTGGAACTACTATTGTGGTCTAGAGGACAGTCATCTGTTATGTACAGTCAGCAATTCCATAAAGCTAGGCAAAAGAGAATAAAGAAATAGCCAAAATAAAGTAAGAATTATGAGATTTGAAGATGGGCACTGATAAGGAAGAGCTAAAATAATTCTTCGCTGATAACCTTTATAGAAAACAAATGTGTGGTTTTAAAAGAACTTTTTTTAGATATTTATTGTCCATTCTATAAGAAATGCTTTACCACTACTTTCTATCAGTTCTGATCTTTTCCATATTAGTAACCATTGATTATCTTTTAGATAGCAGGATTCTATTTTTGTTTGTTGTGTTATTTTATTTCATTGAATCTAAGGCACATCAACTATAGAACTCACCACTATTTAATGAACCATTAAGAAAAAAAAGTCAATAATTAATTTAGAGATAACTTTCAATGTAAGATTTATGCTTGTTCCAGGTATTCAGGTTAGGAAAAAATGTGTACCCTTAGAACCAATGAAATTCAGTACTCCTTATCATGTGGAATTCTAACATGTATGTAGCACTGAAAGAAATATTAACATACTCTTTGAATATACAGCCATGTACTATGTAGATAATTTGTTTATGCCATAAATAATATAAAGAACAAATTATTTTCAATAACTTTTTGGTAAATGACTTAATATTGACAGTTAATGTCTGATTAAAAGTAAAAACAGCTAAGAAATGGCTAAAAAACAAACAAACAAAAAACCTCTCTCTCTATATATATATCACTGATGCCATACTTTCCTATGATTCTGAACCATACTTTACCTTTAAGGCTGACATGAACAATGTATATTCAGACTCCCAATCCCAATTTCTGTGAAGTGTTTTTAAGGCATGAGTAAGTAACACCATGGATAGACACACCCAGGACAGTTTTTTAAATACACTGTTTAAGAGACCAAAAAAAAAAAAAAAAAAAATTATATCATCAAAAGCATTTAACTTTATAGGAAAGGTAAAAATATGCTAAATGTTCCTAAAGATAATGTTCCTAAAGATAATTCTAACAATCACCCAACTTTGTAGGGAACCAACACCAAAAAAAAAAAAAAAAAAAAAAGTATTATGAATATGACCTTGAAATCCAGTGTTCAATTACATGACACAGTTGTTCCTGTGCAGGAATAGTTCTACCTATCCAGCCATCCAGAGGTATTCAAGTCCTTTATATAAAATGTTGTAGTACTTGAATAACCTATGCATACCTTGTAGTATACTTTAAATCATCACTAGATTACTTATAATACCCTGTACAAGGTAAATGCTACATAAAGAGTCAAGAAAAAAGTCCCCACATGTCAATAATGATGTTACTTTTATTTTGAAATATATTAAATCTGTGGTTTGTTGAATCTGAAAATGCAAAACCTAGAGATACAGAGGACCAACTTTATACTGACATTTAACTCTTTCAAAAGCTTTTTTCAGAATGACAGCAAATTAATAAATCTAGTTTTAATTGTGACTTTTTATATTTAGCATCCTTGGTACCACTACCTACAACTTGAATACTGCTGTGTTTATAAAGGGTCAACCTTACCTCTTGGCTATATTTAAAGTATGTTTTGCTTAAAAATTATACCATAGGCCATTACAACATTCTTAGAATAATTTTATACTTTAAAATCTGAACTGTCTATTAAAGGGCATAGTAAAATTAACTCCTAATAAAATAGATACAAATTACTTATACAACTTCAGGCTATTTGAGACTCAATTCCTCATTTATAAAAAGATGGTTATACATCATTAATCTCTATGATTCCATTTAGTATTAATGTTATCTGAGTTTGTGTTTTTGCTCCCATACCATGGTTCAATTTCTTATATTTTGAAAGATTCACTTAACCAGAGTAAAAAAGTATGAATCATTTAGAAAATGGTCATTGGAAGCAGTAAGATGTAAACCTGAACCAAGACTGTTGTTTACTAGCTATGTGATCTTGGGTAATTCAAGTAACTTATATAAGCTTCAATTTGCACTTCTGTAAAATAAAGTTAGGAAGTACTAAGATTAAATGAGAAAATAAATCTAAAGGGTAGACTCTTGGCAGATGGTAGGTACTCAAAAATCAGTAATGAGTATACTTGGATATATGGGTAGAAAGTAAGAGAAAAGGTTTGAAAGATGGTGGTGAAAACTGTAGATATGGGTGAAATTACCTATGAAGGACGTGCAGTAAAACGAAAGTGGCTATCACTCTGAAAAATACAAATATTCAAAGAGCACATACAGCAAGGAGTAACTTGATAGAAGTGAATGGATAGTGAAGATAATCAGGAAACTTTTTAGAGAAACCAGGGAAAAATTTTTAAAATAAAAATGTTGACTGGATGTAAGTACTTGGAGAAAATTTGCTAGAAAAATAATGAAGAGAAATCAGAATTTTTTGGGTTAGGTGACTAGAAAATGAAAGTGAGAGAAGTAAGCATTTCTATTTCAAGTTGCAGATCTAAATTTAATATTGTCAACATTAGTGTTTTTAACCATTAACAATTTGCTTGATTTGACAATTTTAGTGATACATATAGACAATGGGCTAAAACTTATTACAATAATCATTTCTAAGTATACTGTTCCTTAATAGTTTAAGGCAACTAGGAAACTAAGCTTATGATGAAGATAGTGATAGCAAGAAATTATGAATTGCCTATTATATGCAGTTTATATATATTGAGAACTCAATATGACTCACTTAAGAAGGATGACTATATGTTCATTGCATATGGAAGTGGAAATGGTCATTTGTGACTTTAGTTTCAATAATATCCTTGTTTTCAATTGGGTCTGACTCAAGTTTGTTCTGTCTCAGGCTGTAAAATAAAATTACATAAATATTGGGAAGAAGACAGAGTGAGTAGGTACTGTGGAGCTTTCCTAACTTGAATCATAGACAATGAGAAGAAAACATTAAGATGAAAAAACCCAAAAGATTAAAAAAGTATAATTTACAAAACTGAACAAAATACAGATTTAAAATACTTTAATGTCACATTTAATTCTATATTTAGCAAGCATTAAATGAACAAACATTTTAATTTACCTTTTGTTTAAAATTTTCTGCCACCCATGGGCTACCAAAATACAGAATCCCATGCTAGGAACATACAGTACACGCTCAGCAACAACAAATCCAACAGGAAAAAAAAGGTTTGATGCTGGAATAAATGGCAATGCCATTAAACAAAGTGCCTAGAAAGAAAAAGATAGTTTAATTTTATTAAATTAAAAAACTAAACACTCAATACCTAAATCCAAAATTTTATCACTTCATTTGGATAAATGCATTTGTGGACCATTTAAAAATGATAGTACGAAGAATACTAATTTAAACAGTAAGAAGACAATTTAGGGGTGGTATAAACATCAGGATGTATGTAAGCAAGATGTGATGGAAGTCTTAAATTCTGGAACTTATAACTGGAGGATATCTTTGAAAATAATATTCCTAGGTATATTGTTTAGGAATGATTATTTTCTTGAAATTAAAACCTGAAACTTTAATAGCATTTTAAATTTGAAAAGTATATTTAGCTACACTGTTTTTTCACTGTATTTTTTCTATGAGAAATATACTTGCCTAGTGAAATATAAAAAAAAAAATGATCAATGGTAAATATTTACATCTTTAAGTGAAAACTGAAACTAGGTGTATCCTGTTAATAAAAAAAAAAACTTTTTTGAAAATATTTCTAAAATGACATATTCAACTCAATAGTAAGAAAACAAATAAACCAATTAAAAAATGGGCAAAGGAGTTGAATATATTTCTCAAAAGCAAATATTCAAATGGTCAGAGATATATGAAAAAATACTCAAAATAAGAAATGCAGATTAAAATCACAATGAGATATCACCTCAGCCTAGTTAGAATGATTGTTATAAAAAAAGAAAAAAAAAGAAAATACACATAGGTAGGGATGGGAAGGGAAACTTTGCATACTGATGGTGGACATCTAAATATAACATAGTCATTATGAAAAAGAGTACAGAGATTATTCAAAACATTTAAAATGTGAATTCCATATGATCCAGCAATCCCTTTACTGGGTATATATCTAGATGAAATGAAATTATTATGTTGAAGAGACATATACACTCCCATATTCACTGTGGTATTATTTACAATATGCAAGAAATAGAATCACATTCAATCAAACGGACTGAATGGATAAACAGATTTAAAAATACAGAGTACTTATGTATAATGGCAATATTATTCAGCCTTAAAAAGAAGGAAATCTTGTTATTTCAACATACACCAGCCTGGAGGAGATTATATTAAATGAAATAAAGACAGGCACAGAAGACAAATGCTTTCACTTACACATGAGATCTAAAAAAATCCCACAATCAGAAGAGAGTAGAATGATAATTGCTGGGGACAGAGGAAATGGTGCAGAACACAAAATTTAATTTAATTTACCAGAATAAAAAACTTTTTAAAAATTAAAAAAATGTTTACACATCTAACTTTTTTACATATGGCCAAAATAAACTGATAGGAAAATATGTTAAAAAATTTTCAACAAAATTACACAAGTTGATAACATAAATATGTTTTTGTAACTTTATTACTCTAAGAAACCACATAATACTGGAAACTGAAGACTTTTTATTCTATGCAAGAATTTCTAAAATTATAATACATATACTGAGATAAAATGTCATAAAAATGCTCAGATTTATTACCCTTGTGAATATGGGATGAAATGTGGTTTTTTTTTAATTATAAAGCCACAAAAAATTAGCACAATTGTGAAAAATTAATTAGCAAACTTGTGAAAGGATTTAAGTTTGTTTGTCATCAGGACATCTTTCTATGGGCATCTGTTTCTATGTTATTTCCCTGATTTGTTTCACAGTACCTAAATAAATAATAAGTTAATCTCCAGCTTCAGAAGTTTGCATCTTTTCTAATGCAAAGAACTGTCTCTTCCTTATCAAACTTTATTAGTAAAATATAGATGTAGAGATGCATATACTTAGAAAAGAATACTTTCTGCATGAATATTCTTTCATATATTATGACTTCACGTAATATTGAATCTGAGAAAAAGTACCATTCTCAAGCTGCTATGTATCACACTAATTTATGTCTGAAATTTCAGTATTATTAAAATAAAAACGTAAAGTATTTAGAGTGCACATAATTTTTCACTTCCTAGATATGCTTGACAAAAATAATTTCCCATTAATTCATGGTTGTTCTAAAGCAATTTCATTTGTAGGAATTAAAAGTGTTAAATTCATTCAGAGATGCATCTTAGACTGATTTATAAGTTACAAAAAAAAATCTCTCAGGAAAAGTTTATTGGTTCTAGGATAAGAAATGTGTAAATGTTAGTCTAATGACTAAACTCATAAGTTCTATCAAGTTCTATTTAATGCTCTTTATTAATGTATGCCAATCTAGTTAATTATGAATAATTTTTAATTTTCTTCTAATAACATACACTGTCTTGAAAAGGAAGGATAACAGAAAGAGCTATGAGTTTGAAATCAACCTATCACTTATTTCTTACTTAATAGAAAGTAAACTACTCTATCACCTTGAGACTATTTTTTCATAAATGAAAAAAGACTAACTACTTAAATTGTTGTGACACACATGACATCTTATTTAATAAGCGTTAACATGGTATCTGTTGTTGAAATTACATCTTTGCTCTATTGTTCCTTTGTAGAGATTTTCAGAAAATACCATTTAAAAAATAGTACATTTAAAGCAGTTATACTCAAGGTCACAACTGTTCCTTTTCTAATGTACATAATACATAATTTATATAAATCTATTTCATTGGCATTATTCTCTTTTTTAAAAAATCTAGCTTATGTTACATATACCATCATTTCATTGGTCAAGCTTTAATTCAATCTCTCCTTTTTGTTTCAATCTTTCTTTTACCAGAACCCCAATTCTGAATTATTCTGACATTTATCTATGCTGTTTGTATTTGAGCAGCTTGAGTAAGTCCCAAAGCTGACTAGATTAATATCCTCATAAATTCATGACCACCAACTTCAAATTGATTCTTTTTTTTTTTTTTTTCTGTATCAGGGATTGAACCCAGGGCCCTTAACCACTGAGCTACATCCCCAGCCCTTTTTATTTTTTGAGACAGGGTCTTTCTAAATTGCTAAGTTGCTGAGGCCGGATCTGAACTCGAGATCCTTCTGCCTCAGCCTTCTGAGTCACTGAGATTATAGGGTGTGCTACCAGGCCCAGCCTCAAATTGATTCTCAAGACTGCTTAGAATTTCTAGGTTTCTGATAGGTGTTATTCTATTCTCTCTGAATGTTTGAATCTTGATTGCTCTTCTCAATCTTTTGACCCATTTTACTTTCAGCAGGCAACCATACTAATTTATAGAGAAAGGTAAAGCCATAAGAGAAAAATTCCTTCAATTTCTTGCTATTAAATCTACTAATATCCATATTCATTCCCATTTCCTTTTTTCCTGTAAGTTTCCTCCTTCTATTTCAGGTCAAACTTTTGCTTGGTATTTCCTTGCTTTTCCCTTCTACCATATGTTTCAACCTTTTCTAATCACCTATATCCTCTGTAGCAAAATTTAAACATGCTCTTGCTTATCCAACCTTAAAAAATCTTCTCAGTGACAATATATCTTTTAAGCTCCACCTTTGTAGCCACAGTAACATGTAGCTAGTATAAACTGACTTAATCAACATTTCAACTTTATTTTTAAGCCAACTCATTAGTGATATCTCCTAACTTCTAAAAGATAGCTGAGTATTCAAATGAAAATGTTTCTAAGTATCAACCAATCAAGTTTTTCACCAATATTATCTTTACTTTTGTATTTCCAAATCAAGTCACTCCACAGAAATAAATTTCATTTAATTAACTAATGGATCTATAAGAGGTCAAATCCAACAGACATCACTTTTCAAACAGAGCTCACTTTTCTATTCAACAGTGTCTGTTAAGAGTTAAACATTCTGTCTTTTCTAATATACTTTCCTACTTTTCTGTTCCCTTGGTCTGTCTCCTATTCAAAATCTGAATATGGGAGTTGCTTAAGACCTAGTTGTAGGCTTCTCTTTTCACTCTACTCAGTCACCTTAACTATTCTAGGGGTGAAATAAGATCAGATACTCTAAGGCATCCATAATGAACATGAATTAACTTTTGTTCTACGAATCTACAATGGTACCAGCTAGCAAATGTTCATTTACTGAAAAAATCCTTGTTGACAAAGGTTGCTCTATAATCTCTCTAAATACAATCCTACCTACATTCTGGTTTCAATTAATTACCACTATGCTAATGAATAAAAATTTTATTTTCAACTTTGGCAACTCTTTTTGACATGAAGTACTGTTCAAAATCTATACTAGGATGCTTTAAATAACCCTCACATTCAACATGTCCAAGGATGATGTAAACACGATCTCTCCCAAATCTTATATTCTCTCAATCAGCCATTGGCTTCAAATTTCTCTAGAAGACAAGTTCCCTGTAAATGGGACTTTATATTTCCTCTTATTATCATATTCTGTGTATAAAGTGCTGCCTAGTATGCATTTAGTGGCTATAGCCAGAAATGAAATATTTTTGAAGCAATATATTTTCTAATCTGTAGTAAATGCTAAGAAAATGTTATAGATTATTACTGTCTTTAATAATTAAAAGAAAGAGGGAAAATAACTACAGTGAGGAAGAACTGAGGGTAGAGAGGGAAAATTACAAATAAACAGTTCAGAAAAATGACAACAACAAAACCTTTCCAACTAAACAGGATTCTCTGAAGATAGCAAGAGCTATCTCAGGAAGTAATGAATATTTTGCTAATGAGAACTTAACATATATTTCTCTAGCTGCATATTTCATAGGACACTCTTCTCTATGAGAGGAAAACAAGTACACATATAAACCATTTCTTCACATGTATATAATCTAATTAGATAAAGCTAAGAGAAAATGAACTAAAAAAAAAAAACAAAGACACATCTTGATTTTAGTTTCCACCTAATTAGGAAAACTATGTGCCTGCTTTATAATTTTAGGATAAACTAAAATAAGTTTATAAATTAAACTTATTTGTTGACCAAGGAAAGACACTGCTTCAAAAAGATGTCTTCGATGAATTAAAGATAGTCTCAATCAACTGGATGCAACATTGCAGAAAAAGTGAAAGAAGTTTCTTACCATTAAAACAGTCTTGGAGGAATCACCAGGATATCGGAGACTGAATATTCCCAAAGCCCCCAGAAAGCAAAAGAAAGCAAAAGTAGCAAGATTTCGAATATCTAGAAATGACTCTATAAGTGGTATTGTTCCCATGGTCCAATCACAGCACAGCTCTGAAGGATTTAATAGAAGCCAAGCATTCACAGGAAGGAGGTAGTTGAAAGTTAGCTGCCTTGTGGGAGTTGGGCTTACAGCAGCTGGGTTATCAAACCTGTATAAAGAATTAAAAAAAAAAAAAAAAGCTACTTTTAAGAAAACACTTTTTAAACACAAATTTTATTCTACAACATATATAAATAAAGTATTGAATATTGCATAAAATCATTACTAAAATTCAAACTATCTGAATTATATGAAATGTCTAGTTGGGAGAAGTGATATTTATGAAGAATTACTTGAAGAATAAGCAGGTCATCTCTTTCTAGTTATTATTAGAATAATTCATACTACAATATGACATTTGATAGAATTATTTTCACTAAATCTCATTAAATGTTTTCCTACATAAGACATTTATTTTAGAGAGAACTGCTAGTAGTTAGTAGAGCTAAATGCTAATTTTTATTAAAAAAATCAAGTTTTCTACACAAAATTTGGTTTTTTCCTTTCATGGACAGAGAAAACTGTATTACCTCCTAACTTAACCATCCTTGCTTTGATTATTAGGAAGCTAAAAACTAAATTTCTAGTAGAGAGTTGTAATTGTGTAGGTTTATGTAACATTCTAGTTGTGTTCTAACTTTTTTTTCCCTAGAATATTAATAACCTATATATTAGTTTATTTCTCTGAAAGTTGACACTTTTTTTTGGATTTTTTTTTCCTGTGCTGTTAAGGATTGAATCCAGAGCCATGTGCATGTTAGGCAAGGCACTCTATTAACTAAGCTATTTCCCTAACCCCTTCATCATATGTTAATTATGTATTTTATTAGCATAGACTATTTCATGTAAATTAAATTACTCTAAAATAGTACATTACAAATGAATAACTTTAGATTTGTATGTTTTTATCTATCTTCCAAATCTTTTGGCAATGTCAAAATATAACAATAAAAACCCAATGTCATTTTTAAATAATTAAAAAAACAAACAACATTTACCCCTTAGACTTGATTTTCTTAAAATGTTAAATAACTGAGAAAAAGCACATGTTGAATAAATTTTTTTAAATTTTCATATTTGAAATCTCTATACACATGAAGAATAATAAATTATGTCAGTACTTGAACTTTCAAAAAATTTGGCATAAATGAATACAAAGCTTTTTTCCTATATTTATTCCTATATTTAGGATAGCTGACATAGAAAAAAAAGTTAACTTTAAAATAGATCAAATCATATTATAATCAACTTAAAAACAAATCATTAAAATCAGTTTCACAGGGTGGTGTAACAGAATCAAATTCATATACATGCACATGTACATATTTTTAAATGTTTATATTTAGAAAATATATATTTAATGCTATATGTTCCAGACACCAAGAGCCACAAAGACAATATAAACCACATTTCAGACTGTAGAAACAGACACAGAAAACAGTTCATTTAAATTCTCTAAATGGAGTAATAATCAGAATAAAAACAATGAAACTAAGGGCTAAAGGATATATAAAAATATATATCTACAATTCAATCCATTTCCAATACTGTTGTACCTGAATGAGTTCAGTTTTATATGGCTAGACTCAGAGTTAAAAATTCTGCAAGTTGAAGTCATTCTTCTTTAAATAAAAAATAACACTGAGGTCAATTAATTATGTGAAAACACTATAAAGTTTTGGACTTAAAAAATTATCTGAAAAAAATTTATTCTATTCACTGCCCACAATGCAATGACATGGAAAGTACCCTGGCCTACGTGCTGGAACACCACTGGACTCAGCCTAAGTTCCATCATCATCTTGTACCAACTTAAAGCTCTATCTAGGTATTAAATTTTCACTAGGTAGGTGCAAGAAGATGATGGAACTCAGGCTGAGTCCAGTGGTATATCTGAAGTTGAGAAGATGGAGCTTCAAACACCAGAAGCCTGAGGAGCTCAGGGGTCTATAGTTAGTTGGGTAGAATATCAGAGAGAAGAAAAATGATAAGAAAACTTAAGAGACTGCAGAACGGTCTCTGCTATCTTTCAGTATTGAGGAGTTCCTGCTTAATATATATGAGAAGAACTCTAAGGTTAGTGGGCTGAATCATGTCTCCCCCAAATGCATGTCGATCTAAAACTTTAGAATATGGCTTTTTTTGGATGTGGAGTTTGCCAAAGTAATTAGTTAAGATGAGGACATATTTCAGTAGGCCCTAAATCCAATGACCATGTCCTTATACAAAGAGGAGAGGATAGACAGACATGGGAAAGAAAGCCATGTAAAGACAGAATAGATTAGAGTGATACAGCTACAAAATCAAGGAATGCTGAAGCTTGCCAGCAATCAGCAGAAGGTGGGAGAGAGGCAAGAAACATATTCTTCCTCAGTGCCTCTTCAAGAAACCAATTGTGCCAACATCTTGATTTTGGACGTATGGCCTCCTAAACTGGGAGGGAATACATTTCTATTGTTTTAGGCCATTTACTTTGTGATTGTTAAAATGATTTTAGGAAAACTAATGGGAAAGAACATTTTGAAAAAGGATAAAGAAACAGGAAGAGAAATGAAAGTCCCATAAAATTATACAGAGGAAGGAATGCCCTCAGCACTCATGTGAAATCTTCTTAATTCAGTCATTGGTATAAGTTAGAAAGATGTTAATGTGCAAAATTAGCTGATTCTAAAGCCTGCTGTGGTCCCACAAAGAGTTTAAAAGTAAGACTAGAAGATAAAACATTTTTTATAACTTACATGTATCCCAGAACAAAGCTCAAAAATATTTATATGGAAATACATGAAGATACAATTAATATATGGCATCTATTCAAAATTTACCAGACATGCAAAGAAGCAAAAAAATAAAAGTCACAATGAGAAGAAAATTTATTCAATATAAATTGATCAAAATGGCATGGATCACAGAAAAAGTATTGAAGGATAATAAAACAAAATAGATTATGTAGACATTTGAAAGACATTAAAAAAATTTGAATCAAGACTTCCTTCTAGAGATGAAAACAGTTTCTAAGATGAAAAATAACTAGATGAAATTAACAACAGATACACACATACACACACACACACATGTGCGCGCGCAAAACACCTTCCAACCGCCCCCCCACCAACATGACATAATAATAATAAATGTTACAGAAGGCTAAAGATACAGGATGAGAAAGGATTTCTTACTGAAAATGTAAGCCAAAAGATATAGGGCAACATTTTTAGAATACTGAATGAGAAATAGCAAGTGTAGTATTCTCCACTCAGGCTGGGGTTGTACCTTAGTGGTAGAGTGCTTGCCTAGCACGTGTGAGGCACTAGTTTCAATTCTCAGCACCACATAAAATTAATGAATGAAGTAAAGGTATTGTGTCCATTTACAACTAAAAAAATAAAAAGATTTTTAAAAAAAGGTAAAGTAAATACATCTTCAGATATAAAAGCTAACAGAACTTATTGCTGCATACCAAGAAATGTGCAAGTCTTTCATGATAAGGAAAAATGGCACTAACAGAATGCAAAGCCCTGAGAAAAAAATAATTTCATGAGTTAATATAAAAGACTTTTATCACTGAAATGCTTAAAGATAAGCATCTAAAGCAAATGTAACAACAATGCATTAAAATGTATGCTCAACAGATTATGCTAAGTGAAGCTAGCCAATCCCTAAAAAACAAATGCCAAATGTCTTCTTTGATATAAGGAGAGTAACTAAGAACAGAGTAGGGACGAAGGGCATGAGAAGAAGATTAACATTAAACTGGGATGAGAGGTGGGAGGGAAAGGGAGAGAGAAGGGAAATTGCATGGAAATGGAAGGAGACCCTCAGGGTTATACAAAATTTCATACAAGAGGAAGTGAGGGGAAAGGGGAAAATAATACAAGGGGGAGAAATGAATGACAGTAGAGGGGGTAGAGAGAGAAGTGGGGAGGGGAGGGGAGGGGAGGGGGGATAGTAGAGGATAGGAAAGGCAGCAGAATACAACAGACACTAGTATGGCAATATGTAAAAACTTGAATGTGTAACCGATGTGATACTGCAATCTGTATATGGGGTAAAAATGGGAGTTCATAACCCACTTGAATCAAAGAGTGAAATATGATATAGCAAGAACTATGTAATGTTTTGAACAACCAACAATAAAAAAATTTAAAAAAAAATGTATGCTCAAGGGAAATATATACAAATAGCACAAAGGGAAAGTTCTAAGGAAGATGGGAAAGTAAAAAGGAAACAAACAGATGAGGAAAAGGGAAAACAATTAAGGTAGAAGATTTACATCCAATGTATAGATAATTATATTAAATATAAATGGACCAAATATTTCATTTTAAACACCTCAGATTATCTAATCAAACAAAAAACAATGATTAAGACCCAATTATATATAACTTACAAGAAATTATTTTAAAATATAAAAGCAGCCAGGATTGGTGGCACAAGCCGGCAATTCCTGACTCAGGAGGCTAAGGCAGGAGAATTGCAAATTTGGGTCCAGCCTTAGCAACTCACTAAGTAACTTAGTGAGACCCTGTCTCAAAATAAATGGTAAAAAGGGCTGAAGATGTAGATTGCAATAAAGTGTCCCTGGGTTCAATCATCCAAAACCCCCCAAAAAAACAAAACATGCGCGCGCGCGCACACACACACACACACAAAATGTGTGTAGATATAAAACATATGTATACGGGGGGAGGGGGAGATAGATAAAAAATAAAAAAGATGGAAAAATATGTACTATATAACACTAATAAAGGAGAGCTGGCATTGCTGGGAGCCATTAGCCAAGTAGGTATGACAATTTCCTTGCCAGCGTACCCCATGTTGCTTAGTGGAAGGACTCGTGGAAATAGGACATTTTGCAGTGACACTGAATGTAGGTGACCTTGCTCAAGGACCAGGGCAGATTAGGGTGTTCCCGGTTTAGGATAATTGGGTTTAGGGCGTTCCAGGTTTAAGATTATTCCTGCTGGGAATAGGGCGTATCCTGTTGCCTGAGTTCTCCTTGAGTTCTCCCGGGATTCAGACAGTATTTTTTGGGAGACAGAAGCCCGGTGGATGTGATTTGGGCAGAGAACGTGGATTTCCCCAGAACATGATTGCAGACGGCTGGTGTGAGTTCGGGAATAAAGAGTTGCTGTTTGAATCTACAAGCTGTGTGGTGGCTCGTGATTGTGTGCCCAGCCAGACTGCGGCATGGCATGACAAATTTTTTTCCTCAGTAGGTATCTCTACCACTAAGCCACATACATCCTCAGTACTTTTTTTATATTTTGAAATAGTTTCTCACTAAATTGCCAAGGCGGGCCTGAAACTTGTCATCCTCCTGCCTGAGTCTCCCAGGTTGCTGCAATTACAGGTGTGTGCCTTTGTGCCCAGCTGGAGTGACAAACTAATATAAGACAGAGTGAATGTTTACGTAAAGACTATTACTAGCAATGAAGCTCTTTTAATAATGATAAAGATATCAACTCATCAAGATGATGTGGAAATCCTAAGCATTTATGCGCTTAAAAAACACATGAAAAAACTGCAATAAGACAAATCTACAATTAACAGTAGAGATCTCAATATTCTTCTCTCAACAACTGATAAACAAAAATCACTAAGGATAGAGAAGACTCCACTTTAACCTTAACAACTAATTTGTGGGTCATTATCCTTGATGTGGTGGTTTCTTGGATGTACAATTATGCCAGAACTAATTAATTTGTATATTCTAAACACGATCTGCAGTTTTAAAAATATATAGACTATACCTCAATAAAGCTGCTGAAAAAATTCAGTGTAAATCAGACTTTCCCAAACATTTATGATCACTTAAAGTCCAAAGTTAAAAAGGCAGAATGATTAAAAATAAAAAAGAACCAGAATTTCATACCTTGTAAACACTGGAAGTTGGGACTGAATAACCTGGACTCTAATCACAACAAGCAATAATGTACTGAACATCAAGACAATGAGTTTTATTAGTGTCTGCAGCATAGAAAATGGAATGCTACCCTTTCCACGGAGAAACTGTCCAGCAGTACTACATAATAATGGCAAAGTATACTGAAAAAGAAAAAAAGTTTAAATAATAACAATATATTATGTTTTAAATAATACAGTACTTTCTAAATGCAAGATTAGATGAAAAATTAAGTATAAATATAAAGTCAACATGGAACAATTTGTGGAACTGATAATGAACAAAACTGAGCCCAATACTCTTATCCAATAGTAAATTATACTATAACAGTATTACTATATTTTACCACTGATTTCTTTATAGATTTTTTTTTGCAAATTTTTGATATCATTATTGGTAAGCAAACTGATTTATGTAATTACATATATAAAAAATAAGGTTATAAAAATCTGATTCAATTAGGATGAAAGATTGCAACAAGAAAATTTATTTTCCTTACCCCCTGGGCAATAAATACTTCATACACACAACAAATTCCCACAACTGTTATTCCTTGTTCTTTACACAGTGTTGCAACAGCCACTAAAAACACTGTCAGTGCAATTGGAGTCCAAGCTGCAATTTAAGAACAGAACAATAAATTAAAAAACTAAATGAAATAATTTTATAATATCATACAAAGATACTTTAAGCTTTACTTGTGATTTCATATCAACATTTTTGTTATTTCCTATTGGTTAATACTTCACATTTTAAAATGTATTTAAATCTTGCAATTTTGAATTTATATCTTCAAAGCAAAACATCAAGATATGTAATTTTAACTAAAAATTTCTGTGTAGATGAAAATAAGCCAATCAAGTACTAATTTTTAAAACAAAGGCGGAATGATAAATTTAGAAAAATGTATCAATCTATAAAACAGACAAATTCCTGGGAATTACCATACAGTATCTATATACTTTTTTATATCTAATAAAAACTTAAAAAACTGTCAGGCCAGTCTCACAAAAAAGGATTATAAAAATGTAAATGAAACAGGCTAATAAACATTTATATCTATACCATTCTTTAAAAATATACAATAGAATATACCTATGTTTTGTTTAAATAGAGAACATACTTCATCTTTAAGTGAATGTGCTATTTAGTAATAATTTGATTAAAGAGCAATGAACTATGAAGGTTAATTCTGTATCAACTATTAACTGCTTTTTGAACAACTATTCTAAACTTCTGTCTTCTTATAGGAAAACATGACATGCCACTATTTTCCAGTTTGAAAGTGGTAGTATGATTGTACAACTTCAGTTTTTACCCATAAAAAACATTAACTCCAGGTATGAACACGAACATAATTCATGAATCTAATATATTTTCTTTTGGTACAGGACTTAATTCAGAAATATACCTATTTGTGAAATTGTTTTAAGCTTGAAAGTACTCTACAGACTACAATTATTCAAAGGGAAAACAACAAAAAACCAAATGAAACTCCCAAAACCGAAGATACTGGCTGGGCATGCCTCTAATCCCAGTGGCTTGGGAGGCAGAGGCAGGAGGATCAAGAGTTCAAAGAAAGCCTCGCAGCAAAAGCAAGGTGCTAAGCAACTCAGGGAGACCCTGTCTCTAAATAAAATGCAAAATAGAACTGGGGATGTGGCTTATTGGTCCAGTGCCCCTGAGTTCAATCCCTGGCACCCTCCTCCCCCAACCAAACCAAACCAAACCCTGAAGACACTAAGTATAATACTTATACTTATAATACAAGACAAACTCATATTCTCATTAGGCCAAAATCATCAATACCAATGTTATTGATTATATCAAGGTCTGAAGTACAGCGTTACATTCAACTTAAAATTCATAAAGGAAAGAAATCCATAGAAGATTTTTCATAAAAAAGATGAACGTAAAGCTGAATATTGAAGAATATATATAAAAGAGAAAAACTGGTAAAGAGGATGTATGAATAAAGGAGTAGAAATAAGAATAAGCTTGGCCAATGAGTGATGCAGAGCAGATAAGACAGAAGGGCTACATATGTATTAAAAATTTGTGGAAAATAATGGCATTGAAAGTAGGTATTTAAAAATATTAAATAGTTTATACGTAGCTTCAGCAATCCTCTATTAAATTACTCATTTTAAACATCTATTACATTTCCAGGGCATGAGGCAAGAGAAATTACAATCAAAAGTAATGACATGTATAATACATAACATACATAATAACAATATAGTAAATTGTTACAGAGAAAAGAAGAAAGTAAAGAGAAAAAAAAAACAGTAAAGGGAAATAAAAAGGACTGGAAAAGATGAGTAATGCTACTGACAATGTTTGATGAAACATTTGAGCAAAAACCTCAAAAGTAAATGCAAAGGATAAAAAGAAAAGTAAATGCAAAGGCAAGGAGACTGATTTGTGTTTACAAAAAGGGGTTGGGCATGAATAATTAGAATTTGAAGTTATTTCAATTACTACAAATTGAAAACCTTTACACAGGTTTAATGTATACTAGATAGAATGCATAATACAAATATGATAATGAAGCTTTCTGTGGACTCAGAAGTTAAATTATTTACTGCAGAGTACTAAGTACCAACTAAGGAGTTGAAAGGTAGAGGTCCAAAGAAGGCTTTAGTATCCTTTCAATTAGAATCTGAAATAATTCATCTACTTGCTCATTTATTTAACAAATATGTACAGAAGATCTACTGCATATGAGGAGCCATAATTCTAGAGAATAGTAAAAATTGGGGGAAAAAGTTACATACTCAGAAGGAGTAGTTTACCATTCTATAGTTAGAGAACAAACAATAACAAGAAAAGTACAGGGCTGGGGTTGTGGCTCAGTGGTAGACCATCTGCCTAGCATGTTTGAGGCACTAGGTTGAATTGTCAGCACCACATATAAATAAATAAATAAAAGGTCCATCAACAATTAATAAGAATATTAAATTTTTTTAAAAGTACGTTTTCAGATTAGAAATGGGTATTATGAGGAATACTAATTTTGCTTATTTATTTTCTTAACTTAATATTTTTTTCTGGCAATGGGACTGAATTCAGGTATGCTCTACATCTGAGGTACATCACCAACTCTTTTAAAATTTTTAAAAATTTTATGCCAGGGTCTCTCTAAATTGCCCAGGCTTCAGTCCTTCTGTCTTAGCCTCCCAAGTGGCTAGGATTACAGGTGTGTGTCATCCCACCTAGAAGAAAGGTAAAGGTATTGAAAGCAACACGATTTTGTTTTCATTTTGGTCAAATGGGTAATAAGCATGATCTGCTGGCCTCTTCCCCAAAAATCAATCTGCTGGGTTTCAGTTTTCGCGACTAAAAGCTCAGGGGTCACTCCAGGTAAACTGAGCTAACTGGGCTGCGCAAAATAACCACACAAGAGACACAAATACCTTTTTCTTTGGGGTCGCTGTGACAGCTCCTCTGACCTTAAGGGTCTGCAGAAAGAGAGAGCGCGAGAGCACGCGCGCTGACCCCTTTTATTGAGGAGAAGCCATTCAAATGAGGCAAGGGGTCAGGTTTCAGGGGGCTGAGTCTATCCTCATGATGTCCACTGTCAGCAGGTTGACTGACACCTGGGTAGGCCACACCCAAGGGCACAGTAAGAGAAGGAGACACACACAAGGCACTTCCATGGAAGATTCTATCCTAAACAGGACAAGGGATTATATTACAAAGGAACAGGTGAGCATAGCTTCACCCATGGGAGGCAGTAGCAAGACACACCCATGCATGAGACACTGACCCTCGAACCCAAGAAGGGTGGGGAAAGCTCTGCCACATTTCTGTGACTGAGCACCTCAGCACCCAGCCGGGGAGTGTGACTCAATCATGTCTATGGTTGGTCTCCCACATCAACCCCAGAAAAAGATTCAGTAGAGGGAAAGGTGGTTTTCATATTTAAAAAATAAAACTCTTAGGCCTGTGGGGTTATCTTCGATATGTATGCTTGTATGGGTATTACTAGGGACTGCATTTAAAGTAGAATGTAAGAGAAATTTTTAAAAATTTGTCTCCAAGTCTCTCCTTACTCCTTGGAGTTGATCATTATCTGCTTCTTCATTACAGAAATCTGCAGCTACATTGGATAGTGGTAATTGCAGAGATAAAATCAAAGTACTTCAGAAATCTTGATGGTGGTAAGGAGTAGATTAAAACAACAACAACAAACAAAAACAAAGCAGGAGGCTTTATACTACAAAGCTATAATCATCAAAGCACCATGATATTGGCATTAAAAAAGAAACATAGGACAGTGCAGCAGCGAAACAGAGCCCAGAAGTCATGGGTCACTTCTACATCAGTTTACTGATTATCAGCAAAGGTGCTAAGACTACACAGTGGAGAAAGAAAAGTCTTCAAAAAGCATGGTGAACAGTGCTAGGAAAACTGGTATACACAAGCAAAAGAATGAAACTAAATTCCTCTCTTTTATCAGTTACAAAAGCCAAATTATATCAAAATAGATTACATGTAAGACTTGAAATTATGAAACTACCAAAAGAACACATGGGGAAATGCATTAAGATATTGGAATGGGTAAGGATTTTTTGGACAAGACCCAAAAGCACAGGCAACAAAAGCAAAATAGATAAACATTTGCAAACTTCACATTGCAAACTTGACAAGGGATTAATATAGTCAATATATAAGGAATTCCTAAAATTAATCAGAAATAAAAAGGCCCCACTAAAAAACATTTAAGACAAATTTTAAATAAACATTTCTCAGAAGACATATAAATGGATAACAAGCATATGAAAAGATGTTCATCACTAATTGTCACACAAATGCAAATGAAAATCACAATGAAATATCACCTCACTCCAGTAAGAAGAATGGCCTTTATGAAAAACACAAAAGATAATGAGTGCCAGCAAGAAGGTAGAGCAAAGGGAACCTTACATTCTATTGGTAAAAATGTAAATTAGTACAGTCATTATGGAAAATAGTATGGATGGCTCCTCAAAAATTAAAAATAACATTATCAAAAGAAAATAAGATGGGAAAAAAAAAAAGGAACTACCTTATGATCCAGCAATCTAGTACTAGGTATATATCCAAAGAAAATAAAATCAGTAAGTATAAGAAACACGTGTGCTCCCCTGTTTATTCACAAGAGCCAAGAAGTAGAAATAACCTAAGCGCCCATGAACTAAGGAATGGATAAAACATGGTACATATATGCAAAAAAATGGAGATTATTTGGCCATACACAGAATGAAATTCTGTATTTTGTGACAACATGGATGGAAGTGGAGATCATCATGCTAAATGAAATAAATCAGGCAGAGAAAGACAAGTACTGCATGGTATCATCATATCTGGAATATAAAAAAGTTGGTCCCATGGAAATTGATAGAAATGGTGGTTACTAATGGCTGAGGAGACTCGGGGGAGGTGTAACTGGGAAAGAGGGATCAATAGCTACCAAGTTGCAGTTAGATAGAACCAAGTTCTCTACTGTGTGAAACTGCACAGTAGGGTGCCTACAGATAACAATGTGTATCACAAATCTAAACAAGCTAGACAAAAGGATTTTCAATGTTTTTGCCACAAAGACATGATAAACATTTCCCAAGATAGGTATGTTTAACCTGATCACCCAATATATATGTGTACTGAAATAGCATATGGTATTCCATTAATATTTTGAATTTTTTATTACATATCAGTTAAAAACAAATTTAAAGAGGGAAAAAAAGATAAAAATAAGTAAAACTGAGGATAGATGAGGGATACAACTTGTATACAAAAAAAGTGGGGAGGCAAAGTGACCAATTACCCTTAGGCAGTAACTTCCATGTAGTTCCTCTTAAATTCAGAGGGATGGTTGACTAGTCCTTTTCTGTGCTAATTCTTTTTAAGAGACTTTAGGGAATATTTGATAGAACTGTTAGTAATATGTACCAACAGTGGTATGGAGAACCTGGAACTCTCCATCCTGGGTTTTAATTCCTGTCAACTTTTCAAAAATCACAGGATAGAAACACAGCAGTCCTGGCATTTTCTATAGGCAAGTGGTTGATAACTTTAGGAGAACACGGGGCTTGAACTCACAAGGCAAAATAACTAGAAAAAAATAATAGAATTATGAAGAATAAAAAAATCATTAAAAGAACTGAGTAAAATTATTGGAAAGAATAGCAGGATACATGGTTAGAAAGGTAGGCAAAAGCCTGATCATGGTATTATAGATCACAGAATTTTTTCTATCATTCATGCTTTGTTTTAGAGGCACTTAATAAAACTGTTTTATAATTCCATATTAATTGCTGAACTATCTCTTACTGGATGATGGACTGCATAGTTAAAGTTATTATTAACCACATTTTACAAATGAGAAAACTAAAGCACAAAGGTAATTTGTCCAAGGTAGTAAATGGAGCTAGTAAATAAATGGTGAAACTGGAATTTGAAAACATACTCTCAAGTCCATACTTTTACCACTATGCTATGCTGTCACTCAAGCTATTTCAAGAAGGTATTATACATAGTAGTAAAAGGCAAATCTATTCATATCACATATCTAAAAGTTACTAAGTTGTTTGGCTAAATTGTTTTTTAACCTTACTTTATAAACACACAAAATTACGATACTTATCATGAGTATATTGGGACAATAGTGAGAAAATCACCTAGGAAATAAGGAAAAAAAAACTTTAATCAAATAAAGGTTAAGACAACTATATGAAGGGGCTGGGGTTGTGGCTCAGTGGTAGAGCGCTTGCTTGGTATGTGTGAAGCACTGGGTTCAATTCTAAGCGCCACATATAAATAAATAATTAAATAAGGTAAACGTCCACTGACAACTTAAAAAAAAAAAAAAACGACATGAAGTTCTTTTCGTGTCCCCTGTTTCTGCGCTCCTAAAAAAAAAAAATCATTTTTATTGCCTGAACTTTTTTTTTCTAACGATGCCAAGCATCATGAAGACTACTGAGCTAATATATACAAAGTACATTCCAAAGAAGAACACATGGTAGGGGCTCAATAAATAACTGAACTATAATCAACACACAATTAAAGTCAAACTCTAGCAGGCTTTTAATGTTGCCTAAACAGCATCACAACCTATTAAATAACTGAAGCGCTGGTACCTTTTTGTTTTGTTTTGTTCTTAACAAATAACAAAACAATTTGGCCTGATTCTAATTATATCCTAGTGCTATTTGGTTTTTAATATTAGATAATATAGATCCTAATGGCTCATGATAAAACACAAAATATACATAAATTTTTAAAAAAATATTTGCAATGTTATATACTTCGTATTTCAATGTATACTAAGGTAGAACAATACGTAAGGATAAACCCAATGTGGCAATAATATTTTATAAGAAGCACTTGCAGTAAATAAAACTTATCTGATAAAGTTTTATAGTGACAGATATAAAAATCAAATGTCAGGCACTTACCTATAGTATTATCTGGTCCTTTTGATTTGGTATATGACAAAAATGCTGCTAGAAAAAAGATAGATGACAGTAGTTCTGCTCTTCCCACGACACCAGTTACCTAGAAAGGGAAAGAGTTGGGTTTGTATTAATGAAATATATCTTGAAAATTTACTGTATATAACAGTAACGAACATTTAAGCTGGAAACTAAAGTCCCATAACACTTCAAAAGCATGTTTCTGTTTTGTAAACACTCTTTGAGTGCCCTCAGATGGTGAATTTATGTATTTTCCATATATGGAAATCAGTGACCCTTTTTAACAGTTCTTTTATGATTATTTTAACTTGCTTTGAAATAATTATAGATTCCCAGAAAGTTGTAAAACTAGTATAGAGATGCTGCATATTTTTACTGATAATATCTTACAAATTTAAGGACAACATTCAGAAAAATTCTCTAAAAAAGCTAAGTACTTTTTATATATTTACTTAAAATATGAACATTTTAAAAGCAAAGGTATCATAAACTTAGTAAGCCATACGTCGATAAATCTGCAAAATAAAAGGACAATAAATTTTCAAAAGACCCTTTAAAAAATATGTATATAAAACTCTCAAAGCTTTTCCTTTGGAGCATTCTGAACTCACTATAAAATTTTAAAACAAATCTATCCCTTTTGTAAACATATGGAAAAATTATTTGGCTAGATACCATGTGGTTTAAGAAGTTGTATGGGAGAGACATGATCTTCCTTTAAAACACAAATTAACTTTTGCTTCAAAGGAAAACTTGTAACAAAGCAACTGAACATAATATTCTTAGCTGTTGCTGGGAGGCAAATGTGGAATTTTAAAGCAACCAAGAAAAATGAAATAATAGCTTGTGTGTTTCTTGGTAGGAAGGGACTGATGAATAATACTGGCAATAGCAGAGATAGAGATGGCTCATGATTTTGAAACACACGGCAACAGCAATTATGAAGCTCCTGAGTATCATCATTTGTTAGGATGGCTGTTCAGCTACTTTGATGTATTCTCAGCCCTTGAATTTGCCTTACTATTTTCTAACCTTTAAAATACAAAATTGACAAGTTGACAAATTGTATTTAAAATCAATATTGATAGAAAACCATTAGCAAAGAAAAAGAACTATACCTCTATATTACTCAAGTTAAGAGATTAGACATATCATATATTCTTGAATGAATAAATGTTACAGCTCCAAAACTATTCTAAATGTAAAAAGTTGATGCAGTTTGCAGATTTTGTACTTGAGGGAGTTAAGACCTATACTAATATAACAGTCTATAAATACTTGGATTAAAATCCTGATTAATTTTTTTCTTGAACATGTGATAGTATAATCATGATATGATTTGTAGGATAAAATAATTTTTAAAAATCAATTTACAGTTAAATAAAATCAATTTACAGTTTTACTTACTGCTTCTGTGTGTATTGGGTGCACTGCAAAAAGCAGAGCAGCAATCATGCTACTCCGATTATCCAGAAAAAGTTTGCAGACTTTAAGGAATATCACACTGACCACAGCATGAAAAATCATATTTAAGAGATGATAAGACATTGGTTTTAGTTCACTGAATAGATAATTTAAGCGAAATGTCAATACGGTTAAGGGTCGGTAAGACTTGTGGCTTCTTTCCTACAAGGAAAAACAACCATTAATTATTAAAGTTCTTTTGTCCTTCAGGTTACAAAACCTAATCATTGCTTGTACTATTAAGGATATTAATATTTGACTGAGAAATTGTAAAACAAATATAGAAGACAGCTTTATATTCTGTTTTTCTATGTCCTTACTCCAAAAAACAAGGTGAATTCCTCCCTTTCATATATTGATGATAATTAACCATAGAAGAATATCTGACTATGGATTGTTAAAAACATAAATTTTTTAAAAAGGTAGAACAATGGTGGCATTGGTCATATGGGATTCTTTGTAAAGCCTGCATTTCTATTACCAATGCAAAAGGTTATACAACTGCTTGCCACATCTTCAAAAGGAAATGTAAAATCAGAATGTTTACCAGTTAAGTTCGAATAATGATAATTCAAAAAGATACTTAAGTTATTTTATGAAAAAACTTCCATAATGGATAGATATGAGCATATTAAAGTAAAATTATCCAAATATTATGCAGGGAGTAACATTAACAGCAAAACTGTTTTTTTGGAATAGAAGAATAAAATCTTTTGTGGTGAATTTTTGTTGGCAAGAAATCAAGTAATAAGTTTCTCTATAAGTTAGAAGTTACATTCAACCAAAACCACTTTTTATCAAAAGACAAAATCAAAGCTATCATTACTTAATATCAATCATTTTAGATATTTGAATGTGCTAATTCCAGGCTTATTGTGAAACCTCATATAACAACTCAATAATCTGTAGAAAAAATTTTCTGTAGTGTCACATTTACCTACAGGATGAGAGAGAATATGTCTATCAAAATAAAGGAATAAATAAAATAAACTATATTCTTTTTTTAAAATATTTTTTTAGTTGTAGAAATATCTATTTTATTTATTTACTTTTATGTGGTGCTGTGGATCGAACCCAGTGCTTCATACGTACAAGGCAAGCACTCTACCACTGAGCCATATCCCCAGCCCTCAAACTATATTCTTGATTATAAATAAACTGTTATTCTAGTTTGTTCATCATTCTGTTTGAGTATGTTAATGAATTCTTATAGTCTGCCTACTTCTGGGCACTCTGAACAAAATCAAATTTTCAGTTTGCAATGCTGAAAAAATAAAACCACAAAACAGCATCAACACCATGACACGATAATTTTTTATGAACTCCTTTAATCTGGCCAGCTAAACTTCGAGTTCAAAATCTCAACCACAGAACTCAAATCATAAAATATACCGGCACAGATTGGGGAGATGGATACAAATTTTTAAGAGTCTTTGGGGATAAAGGGCAGGGATAGAAGAAAATAAATTCTCTAGAAATAATTTATGACATAATAGGGTCATATTTTTCCTCTTAATATCAAAAAAATTTTTGAGGAAGGATGGAGGAAAATAAGGTCAGCCTATGTAATAAAAAAATTTATTATATGTTTATGACTAAAGTAATGAAGTACCCAGCCCCACCTTTGAGAAGCTTTCAAATTTGGAGAATGAGGAAAGAGGTTACAAATAATGACTAAGAAACAAATAGAGTATTACATATGTTTCAATAATAATTTATTTAAAGTCTAAATAACAGGCATTGTAGATAGATAAATTCATTTATTTTTCTCAAGGTATTTAAAAAAACTAATATTAGATCATCTGTAAGATCCCAAGCTGATAAGGGTTTAATCCTGAACAGCCTAACACTGACCTTCACAATAAAGGCAGAGTAAAATACCTTCAGGAAAATGAACACACTTTTAAAGTTCTGAATATAAAATCAAAATAAGAGATATAACATAATTTTGTGAAACTGGCAACATATGTACTTATTATTTTTACCCTTATAGTCTAATCTATTTATACGGAAGTTACTATATTTTAAAATGGTTAAATATATCACAATTACAAATCATCTCTTCTGCCTGACTTAACAAGACAGAAAAAAAGAGTCCTACTCAGCCAGAAACAGACTTGTATTTAATGTTCTCCTTAAACATTTGGTTTTCACATACACATATTATTTTTAAAAAAGTAAATGAAGGTATACAGCCAAGAAAAGAATCAAATACCACTGTAATCACATCTTCAACTTCCTGCCCAATTTAATACAAGTACAAATCATGTCTCATATAATAAGTATTTACTTACCTCAGACATAGGAGTTCCCCAGAAATCATTTTGAAATAAAGTTTTTAAAGGTGTAGATGGATGCAGGTCTTTATTATCCAATATTGCTGAAACATCATCAAAAACAAAACCACAGAAGAGGCTGTTCCAATAGCATGCAGTAACCACACCTACTAGTAAGGTTACTTCTTTGAGGTTAATATCAGCCATCTTTTCCACAAGAACTTTTGGGCAAAAACTGGAAACAAAAACAACAGGGAAAATTAAATAAAACAGGCAACACTTTTTATTTTTTAAGTAAGCACAATTTGGTAGATGGATAATATGTAAGGAGTGTTAATAAAGCATGTTAATCCTTCTAGAGAAAAGCTCAGCTCAAATGCCCTTCACTTCTAAGAAGCATAAATTGATTATCTCTTTATATTTCTAACCTAGGGCAAAATTAAATGTTCCTTCAAGAGTGCTTTCATACCCCTAGTATAGTTCTTTATCATACCACTTAATCTTTGATCTGTTTCTAGCTAACTAGATAATGAACTCTATCAATTGTCATAGGTCAAAACACCTGGAAAGCAGACATATGTAAGGTAATTATAAACAACTAGCAATGGATCTTCCAGAAGTGCCTAATTTTTGTGGGAAAACAAATACTTGAAAAAACAATGAGCAATTGGTTTTCCAAGGTGTCAATGGAACTTTGGGTTCTGATAAAACCCAATCTAAATCAGAGGTCCTGCAACCTAGTTTAGTTGGGCAAAAATCTTGTAAAAATACTTGTCCTGAATGTTCTAAGTCAGTTACATGGTAGTTGGTTAACTACAGTCCTACTATTTCCTCCTGTCTTTTCCCAGATTTATTTACTTATATTATCTGCTTGGCCCTTTGGGCATATGAGATTATGGCACAGATCTTTATCATTTTTTTCTTTGTCCCATTACAACAAAAGTTTTTAGTCTGGAGAACAGGTTTCATAGATGACAATTTGTAAAAAATGAAAATAAAATACAAGAAAAGATTAATAAAAATAAAATGCTTAGAAAGGATTCAATGAAGGAATAGTTTAGAGAAGAAAGAACTATATTAACTGGATGATACCTGGGGGAAAAAATCAGTTTGATAATCAAGATAAAGTTGGAAAGTACTCTCAAAAAGCAAACAATAATAGGATTATCTGGCCTGTGTTGTGTCACTACCATTAATTTAGTGTTATTTCCTGCAGGAGGCAGAATAATGACACTCCAAATTATTCATGTTCCAATCCTCTGAACCTGTGAACCTTTTAGGTGGCCAAACAGACTTTATAGGTGTTAAAGTCTCACTAAAGAATTTTAAGTTCAAAAGATCATGCATCTGAGTGGTCCCAATATAATGGCAAGAGTCCTTAACAAGTCAAAGAGGGAGATGGAAAAGTCAAAAAACAGAGGTCAGAGTAAATGATTTCTGGTTAGGGGCCATAAACCAATGAATGGTCCAGTTCTAGAAAGTGAAAAAGTCAAAACAAACGAAGAAACAACAAAAAGCCTATATTCTTCATTAGAGCCTGTAAAAGGAGAATAGCCCTATTGATACCTCAATCTTAGTCTACTGAGACCCATTTTGAATATCTCACCTCCAGAAATACAAAATAATAAAATGAGTTTTAATAATCTCTTACATTTTTGATATATATATATATTTTTTTTACAGCAGCAATAGGAAACAAATATATCATCCACAGAGCCAAACAATCTAAAATTTGAGATATATCTTTGGAGTTCTGGCCAGGTCAGAGGAAGAATACGAAATAAAATCAAAACTTCATTTGGCAGTAAAAGTTCTACCTGTATAGGAAGAGTGGGTACTGATTTAAAATCAGATGCAAATTTTATATAAGGATACATAAACACAAAGAATGTATAATACATGAGAAGGAATTGAAGGATTTTTGTGATCAGATAGTAAGAACTTAGAATGTACTAGACTTAAAAAAAAATGCAAAATCCTCTTTGACAAAGTAGAAGGGAAATCAGTTGTATCCTTTGGGAAAGTACAGTTTTCAACTAAAAGAAAAATTACATGGGGTTCATCTTGAATCCAGAAGTGCTTAACCATGTTTCAAGGTATGGACTTGTACACCACCACTAATCCACACAAAAAAGTTGACGATGCTTTTGTTTAAAGAATGTGGAGAGATTGAAAAAGCATTTGCCTTATCTCCTGCCCAACCCCACACTAAAATGACAGTGAAGATATTTTTAAAAAGGGCAGGTGTAAATATGTAAAGATAAAGACAACTGCAAAACAAAGTGGGAAAGAATCCAAAATGAATGTGGGAGAAATTGTAACCAGGCGACTTGTTTTTAAACATTCCCCAAGGGAACAGGAGAAAAAGGGAGAGAGGTGGTCCTCTTAGTGTATGTTATGTGCTCAGTTTCGAAGTCAATATAGTCCCTAAGAATCATCTGCAAGATAAAAGTTGAGGTGATGGCAAGAGGTTACAAAGGGGATAGAGGAGAGATGTACATGATTCATTGGAGGCCATACTATAACAATGTAATTGACCACTGCTTTTAGTTGTAGGAATTTGTGTTTGTGGGTTTTTTTTTTTTTTTTTAACTAGCATATAAGAACACTTGTAAGTGCATGTAGTTTAAATGGATGACTGATTAAAGATTACTTACAAAAATGAAATGTCATAAGATCCAACTGTAATTAATGATCACTCATGAGACACATTAAAGAAATACAAAATACAATTTTCCAACAACATTATATTGGTGCTAATTTTCTGTCAAAATCTAATAGTACAGTGGGAGGAGATGAATCTATAGGAAAATTTTATATGAATTTGGCAATACTTAACACAAAGGATTATGTCCTCTCAGTTCACTTTTTTTTTTTTTTTTGGAAATTGAGTTAGTTCTCCCAAATTTCATTATTATACCATCACTAACAATAAGAGTAGTCTACTGTGTTTTATTATTATTTTATACTTTGAAAAACTCTTCTGGCATGTGCTGTGGACCAAGACTATTCACACTGAATCCTATTAATCTTTCTAGTCTACTCATGCTGAAGGAAGACAAGTACCTTCTTGTTGAAAACTTATTCCTCTCCCTGAAAACAAGGTAAAACAAAGCCTTTGCTATATACAATAGTATACAAAATTTCTAAAGGTCATTTATATTTCTGTTAAGTCAGCAAAAAGGAAGTAACATCTAAGGAACTTAAGTTGTTTAGAACACAGAAACGGGTTAGCAATTATAAAAGGCAAGGCTTTCTTGTCAAGTGATTTTGGCTAGATAAAACTATTCATAAAAGCCTAGGAAAAAGAGGCAGGTCTAGGCAAGTGTTCCTGTAACAACGCTATTTACAAAATTGTCACATAAATATATCTGTTGGCAAAAACTGATGCAGAAAAAGTGATGAAAATTAATGGAGAGTTTTAAGCCTTTTCCTATACTGTCCCTGAGTTAAATTTTCTCATTTACAGTTAGATACACATTACAAAGCATAAGAACCTAGACCACAGAAAAATTAATTACTGCTGTATCCCTGTAGTGCAGTGTACAAACTCAAAAATATTAGGATGAGTTAAAGAATTAAACTTAAGAAAGACTTTGCTCTTAGTTGAATGCCATTGAGATTTACAATCTTAGCTTCATTCATTATTAGGAAATTACTGAATTTCTCTGAACCTATTCTCATTTCTAAAAAAATAAGAATAAAACTTACCATTAGACCAGGCAATATGAGTTGTTGAGAACATAAATACTAAGGAGAAAGTGAGGGAAGCAAGGTAGAAAAGACCAATACAAACAAAACTAATACATGAGTAAAAAGAAAATAAATGAAAATAAAAGCAAAGTGCTGCTGTAAAAATAACAAATTCCTAATATGAAATATGCAGTAGTAAATACATACATGACATTACATATGATCGATAAATACTGACTTTGATCTCTGCCAAATTACAAAGATACTTATTTAAGTTTCAAGAACTCAATTCAATTTCTTGAGCAAGAAAGTTAAAAAATGAGAATAATATTTAATAAAGCAGCAAAACTAAAGAGCAAGTACACAAATATTGCTCTCCAGAATGTCTGAGGCGGGGGTATGTCATTCCTCTAGCCAGAAAGATCTGTACTCAATTACATTTTTTAAGTCACAGCAGAGAATTAACCTTTCTAAGCTTCAATTTCTTAATTTAGATGAAAAGTGAGAACAATGTAAACACCAATTTTACTGGACTGTTTCAAAGAATAAATGATATATTTGACAAAATCTTTCATAAAAGTAAATACATAATAATTCCTACAAATCTGATAAATATTTTAAAAATTTATTTCACAAAATTGGTATGTTTTTATTTTCTCCTGAGCTGTTTTTGTTTTACCCAAACACGCGGTTTAGAGACAATCTATTATCCACTTTTGAAAGGAATATTTACTGTCATTTATAGCATAAAAATGTGCTTTAAAAAACATGGAAAGGAAAAACATTGGTAGACACAATTAGAAATGCCACTTAGATTTCATGCCTTCAGCTTCCTAGGAAAAGTTGCCTACTTGTTTATCATATTCCAGAATAGTTGAAAGCAGCAAGATGATCAAAATTTGGACAAGTAAGATTGTTAAACACCTGAGAAGGCGCTTTCATCCTCAAGAACCAAGCCAAGAGACAGCAGCAGTCCTGGTGAATCTTGGGGGCCTTTCTCTTTCCAGCTCCCACAGTGGCCCAAATAAGTACTACCTTTCCTTTCTAGAACCTTCACTCGTACTACTTTTTCAGTCTTCATTCCGTGAAGCCCCTCAATCCTTGAAGGCAACGGTACTCCGGGATAAGACCGGTGGAGTCGAGGATGCGTCGTCCTCTGAATTCTTCACTCGCCCTAAACCATGATCGCTGCGCAGCCCTTACTTCAACGCATCACGGCAGATCCCATATTAAATGCAGCTAAAACTTTTCCCACCCGTTTTTTACAGGAGACACTACCCTGGGCGCCCCTTGCACGCGCTTAAAAAGAAGGTGGTGCCTTCCCACCTCTCCAGAACCGGGTCAGGCCCTTCAGCCCCAAGGGTTGGGGCTTCTCTAACCCGGGATTGCAGCCCTCAGCTCCTCCCTAGCCACTGACCCACAACCCGACCTCACCTGGGAGCGGATCCACCAGGGGACAGCTTAGGGAAATCTCAAGAAGAGCGGCCCAGCGATTGACGCCATCGAAGACATAGTCATTTTCTACCTCCTTCAGGCCACCAGCGAGGACACACCTCAGCCACCGCGCCTCCCGCCTCTCGGTCTTTCCCTCGTCTCCCCAGTACCGTCGCAGCCTTCCGCATTGCACGCCGGGAACTCCCTATCTTCTCCTCTCAGTGACTTCACTTCCCAGCATGCACTGTCGCAAGGTAGAACTGCACTCTGGAAGCTCGAGTCTCACTCCAGTCAAATTCCTCGTCCTCAACCCCGAGTCCAGGAGCGGGGCGTGAAGACTAAGCGTAAAGCATCATCCACCGTCGTAAAATGTAGGCTCTCCATGCATCCGGGGCCTTGTTCCGGCCTTGGGTGGGTGGGGAATGGTGTCGCTTAGCAGCCGCCGCCGCGTTATCTTGCTCGCTACCAGTTGGCGGGACCTAAAGTCCTCGTGGGACGGCGAAAAGGAGCCACCACGGGCCGCGGCGGGGCCCGTCGTGGTGGGTGCGGTGGATGAGGAACTATACCTGGTTGCCAAGCTTGGTCTAGGTGGGTGGAGCCTCCTAAGCGGTAGTCTCTTCGCAAGCGGCTTCTTTAGCTTGAGATCCCACGCAATAGCCTGGCCACCACCCCGCCCCTTCTATCCTCTGGTTTGCAATCCAGCCTTCTTGCCTCATTTCGTTTCTGTGGCACAGCTTCACTCATTTCAGTTATTTATTTGCGCATTTGAGCACTTTTTAAAACCCTGGGTTCCTGCTTCTCAGAATCAGGGATCATTTTCATCCTTCCAAACACCATCGGGTGCTCACAAGCTTTGGTGTTGGGGTCGTGGAGAAGAGGACTCAGATTGTTCTGACCTAGATTAGCTTTATCAAAGAAGTTATGTTTTATTTAGCCGGTGCGGAAAGCTATCATTTTGGTCAAGGCTGCTTTGCATACTTGTATGTTTTACGATGAAAGAGCCTTATAGCTTTTTGCTAAAGCATTGTAGAGTTACATTTATACCGTAAACACAATATTGCCTTTTACCTGGAAAATGCTAATTCGCACCTGTTTTATTACAGGTAGTGGAGCACAGTAAAAGGATTCAAGATGTCACCTAATATAAACTGGAAAGAAATAATAAAAATTGACCCAGATGACCTGCCTCGTCAAGAAGAACTGGCAGACAATTTATTGATTTCCTTATCCAAGGTGGTTAATAAATAAATGATACAGAGATAGACAATTGTGATAAACTTAAGTTGCCTCTGAAATCATTGAATGCTAAATTGGAAGAGTTCTTATATTTTGCTTAAAGGTTGTAAAATAGTTGCTTTTCTGTTTGCTTAGGTTGAAGTAAATGACCTAAAAAATGAAAATCAAGAAAATGTGATACATCTTTTCAGAATTACTCAATCATTAATGAAGGTTTGTATGCAGTATATTTTAATAGTAACTTTGACTCTTAGAAGAAATTTCAGTGTCTGTTCTTACGTAAGGTAATCTCTATGAAATAACTTAGTAATATCTAGAGCAACACTCAAAAATGAGTTAACAAATGTGAATTGAGAATTTTGTATAAAAGAGCAATTTTTTACTCTAAATTTCCTAAAAGAATGTGTTAGGGAAACGGAATAGGAATGTTTAAAAATAACATATGGACATATATCTTGAAGTCCAAGTGAGAAATGCAGACATTGAGTGTTGTGGGGATTTGTTGGGAGGAATGGTGATTTAAGTTGTATCAGAAGATTTGGTAAAATGATGAAGACTAAGGAGTAGTTTTAGATAAGTGAAAGGCAGTGGTGAGATGCTAAGAGGATTCTAAAGCTGGTGGTTATAAGTAAATGTTAGAATAGGAAATATGTTTTTATTTGAGGAAACAGGTGCAGGAAGTTTGTAGCAGGTTGTAGCAGATGTTGTATGGACAGTTTGGGATAGGTTATTAAGGGTCTTAAAGGTGTACTGTATGCTACTGGCAAGGAAGGCTTTAAAACCATAATTGAGAAGATACAAAAATATGCCTTAGAAAAGAAAAATTGGCTGTTATATAAGAGAAAATGAAGGGAATTGGAACTGAACAGCTATAACATCATGAAGGAGTTCAGACATAAATTTGTGAACTAGAATAGAAACAATTGAATAGACAAAATAGTTGTGAAAAACATCTCAAAGGAAGAAGTTTTAATCTTGCATTTAAGAGTTGAGGGGAAAAGAAGAATCAAAGACGCTTCAAACTGTTGCAGCTCTATGCATTATAACCTTAGGGTAGAAAATCATTCATTTATTCATTCAAATAACATTTATTGACTGTTTCCATGAGCCAGCCATTGCAGGCACTAAGAATTAGGATAGCAAATAAGACAATTTTTATTTTTAACACTTACACTTTAGTATAAAAGTATATTCAAGTAACTTTATTTTTCTTTTAATATTTAGATGAAAGCTCAAGAAGTAGAGTTAGCTTTGGAAGAAGTTGAAAAAGCTGGAGAAGAACAAGCAAAATTTGGTAAGTGTCTTGAGAAAAACTTTATTGTGTTAACCATTCTATTTATTTGTTGAACAGTAGAAAATCAAATTTAATATATTCTAGGAAATAGGTAAATTAAATTTGTTTGAAGACATTTCTAGATCTATTTTGTGGATATGGTATATAATGATTACTTTTACATAATCTTGTTATAATGTAATATTTTTAAATAATCTTATTGTTTTATTGAAATGCATTTCAAAATTTGTTTTGAGGTAAATCTAACCAGGTGAACCATTTGCCTTTTTTTTTTAATAGAAAATCAATTAAAAACAAAAGTAATGAAACTGGAAAATGAATTGGAGGTAAGTCCTTTTTTATTTCCTAAGGAGTAGTTGTCATTAACTGTATTATTTTAATATTTTTTGATTATTATTTCCTAAGAAAAATCAAGAAGTTGACATTGTACTCAGTTGTTTGTTCAGTGTAATAAATACTTATGTGCTGTGAATTAAATACCCAATTATGATAATATAAATATACTTAAGAGTTAGATGGAGCTTATAGTTTATAGAATACTCCAGAAGATTACTAGTAATTGAAGTAAAGGGGAGGATGTGAAGGTTTGAGGAACAGTGACAAAAGGATATGGTAGAAGTCACTTTTGACAAAGCTAAGTGCTAAAATATGAACATATTGTTGAAGAACTAAATATGTTGAGGTTCCTGAGAAGGTACAAAGGACTGACTTGGAAAGGAGGAAGACCCTCTTCCTTTGTATTAGGAGGGAAGGAAGAGTGGATGTACACAGAAGGTCTTATGTTTGTAGGTTTATTTTTTAGAAGTTGAGAGATTGTAGATGAGATCATCTGCAAAAATAAGAGTGGAAGATGGTATGTTCAAATTATAAGGATGACAGATGAAGCATGACATATAGTGGAGAAAGGACTGGAGAATGAGGGATCTGGAGTGGGTTGTAGTTCTGATTCTTTTTGTTTAACTCTGTGACCTTGGATTAGTTATTTTTTATTTCTTGCAGTATGTCCTGGGAAAATGCCAAGCATTTTCAATAAATATTTACATAATAAATGATTTATGAAATTGGATTGATTCTGTTCCTATATTTACATAGAGTCTGTTAAAGAATAGAAGGGTAGGATATTTGAAGATCTTGGTAGGAAAGTGGTTGAAGTAATAATTATGAAAGCATAGCTAATAGATAATGAAGGCAAGATTGGGGTTGGGGCAGGGAAGACAAGAGATAGGAAAGGGGAAATAAATTCAAGGGATTATAGAGTCCTTTGAGGTCAAAGGACAGGTCTGTTGGGGATAATTGAGAAAATGTTCCTGCTTAGACAAGGATTTGTTGTAGGTATGGCAGACTGAATTCAAGAAACAAGTTTTAAAAAAGAAAAGACTGGTCAAACTTATGTGAATATGTAAATTGCTTAGGTCAGCTTTTGATGGGAGAGTATGAACTAACTCATACATAAAATTCCAGTGAATTTTAAGGAGCAACTGGGAAAGTGATGGCTTGCTGCTATTGTGAGTATGTAGAGATGGAATAGTATCTTGTGACATCTAAAGCAGCTGGAGTTTTTACAGGATGGTGGAGGAATGTTAGGGATGATAACATGGAAATTAGTTGCAGGATAGCATAAATTTAGGAAAATACCAACATCTGTTCTTGAAAGAAAGAGCAACTTCCTGTGAGAAGAGTTCCAAAGAAATTAATATCCTAAGAGAAGCAAATCACAGTAAGATAAACAGGTGGAAAAGAGGATTCTGTAAAGAAACAGAAGATGTAAAATATTAATTTTTCTTGAGTGAAACCTTAGTGGAAAACTTTTTGAGGGAGAGGAAGAAAGAAAAATTTGGTGATGGGAGAGAGATGGCAAAAGTATATGTTGAAGAAGCAAAAATGGGACAGGCTAGATAACCAGTGATTTTGATGTTTTGGGCCAAGACCTAAAATTAACAGAAATATCAGTCAAACTGGATTTGGTTTACTGCAGGTTTTTAAAGCTAACCTAAATCTGGTTGTCCAGTACGTTAGGATATACCACTTGTATGTATTTACATTTATGTTTGTTAAACTTAAAATTAAAAATTCAGTTCTTTAGTTGTGCACAGCTGAGTTTCAAATGCTCACTAGCCAAATGTAGGTAGAGACTGCTGAACCAGACAGTGCAGATAACAGTTCTGATCTAAATACTCCAGGTATGAGAGAGGGGGCAAGTCAGGAGCCCTAAGATGTGCAGGAAGAGTGGAGCCTGGTTTCAGATCTCTAAGGCTTAGAAGATGTCTTGATAATTCATTGCCTACATTCTATGCCTTTGTAGTTTAGTCTGTTGCCTGTGCTTTAGTAGCTGTAACAGACTCTTAAGTAATTAAATTAAGAGTCCTTTCTTAGTGGCTTAGTGGTTCAGGATGTGCTTAAAGGGTTGTCTGCCCATGAACCACAGAGTAAATAAGTTAGTGACTTCAAAAAATGGTCCTCAAGACCTAGGAATTAAATAAGAGACACTGCGCCTATTAGAAAAAAAAGTAGGCCCATATTGACATCATGTTGGATTAGGCCCCAACTTCCTTAATAAGACTCCTGTAGAGCAAGAATTAAAATTAAGAATAAATGGGATGTTTAAAAAAAAAAAGAATAAATGGGATGGATTCAGAATAAAAAGCTTTTTTTTTTTTCAGCAAAAGAAACAGTCAGTGAGGTGAATAAAGAGCCTACATCTTGGGAGCAAATTTTTACCATTCACATATCAGATAGTGCACTAATCTCTAGGGAATATAAAGAACTCAAAAAGCTAAACACCAAAAAAACAAATAGCCCAATCAATAAGTGGGCCAAGGAACTGAACAGACACCTCTCAGAAGGAGATATACAGTCAATCAAAAATATATGAAAAAATGTTCAACATCTCTAACAATTAGAGAAATGCAAATCAAAACTACTCTTAAGATTTCATCTCACTCCTGTCAGAATGGCAGCTATTATGAAGTTAAACAACAATAAGTGTTGGCGAGGATGGGGGGGAAAGGCACACTCATACATTGCTGGTGGGAGTGCAAATTGGTGCAACCAATATGGAAAGCAGTATGGAGATTCTTTGGAAAGCTGGGAATGGAACCACTATTTGACTCAGCTATTCCACTCCTCAGTCTATACCCAAAGGACTTAAAAACAGCATACTACAGGGTACACAGCCACATCAATGTTTATAGCAGCATAATTCACAATAACAAAACTGTGGAACCAACCTAGATGCCCTTCAGTAGATGAATGGATAAAGAAAATGTGGTATATATACATAATGGTATATTACTCAGCAATAAAAGAGAATAAAATCCTGGCATTTTCAGGTAAATGGATGGAGTTGGGAGAATATAATGCTAATGGTTTCTCTGATATAAGGAGGCTTATTTACAATGGGGTTGGGAGCAAGAGCATGAGAGTATTAGAAGAACTCTAGATAGGGCAAAGAGGTAGGAGGGGAAATGGGGGTAAAAGAGATGGTGGCATGAGATGGATATCATTACCCTAAGTACATGCATAAAGACATGAATGGTGTGAATATACTTTGTATACAACCAGAGATATGAAAAATTGTGCTCTATATATGTATTACGAATTGTAATGCATTCTGCTCTCATATATAACAAATTAGAATAAAAAAATTTGAAAAATACAATAAAAAATTAGTCCTTAAATAATGTTATTCTAAATGTATGGTACTGAAGCATAATGGAAATTTTAAATCAGGATAATTATTTCCTCGTTGATGGACTTGAACACCCAAATATAATGCAATTAATTTAAGCATTTGGTTTATTACTTTAAGATGGCTCAGCAGTCTGCAGGTGGACGGGACACTCGATTTTTACGTGATGAAATTCGCCAACTTGAAAAACAATTGGAACAAAAAGATAGGGAATTGGAGGACATGGAAAAGGAATTGGAAAAAGAGAAGAAAGTTAATGAACAAGTAAGGCATGTTTTTTTCAGTGAATCTTAACTGTTCAAGTTAAGATGTCTGTATAGAACATCTGGTTTTGCTTTTTAAAAATATTGATAATACTGTCTCTAAGGTTTTATATCATTATTCATTTTGTCATTGTATCTTTAACATGTAATGGAAGCTGGGTGCAGTAATACATCCCTGTTATCCAAGAGCCTTCAGAAGCCGAGGCAAGATAACTGTAAATTTGAGGCCATCCTCAGCAACTTAACAAGACACTGGCTCAAAAATAAATAAACAAACAAATAAATAAATAGGTCTGGTCATGTAGCCCAGTGGTCAAGTGTCCTGGATTAAATCCCCAGTACCAAAAGAAGAAAAAAAAGTGTGTGTATATGTATACATACACATACATACCAGGCACTTTAGTGACTTTGAGGATTAATTCTTTATATTTGGAGGCACATATTTCTGAGGACATTAGAATTATATTTATGAAATGGATGCTTTTATCTTGAAGTTGTGTGTGAAAAATTAACAGGCACTGGGTTTCTTTGGCAGTTTCTACTTTGCCCTTAACCATTCATTCAGTTTTATTAAGTATTTACAGCATAGCAAAGACTGCTAATTACTAGAGTACAGTGAGTTACTATTGTCTAATTCTCAAAGATTTTCACAATCAATAATAAAAATACCATAGGGAAATATTTAAAGTAAAAAAAAATACTCTGGGATACTCTCTGGAGGGATTTGTCACTCAGTGTTGAGATTTGGGAAGTGATATGAGACCTGAAGTAGGAATTAATGTGGCAACAGGAATAAGCATTCTGGTGTAGAAAATACAGCATTTTTTGAGACCTAGATATAAGGTATGTAATATGTTCTGGAACTACAATTGTTCATTTTGGCTTGAATATAGATAAAACAGCTTCAATAGAGTCTTAACTATGTGCCATGTACTTTATATACATCAATTCATTAATTATGAATTATTATGTTAATTCATATAATGCATTATTCATTATTCTTCATTTGATAATTTATCTCGTATGATATCATTTCTACCATGTTACCAATAAAGAAATTAAGAGATACATAAAGGTTAAGTAATTGCCCGTGGTTACAGAGCCAATAAATGATAAAGCCAGGATTTGAATCTAGACAGTCCTACTCAAGTGTCTGTGCTTTTGTCCACTGTATTATCCCACCTTCCTAATTTTAATACTCAAGAGCCCTCTGAAGAAGTAAGGGCCAGTTCCTAAGGAATTTGTTTATCTTTTCTAAAAGTACTCGAAGGAAAATTTTTGAACACCATATCAAGATCAGGTCTATTAAAGTTTGCTCTGCTTTGTGGAGAGTAAATTGAAGACGGCCAAAACTAGTAAGGAGAAATTTGTGTTGATTCAGGCAGATGCTAATGATGGCTTAATTAAGATAATGGCTGATGGGATTAAGATGCATAGACATATTTGAGAGAAGTAGATGTAATTGCACATGGTGAGTGATGGTGGGAAAAGATGGATAAATGGGACAGACTGCCTGTTTTTATGTGTTAGGCTACTGGATAGGTAGGTAGATAGTTCCTTTTACTAAGAAGAGACACAAAAGGAGTTTGGAGATTTTTTTTATACTGGAGATTGACCCCAGGGATACTTTGCCAATGAGCTACATCCCCAACTCTTTTTATTTTTTTGTTTTCAGACAGTATCTCACTAAGTCACTGAGGCTGGCCTGTAACATTTGATTCTCTTGCCTGAGCCTCTCAAGTAATCCCTCTGTGGGATTGCAAGTGTACACCACTTGCCTGGCCAAGATTATTATTTTAGTTTTATATGTGTTTGAGTTTGAGCTCATATTCAAAAAGGATACTTGTGGATCTGGAATTCACAAGAGACATTTGGCAGATGATGAGGATTTATTTTTCATCAGTACAGATACTAACAAAGCCAGAAAAGTGATTATAGGATGGATTTCAGAAATGCCTAATAAAGCAATGAAAGAGGAATAGATACTTTGAAGGAAATCCCATTAAGAGTGTGACATTTGAGAGGCCGAGGGGAAAAAAACATCAGTAACATTAATACTTTATTATTAAGTTCTTGACTTCTCTCTTGTTAAAATTTTCCAATTCAGAATACAATAGTTTATTTCTTAATTTTCAGATGAAAATAAACGGATAATAATAATAGGCAGACTTCTAAGATCTGAATTGTGCTTTGCATTTTATTATGAACTTTCTTTAAATTTTTTATTTTGAAAAATGTCAGACCTTCATGAAGATTGTAAGAAAAACAATAAACATCCATAGTCCCCACATATAGATTCACCAGTTGATAACTCTGAACATTAGCTTTATCTTTCTTTCATTATCTTTTTACACACAGAAATACTTCTCTTTCACTGCCTTGTTTTTTCTGCTGAGCTATATGAGAGTTAATTGTAGAAACTTCAAACTTAAAACATTTCAGCATGTCTCTGTTAAAAAGGATATTCTGCATAACCACAGTATAATTATCATACTTGGGAAATTTAATATTGATTCTGTATTATAATTTAGTACATAATCAAATTTCCTCTTTTGACCAATAATATCTCTCTCTCATAGCACCCCCGCCTACCTGTCAGTATCCAAGGTTCCATTAAGTATCACACACTGCATTTGATTCTTTACTGTAGATTTTCAAATGTGGTTGTACAACGTTATCATTCTGTCTTCTCAAGAAGGAGAAAATAGAAAAGTAAAGTATCAGATTGTTTATTGAAGAGTAGGTGATAAAATATCATGGTAATTATAATAATATTTGCTTATTTGAGAAAACAAAACAGTCAAAAGTAAAATCATTTGGATATGAAGAAGACAACTCTATAGATACATACATATTATTTTAAAATTCTATTTACTGAGTATTATATTAAGGGACTTTATCTTATTTAGTTCTTTTTTTTTTTCTTATTTAGTTCTTATGTCAGCATATGAAATGAAAAAACTGATTTTAAGAGGTTAAATGCCTTGTGCACATTTCATTAGAAATTGATGGGCAAGAGATATCAGCCTAGGCCAGTCTAATATCAGGTTGCTTCATTTAACTATTATATGCATTGACATATATTTCTAAGTAATTAGAAGCAAAGAGTTTTCTAGCTATGAATGACATGAAGAATAGTAAAATATAATGATCTTTGGCAGAAAACCACTCATTTTATTAGAGATTTTTTTGGGAATGGGGAAGAAATAAGGAGAATAATTATTTAAAAATTTTAATTTATTTACTAATTTATATTTTTTTGTTTGTTCTGGTTAGTTTTTAAGTTTGCATGGGTTTTTTTAAATCTTTTAACCTGAGTCTTCCTTGTCCTTTCTAATCCTTAGTTTGAATAGATTTTTGTCTTATTTGTGTTACGTTGATTTGAAGTTCTTATAGTTAAATGTTTTTTTACTTTATTGGAAAGGATTTAGAATTTAGATTGACAAACCAAAAAAACTTGTTTTTGTATTAAATTGCTGTTGAATTTTATCATATTTGGTTTTTTTTTTTTTTACCATTTTAGTTGGCTCTTCGAAATGAGGAGGCAGAAAACGAAAACAGCAAATTAAGAAGAGAGGTTGGTAAAAAATTTTAGTTGTGGTGGTTCAATAAAGATACTTGTTAAAAAAAAGTTTACATAAATTTATATTGTAAGCAGAAATGGAATCTTCCAAATAACTTATGCTTTTGAATTGGTTGATTTTATGATACCATTTTGTGTCAAGGAACTAGAAGATAAATCAAAACATGAGGTCTTTCATCTCTATCTGTGTTGAAAATCTTGCTTTCTATTCAATAATCCATTCTTTGCTAATTTGCTAATTGAATATAGGAGTGGATTTCTGTTCTTATTGCTCTTATTTTATTCAGCATTTTTTAATAATTTTTGTTCTCACAAAGTTTTGTAAATTCTAATTATTATTTGGTTCTTCTGAGCCAAATAATGTTTGTATATTGCTTATTCTTAATGTAGTAGCATAATCAAAATATTTCATTTCATTTGATAGTTAATATTCTTACTTTCTTTGGTTATCCAAAATAATGTGCTCAAATCTCCTAAAGTTTCTTTATTTTTGCTTTCTTTAATTTCTGTCTATTATTTTTAATTATATATTGCCTTTCTCATTCCTAATTACCTTTTTCCTGTCCTTTTCTGGAGAACAAACGTCTAAAGAAAAAGGTGAGGCTTTAAGGGTGGTAAAACCTTGGAAATTTAAAGATATGTTCTGAGAGCAATATTTAGAGGATATAGTTTTGTTGTTTCGGATAATTTCTTAAAGGACTGTTGTTTTTGATCTACCTTCAGAATGAACAGCTTCGTCAGGATATTATTGACTACCAGAAACAAATAGATTCACAAAAAGAATCACTTTTATCAAGAAGAGGAGAAGACAGTGACTATCGATCACAGTTGTCTAAAAAGAACTATGAACTTGTCCAATATCTGGATGAAATTCAGGTAAAATGAATAAAGTCAGTTTAAAGCAATTATTCTTATAAACTTTAGTTTCACTATAATGTAATCTAGTATTTAGCCCTCCATGTAATTCTTCATTATAAATTGGCCATCATGTACTTATAAATCATGAAATAAATTGCATCTTTGAAGTTCCAATTCTTCATTCATTCTTTTTATATAAGCCTATCTTCTATTTTGGGAACAATTGAAATCCTGTGTACAATATTCTTGATGTTTAATGTAATTTAATTGATTAATGTCAATTTATCCTAAAGGTACATAAAGAATTTTCTTTTGTGCAGTGCATTATTAATGTCTCCATTTAATTTTAACTTAGATTAAGTTTGACTTTATTTAAAACTTTTTTGAAAAGTATAGTGTCTCTTAGGGCTGGGGGTATAGCTCAGTGGTAGAGCACTTGCTCAGCATGTGCAAGATCCTAGGTTCGGTCCCCAATACTGCCAAAAAATAAAAATAAAATCATAATATCTCCAACTTTTTTAGACTTTAACAGAAGCTAATGAGAAAATTGAAGTTCAGAATCAAGAAATGAGAAAAAACCTAGAAGAGTCTGTACAGGAAATGGAAAAGATGACCGACGAATATAACAGAATGAAAGCTATTGTTCATCAGACTGATAATATAATGGACCAGTTAAAAAAAGAAAATGATCATTATAGACTTCAAGTAAGAATTATTGTCAAGATAGTTTATTTAAAACTTCATGTTGTTTCATTACTGTTTATTGGAAGCACTTTAACTTTCTAGGATGTGAATTTTGTCTCTCTTCTTAATATTGTAATATGTTGTCCTCATGATATTCTTGTCCATACGTGTTTTGAAATTCCCTCACAAACATCTTGTAATTCTTGCCATCTAGGAATATGTAAGTGATGCTTTAATAAATATATAGATGGCAGTCCTGTTTATGCATTTTAGACCTTAATAGGTGATTTTCCCTTGATACTTTTGAAAGTCATATCATTTAGCTTTAGATCTTAAAATGAATACAATATAAATATATATAAATGTATTAGAAATCAATATATTGTTTACTATTTATAAGGGCTTAAACTTATTTAAAAAGTAGAATAATGTTTAAAAAATACAATTCTCTAGTAATTAAAGAAAATTGTGCAACTATAGGTTGAGTATCCCTTATCTGAAATGGTTGTTAACAGAAGTGTTTCAGATTTTGAATTTTTTCAGATTTTGAAATGTGTATATGAGAAACCTTGGAGACAAGATCCAAATGTAAATATTAAGTGTATTTATGTTTCATACCCCAAAAACGTTAGGCAATATTTTTAGTGTACTTGCCTTTCAATTGACATATATCACATGAGGTTCAGCATGAATCTTCCAGTTGTGGCATTCCATCATTGCCAAAAAGTGTATAATTTTGGAGCCTTTTAAATTTCAGAATTTTGGATTAGTATTGCTCAACCTGTATAAAGATACAGAAACTGTCATATGTTACGGGCTACTCTAGTAATAGCTTATGTAATGTGGTACATCTGATTATATATAAATATTCATATGTAATAAATATATTTATGTCACAACAATTAGTACCATTTCTTGAAATAATTGTTACCTTTTAGGTGAAGGAACTTACAGATCTTCTGAAAGCAAAAAATGAAGAAGATGATCCAATCATGGTAGCTGTCAATGCAAAAGTAGAAGAATGGAAGGTGCTTTTCTCAACTTATATAATAGCATTTTCATTTTCTATTTTAGGTTTTAAATTTAAGTTTTATTTTTGTATAAAGGACTTATAAGTTAATAAAATTTTAAAGTTTTTTACTTATTTATTTTTTAATTGATGGTGTTATAAGTCTCAGAAAAGTTGTATAGTCTTCTAGCTCATTTGTTATTGAGTGAGTGCTTTCAAGTCAGGGTTAATCAGTGGGATTAAGAGTAGGAGAAGAGATCTATCAGAGTCACTTGGGAAGCCTTTTCAAAATTCACCTCTTTCTCCTTACCACCCTCCAATCTCAACCAATTCCACAGCCTTTCCATGTCAGAAGCTGGATTTTTGATAGTTATATATTTGAAAAACATGAGATGACTGAATGAGTAATTCTTATTTTAAAAACTCTCTTCTTGAGTCATTGCTTTTAATAGGGATCATGTAAATGTTGTTGGCAATGGGAATTGGTTATCATCTAGGAAACTCATATAATATATAATAAGTATTTTAAATGAAAACAGTGGCAATGGAAGTGAGGCCTGAAAAATCAATCAGGAGTCACTAAATTTTATGTAAGGGTCTAGAGAGTAAATATTTAAGTCCATCTAGTCTGTTTGTAACTGAACACTGCTGTTAACATGTGAAAACCACCATAGACGATACACAAATCCATGAATAAGACTGTTTTCCAGTGAAACCTTTTTTACAAAAACAAGTGGCGTATCAGATTTTGTCTGTGAACTATAATTGACCAATTCTTGGAAAAACTAGTTTGTTTTTTTACGAAATTTAATTTTTTGGTGGGGAAATCATATGATAATATGTAATACATCTTTAAATAATTATTTTATCTCAGTATATATAATATTGCTTTGTTGTTTTTAATGGCTGTTTAAATTTTCTTTGTCGTATGTGTATTTATAATTGATTCCTTTTTGTGTAACATTTAAGTGGTTTCCAATTTTTACTGTTAATTACAGTGTTTTAATAAATACCCTTCTATGTATTTTATTTTTTAAATATACAAGTATAGTTGGTAAAATAAATTGCCATATGTAATTGTGATATTTATTGCAGGTACATTTCTCCAGTTTGTTGCTTATGTATTGGCTTAAGTATTTTTTTTTAATATGAAGTACAATATTTTGCTGCATAATTTTCACAGACTTTATGCCAAATTATTTTTGTAAAAAAAAAAAATGGGATGCAACAATATGTGAAGCTTCTTTTAAAAAAATGTGCTGGTATTACTTAGAAGTAATTTATTACTAAACTTTCTTTGGTGCAAGATTAGAATATACAGACTACTCAAGTATGTTATTGAGGTGGTGACAATTATTCAATGAAATGGTATTTCCTTGAATATTAATTAGTTAAATTTATGATTTTTCTAATGGTTTTTGACCTTTGTGTCATAATTAGAAAGGCTTCTAAGTACTTGTTTTCTCATTTCTTTTCTTTTTTTCCTAGTATCTTTTGGTTTCCTTGTTTGCATTTAAGTCTTTAAAGCATATATAATTCATTTTGGTATAAAGATTGTAATATGGATTCCACAGACCTATTACTGAAACATAATTTTTTGAATATTTCATTTCATACTGAAATATAGTTCCATTTTTTACCATACAAAAACTCCTATTGAATTTTAGATTTGTTTGGACTCTCTTTTATGAAATTAATTTCACCTGTTATCTAAAATTATTGTTTAATTATTTCATGTATAAATAAATGCTGTTCTCATTGGTTTTCTGTTTTTAGACTTTTATGAACAACTTTTACATGAAATTTAGAAGTAGCTTGTTCAGTTCTTAAAAAAAATCTTACTTTTTTATTGGGTATGTATAAAAGGTATAGATTGATTTAGCGTAAACATTTTTATGATATTCAATCCCTCTAAGAAAAAAAAACTGCTTTTAAGATAGTTTATTCTTCTCAGTGGCATTTTAATGCTCATTTCATAGATAAGTTGTATAAAACTTATGTAATAATGTGGAAGAACATATAAGTTCTGATTTAGGAAGGAATTATGAGTTGAGTTTTTAAAATTTGAATTCTGAAAATGTAAAAATTACAGTGTGCATTTTTGAATCATTTCTTATTTCAACTTCACATTAAAGAGAATTAAGGTCATACTTTCTTGTTCAAAGATTTGTATTTTCTATGTTTTTTTTAAATGTACTAATGGTGTTAACCATAAGTGAGGAATAGTTTGTCTTTTGTGTCACAGATATTTTGTTTATTTCTAGTTAATATTGTCTTCTAAAGATGATGAAATAATTGAATATCAGCAAATGTTACATAATCTGAAGGAAAAACTTAAAAATGCCCAGCTTGATGCTGATAAAAGTAATATTATGGCTCTACAACAGGTAAAACCTTCTCAGATTTTCATTTGTTAATCCCTTTTATCAAAGTTAAAAGTGTGAATGCTTGTTTATTTTATCACCTGTGTCTAATTTAGTGACTTCCACTGCTAGGTGTATGACAAAGTCTTGTAATTTCTTGTTTCAGGTCAAGAAAAAAATTAGAGTAAGGGTTAAAGTTAGAATCATTTTGTTTATTTTCCTATGTTGATGTAGATAATATAGCCATTGTTTTAGTCAGGAATTAAAGAGAAACTATTCAAAATTTTTTAAAAATATCTTACTACTCTGTTATTAAGATTTATTATATAATATTTTAGTCCTGATATACCCTATTACATGTGAAATGAACTCAAAGTGTGGTAATAATTTTAATGAGCTACCTAAAGATTTTATTTTTAATAAAAATGTTTTAATAAAATTTTAATAAAAACTTACATGGAAAAAAAGCACACTTTCATTATATATGTTAACTTTTTAGTCAGTCCAAAAGAAAAAATGAAATTTGAGAAGTATTTAAAGGTTAAGAATAAGTATAGAGGACAGTATTTATTAATGAAGTAATACAGGAATAGAAATTAAGTTGAGTGAAAGAGAAAAGCACAGTGCAAAACAAAAATACACAAAATGGTAAAATGGTGTTCTTGGAGGGCTATTGAGTAAGTAACACGTAATGAGTTATAAAGAGCCACAGATGTTAGAGAGTTTGGAATTTCTATTTGTTATCGTGTTAGCCACTATTCTTTATTAGAGTGATACCTGTGTAGGTAACATTATGTAGGGCAGCTAAGGTATACAGAATATTGAAAGCATAGTTTTATCCAAGAGAAAATATATTTTGTAGTCTTTTTGAAAAAAATAAAACCTACCTTTCTCCTTACCTTTAAGATGTATATTAATATTCATGAAGAGATGCACAATATTTTAAAATATTTTATAGGGTATACAGGACCGAGATAGTCAAATTAAGATGCTCACTGAACAAGTAGAACAATATACAAAAGAAATGGAGAAAAATACTTTTATTATTGAAGATTTGAGAAATGAGCTTCAAAGAAACAAAGGTAATTCAGTATTTTACAGGTGAAGTTATTTCATCTATAATGTTTTACTAGTTGACTTTTATTAAAATACAATTGTATCATATCAATAAATACAGTATTACATGTCCTCCTTTTGAATTTTATCATTTTCAAAAAATTATACAGGACATTATTGTGCATATTACCACTGCTTAAATTTGTAAATGATGGATACTTTTCTGTAATTTTTCTCTGATGAAAATTATGTCTATTACTAGATTGGTGTTATAAAAATGAAGACAGAAGTGTAATTGATTGCTTTTATTTTTATTTTTTATCTTTTTTATAATTAAACAAAATTTTGATTAATGTAACAACATTGCAGATAGTTTTTAGAAGTAATTTGACATGTTAGCATTTGAAATAATCTTCCCCAAATTAGTGTCTTTCCATACATCCCTTACACTAAGTCATACCACCTTGCCTAATACATCTAATCCTCTTAACATAGCCCTCACAACATTAGTGCTATTATTTTTCCATAGCACTGCATACTGTAGGTATACCAGGGAATACTACAATTGGTCATGATAAATTGAGGAACATATTTATTATAATTACTGAAGATAAACAGATATGAATGGGAAATAATTAGTCTGTAAGTTGGCTGTAAGCCATGGGAACAAGTTCAAAGCCATTGAATCAAGAGTATATGTAACAAGCATGTTTGATCAGCAAAGAAGCCCTGGTGGCTGAAGAGCAAGCAGTTGGATAATGATAGGAGATAAGATAAGAATTTGCTAGAGGCTGTATTGTGGGTAGTTATAGTTCAGTGTATGGACTTTGACTTTTATTTTAAGTGAAATGGGGCACCACAGTTTCTGAGGATAAGAGTAAGGAATGATATAATTTGACTTAGTCTACGTCTGCAATAACTGGAAATGGTAAGGACAGAAGAGGAGACTTGTTATAAGACTATTGAAACAATCTGGAGACAGGTGATAGTGGATTGGAGAATGATGGTAGCAGTAAGGTTATTAGATTTACTCAGTGTAGATTTATTTTGAAAATGATAGAAATGGAATTTGCTGACCCAGCAGATAGAGGATATGAGAAGAAGTTATCAGGGCTTTTAGTTTGAACTTTGGGGAGGTTTGTGGGAAGATCAGGTTTAGAGATGGTTAGATACTTCGTTTTAGACGTGTTAAGTTGGGTATTTATTAGACATCCACGTGAAGGCGTTAAGTAGGTAAATATGTAGAAAAAAGTCTGAGGTTCAGAAGAGCAAACTAGGTTAAAGATATAAATTTGAGTACCGTCTCCCTAAAAATGGTATTCAAAGTCATAAAGATCATCTACCTAAGATCATCAAGGGAATGATTATAGGTTAAGAAACAAAAACTAAAAATTGAGACCTCGAATACTTCTAATTTAGAGGCTACGGAAAAGGAATGAACAAAGGGGACTGAAAAGGAAGGGTCAGAGATAGGAGGCATACCAGGAGCTTGGAGGGTCTTGAAAACGACATGAATGTCAAGGAAGAATAAGCTACATTCAGAGGTCAGCATTCAGTAGGTCAAGATAAGCACTAAAAGTGAGCATCAGACTTAGTAATAGCTATTTTTAGTTCAAGAGAAGAAATGTTGAGAAGAAATGTAAGAACTCTTTTTTTTCAGGATTGTTCCCAGAAAGGAAAAGGGGAAAATAGGCGTTAGTCTGAGGGGAAAGAAAGATTAAGAAAGTGATTTTAACATGGAAGAATTAACTCATACTTTAGGATTAATAGGAATGCTCCATTCAAAAAGAAACAATAGATGCAGCAGAACAGGGAGAGAACTTCTGGAGCAAAATTCTTGATAAAGTCATGTGAAAGATATAGTCAGTGAAGAAGTTGGCCTTAACTAGGAACACAGAGTTAATTGATAAATCGAGGAAGAAAGGTAGTGTATATAGATATAGATGTAGGAGGATAGGTAGATATCCTGATGGTGGAAACTTGTAGAAATTTCCTACTGATTGCTTCTTTTTTCTCAGTGAATAAGAAATCAAGGTTCTCAGCCAAAAATAATAGGGGAGTATGTATAGTACAAGTTTGAGGAGAGAGAAAAGCATTTGGAAGAATGAAGATGGGAAATGTGATATGATTGCTGAGTAGTTTCAGTGTTTATTTGTATTGTATTTATATTAGAATACAGTGTGTTTAACTGCTTTAAACAAATGACTGATATTATGAATTTTGCATGTTAGTCACCAGGAGAAAAAGTTGCAGTTGATCTTTGCTATCAAATAAATTGAAAGAAATCTAATGAATTTGCAGTCTATAGTCATATAATTCCTAAAGAATGCAGAAGATCTATATACTAGATTGTGCTTTATATATTAAACCTAACCTGTAAACCATGATCACTTCTTTCATTGGTTAGGATTAACTTTAGCTCTTTACACAGATTAGAAGAATAGTGGCAAAGTCAAGACAGGAGATTCTCACTTGTGTTGTCATCTAGAATCAGGCAGTCCAGGGGCTTATCTTTTGTTCTGTCTAGAAGGCAGCTTTACCCATGTCCATATCCAAATAGCAAAATAGAAGAAGTGAAGACAAGGGATGAAAAGCACATGCTGAAGGATAGGTGAGAAAAGGTAGTGTTTATTGTGATGGCTATGTGTAATAAAGGGAGAATAGATATTAGGGGACAACTCAGCCTCTTTCACAGTTGGCTGTTAGCTCCAGAGAGCAGAAGTCATTTGCTTGTTTGTTTCTTTCTTATTTACTTACTTAAAAAAGTTTTTTTAGCAGTGAGTATTGAAATATAGAGGTGTGTGTGTTTTTTTTTTTTTTTTCCCTCCTCACTACTGAGTTATATCCCAAGTTCTTTTTATGTTTTAGTTTGAGACAGGGTCTCACTAATTTGCTTAGACTGGTCTTGAACCTTACGATCCTCCTGCCTTAATTTCCTGAGTGTACGATGTAGACATGTACTACCATGCCTGTCTCACCAGGTCTCATTTCTTAAAAGACCTTATGTGATCTCCCATCCTAGCCTAGTGCATAATAAAAGACTAATGTATTAGTAAAAGTTTATTATGAATGGGCATAGTATGATTTGTGTCGATAAATTTTAGAATGATAAGTATATTATATGTTGGTTTAGCCACAGTTTAGTAAGCTAATATAAGAATGGATTTAGGACTTTTATTTTACTTAAGTTATGATTAAATTTAGCTGCAAATTATAGAAAAATAAAGCATGGAACAATGATTTAAACAAGATAGAAACTTATTCCTCTATGATATAAACAAAAATGAATTAATTCAGTTCAGGATTGGTATGGTAGCTACACAGATATAAGGTAGCAGGCATCTGGGACTTCTTTGTCTTGTTTCTCTGCCCATCTCAACATGAGATTTTGATCTCAAGTTCTAAGAATAACGTTTGAGTTTTAACTTTCATATCCATATGCCAGGTAGCAGGATAGAGGAAAGAAACAAAAGATTGACATTTCTCCTTTAAAAACATTTTGTAAAATTCATGCATGATCTTTGTATTTTCTATAGCAACATGACCATAACTGACTGCTGGAGTGTGGAAATTTAGTTTTCATTTCAGATGGTCAGGTGGCAGCTAAAAATTTGTAGTTCAAATTACATGGTCAAAAGAGAAGTTGAATATTATGAATATTCTCTGTTACAATGATCAATCCTGTAAAGCCTTGTTTTGCAGCCTTTGTTAGCCCTAATCCCTTCAGGTGATTTAACTGAACTTTACTTTTTTTAGTTAATTTTATTAACCAAACCAAAATAGAACTCTCAGTTTACAAATATAAATTGCAACATTAAAAGAGCTTTTTAGTGCTATACCACTTCTGTCCATACATTAGAACAACTGATTTAAAGGAGTAAGTAGTCAACCCAGTTAATTTCATGATTTTTGTTTTTACCTGTAGGTGCTTCATCCCTTTCTCAACAGAATCATTTTATGAAAATTCAGTCAAAGGTACAAATTTTAGAAGAGAAAACTAAAGAGGCTGAGAGAACAGCTGAACTGGCTGAGGCTGATGCTAGGGAAAAGGATAAAGAATTAGTTGAGACTCTGAAACGGTTAAAAGATTATGAATCGGTATGTATATTTATCTTGTCAGTCAAGAAGCTTTGAATTATTTTTACCACTTATAGACTCTTTTGTGCCCTTTACTGCATACCATTTTAAAAAGTTCCATAAATCTCTTGATAAACGTTATTCTAATTAATTTATATTAAACTATTCAATCTTTTGAGCATTTATATTTTGTCAGAATTTTTTTTCAAACCATTCAATCAAAACATTTTGCCCAGATAATAAGCTTTGGTGAAGTTGCAAAATTAGATTGTTTGTTATCTGTATTCTTTGTGCCACCATGTAGATGTGATACCACTGGCTGGTTTGACAAAACTTGTGACATGATGGTTTTGTTTTGTTTTCTTTGTCAACAGTCTACTTTGTACTTTTTATAATTTTTAAAATGATCCCACCTTAAGCAACTTAATTTGTTACATATTCTATTGGTTTTGCTGATTCACTTTTAACTTTCAATAATTTTATATGTAGTATTCTAACAGTTTGTCATTAGGATGTTGTACTGGGAAGTTTTAAGCATTTTGTATTCCATAATTATTATTATTAAATTCAGTTTATAAAAGTACATAAAAACCCTTAATGTATAATTTTTATGTTTTTATTATCTGTTAAAAAATAAATTTAAGCTTTGAAAAAACCTGAAATATGCCTATCATATAAGTTGTAGGTATATACACATTTCCTCTGAGACTTAATGAAAGATAATTCTTAAATAATTCATGAATTTTATTTATTTATTAAAATAAACTATGTTATATTTAAATTAGGTTGGGTGTTTTTCAGGGAGTATATGGTTTAGAAGATGCTGTTGTTGAAATAAAGAATTGTAAAAACCAAATTAAAATAAGAGATAGAGAGATTGAAGAATTGACAAAGGAAATCAATAAACTTGAGTTGAAGATCAATGATTTCCTTGATGAAAATGAGGAGCTTAGAGAGCGTGTGGGTAAGTCATCTTTTAAGTAGTTTTCTCATACATGATTTCCAATTCTTTTTTGTTTACTTTGGTTTATTACTATTACTTTTAAGTAGTTGAATGCTTTTCTCCCGTAAATAAATACTTCCGTGAAAACATTTACACAGAAGTGAAGCTGCTTCTATTGAAGTGGGATTGAGGATTTCATCTAGATTGTGGGTCAGCAGTCCTGGAATCTCATTTTATATAGTGTGATACTTCCTCAGTAATAGATACTTGTTTAAAAAATGAAAGTCTTTTAACATTAATACCACATAACAGACGTTAACCTTTTTTTTCCTCCAAAAAGAAGGGACCAATGACAAGTTAGTTTGCAGAGTGCTCTTTGTTTCAAATTAATTCCTAATGACTTTATAAATGTTTAAATTTTTTTAGGACTTTGAGGTTCTTGACTTTTACAATTTAGGCTGCTTAAGTTTTACTTTAGTTAAGTATTTTAAGAGTTCTGTTGATTTTAACAAGCAATTTGTAAATCTCACTTTGAGAACTTATGTTTTGATTAGAGTGAATAACACATTACTTAATATTACCAGTTTGATACTAAATTCCGATAGTTCAATTTAAGTTGGTTCTTTAAAATAAAAATGAAGTTCTAAAAACTGATTTCATTATATTTGCTAAATATTAGTTAATGCTTTCTAAGATTTAAAATGACCAATTGTAAAAAAATTTCTGTAAAGGAAAGAAAATTAAATATTTTATCCGGATTATTTATTTGTGAAATAAGATCTAGAATTAAGGTAGGACCTCAAATTGGACTTGTGAGTAATTGACCAGTCAGTTCATAACCAGTTATCTGGAAGTTCCTAAAGATGCTTCTGACAATCTATAGATCTGTCACAAGCACTATATTTTCTGTCCTTAAAAGGCTTTAAGTCTTGATTTATAATTACTTTAGACAATTACAACATCTGTTTTTCAAAGCCTAGCTGCTTAGTAATAGCAAATTAGCAGGCAAGTACACTGGGAAGAACAGACTAATAATGATAATGTAATTGATATTGTTATTAATAATGTCTACTATGTGCCAGATACTGCTCTATGCAATATGTTTAGGTTAATTTTATTATATACATTCCTGACTGGTCAAGAAAAATAAATAAATACAGTGTTATCCCTTTGATTTAGTTATAAAAGTGGGAATTGAACTACAGTCTATTTTATCTCAAAGCTTCTGTTCTTAATAATACAGTATAATATTTTTGTGATAGCCTGACATGGAGTTTTTGTTAGTGTTTCCATAATAATTGGAATAAAATTTTATCTGGGGTTTGGCACATATAACTGGAAAATTCTTGCACAAAAAGTAATCCATTCTTCATTGATACTAGCTAAATGAATTATAACCAGTTGCTTGATGGTGTATGAAGTTTTTGTAGTTAATTTGAATGTTTTTAAGTTTTTAATTACTCTGCTTTCTGTTTTAGGTCTTGAACCAAAGACAATGATTGATTTAACTGAATTTAGAAATAGTAAACGCTTAAAACAGCAGCAGTACAGAGCTGAAAACCAGATTCTTTTGAAAGAGGCAAGTATGGTGGTTAATTGATTTTTTTTTTTTTTTGGTTGAATAAAGAAAACTAATAATTCCTACTTTATAGATTGAAAGTTTAGAGGAAGAACGACTCAATCTGAAAAAAAAAATTCGTCAGATGGCTCAAGAAAGAGGAAAAAGAAGTGCAATTTCAGGTATCCTCAGTTATTCAATACCTTTAAAAGAATGTTTGGATTATGAGTCATTTGAATCTGAAATTTTCTGTGTTTTTAATATGTTTTTTCTATATTATAGTGGATCTCCTGCAGTTTTAATAAATAAACATAATGACCTGCAGAGAGGTAACTAAGTATAATTGGGTTCAATCCTGAATCTGAAACAGGTGACGAACAAACAAACAAAAACAAAAACAAAAAAAAACAAAAAAACCAAGAGAACAAACAAAACCCAAAGTTTAGAAATCATGGTTTTGGAAGTTTTAATTGTATACTCTTAATTTCTACTGTAATTCTCACTATGTTGTGATTAATAATGATAATACTTAGCAATATTCATGTTAATATGTTGCTCTTAATAGTTTCTCTTTCGTTCAGGACTGTGCATTGAAAACCTTCTTTGTAAATTATTCAGTACTAAGTGAAAATAATGTTTTATTGAATGTAAAAATTAGCATTCTTGTTTGTTTATTTTACTTGGTGAAAAAATAACAGTTGGTTCAATTTTATAATAGCTATTACTAGTTTTTGTTAAAGGACCACAGATAATTTTTTGTTAAGAGCACCACAAAAAGGGATTTTTTTTTTTAAATTTGGGCCAAGTTCACAAGCATATCTCTGAATTATAGTAGAGCATTATGGTTTTTTAGTTTTATGGTATCTGTAATCATAAATTTTCTATGAAAATGAAACTATAATATACTAATATAATAAAAGTTTACTCATAATTTGTGATTTTTATGTACTTTTTACATGTGTTTTTGAATACTGTACTTATCTATTAGTACTTTTAGTATAGAATGGATAAATAATGATAAGAAAAAATAAAAAATAAAATGATAGAAATAAAAAAATAAAATTCTCATAGCTTTTTAAAAGTGAACTAGATCAGGTTATTCTGACTACATATGGATCAAGGATTTTCAAAATAATTAGTCTACATTTTGTTTAGGTTAAAACTCGAATCTGCTTTTAAGAATTAAAACATTAGAATAGTAGGAGAGTTATTTTGATTTTTAATTTGTTAATACTTTTATGTAGAATTAACCATTGAGGACCTGAACCGAACTGAAGACCTTTCTCAAGGAGATAGCATAGGGGAAAGAAAACTGAATTTTGTAAGCCTCAAAAATATGAGTGAAACACAATCAAAGGTAAGCAATGAAGTATTATGGCAGAGAAAATAAAGGAAAATGTTATCAGCATTTCATTTTTTTCTTATTTTCTCATTTTGGACACCTGTTCTTTTATAGTTGTGAAATAAGTAAAGAAAAATGTTTACTTGCTTAAATAATCTGTTGATCCAAAGGTGATTAATGAGACATTATTTACTTTGAATACTGATTGAGGGTTCAGATGAAATAGAGATGCTGTATCGGAGACCAGAATTCAGTATTCCATAGTCAGATCAGAATGATAAGGAGGAGAATCTAACCATATGATCATTATCAAGAATGTTATCTGAAATTCATCATAGAGTAGAAAGTGGAGTGGATCCTTTACTCTCTTTACATAGACGTTCTTCAACTGTTTGAGGAAAAGATAATTCAATTCTGGAAACTATTACAATAAGAGAGATGTTTAAACCAACGTATTTACAATCTTTAGGAAATCTGAAATCATTAGTCATTACATTTAGTACAGAGAGCAATGGAGTAATAAATGACTATTTATGCTGTCTTTCTGAAGAAAGTATCAGGAAGCCATCAAGCACTAGTTTCATCTTTTCATACCGTATCTACAGCTTCAGACTTCATGCAGAAATTATCACTTAGGCAAAAATCTGTAATATTTTGTCAAAAAATTAATGATGATATACCTGACCTGGATAAATGACAAGTAGCAACATCAGGAAATGAACAGATTCATACCCAGATAAAGCATGCTGATGTCATTTTGAAAGAAGATAAAAGAAAAAGTGAAATACCCTTACAGACTGAGATTTTGAAAAGTAAGCTTGAAGTTAATGTTTTGGGTCCTGTGCCTATTATAGTACAAGCAGAATTGTGTCAATAGATCCACTTGAAAATCTTATAGAACAGCTATGGAGAGAGCTAGTATTTCTTAGATCTTAGGCGAGTTTCCTTCAGGTTATATTCCTGGGATCACTTTTTGTGACTTTTCTAACAAAGTTCTATAACAATTATAATAAATTTTTTGTTTGCACATTGACACTAATTTGTACACATTCTGTTTTTAAAAACAATCAGAAATGCAATACATTTTATAAGAACTTGTTGATTTGCCTAATATGTTAAGTGTTTCTTTAATGAAGTTATAGCCCAGGAATTGTTGATCGATAAAGCACAGAGTAAAAATGCAGAAATAGTGCTTGAATATCGCAGAAGCGAAGCAGAACAGGTAGTGTAAAGACAGACCATCAAGAGAGATAATTGTGTTAGTAAGGACAAAATGTGTCCTTATATTTCTTTGCCTTTTGCTGTGGGGGATTGAGTGAGGGAGAAAGTGGCAGGAAGATATATTTTGTCCTTTAAATCTAATTTTGCCTTTTTGATGACTATTGTTGTGTCTCCATAGTCTGTTTTTTGGTGTGAACCTATAGACTATTGTAATATTTTATAAAATATGTCAATTTTATTCTGTTTGTCAGAATGAATTTCTTTCAAGAGAACTAATTGAAAAGGAAAGAGATTTAGAAAGAAGTAAGACTGTAATAAATAAATTTCAGAATAAATGTAAGTTACTGTTATCTCTTATTTTTCTATACCTGTTTTTTCTATACTAAATTTATGATTTAAAAGAACTCTATATATTCTCTGCTTTCTAATCTTTTTTTAGCTTTAATTAATTCTATAATATATATAATTCAGTCTCTGTCATTCATCCAGTTGATTTGCTGTTTTCATTGTCAAAATGATATTCTAAGTTTTTTGTGGAAATGTATATCAAATTTTTCTTGTGTTCTCTAATAAAAGTGAAGTTAGAAAACTGAAAATTTTTTAATATAAAGCATATTTTAAGTTAAAGCAAAAGTATGCTTGTGATTATGTCTTTCATCTATGAAATAAATATTTATCATGAGTACTTTATTTAAATAGGTCTGCCATTTCACTAAGTTATTCATGTTGCATTTGTAATTGATTTTTTTTACACTTATGTATGTGTTTTCCCAATTGGTTTTTCTATATGTGAGATATTAGTCCTCTATATAAAATAATATAAGTTATGAAAATCTCTTCATTCAATGAAAAAATTTGTAATCACAGTGAAAGAATTAGCTGAAGAAAATAAGCAACTTGAAGAAGGTATGAAGGAAATATTGCAAGCTATTAAGGAAATGCAGAAGGATCCTGACATTAAAGGAAGAGAAACATCTCTAATTATCCCCAGTCTTGAAAGACTAGTAAATGTAAGTTATTTTTCATACAAATGTCTGTCTTCAACCAGCTCGCCTCCCACTTTAAAGATGATGTTATACTGCTTTTGTGGTTCTGATGAAATATTTGTGATCATTTGAATCATTGCTTCCCTGTGTATAATAATGTGCTTATAATTCTTTTTTGTTTTTTTACCAGTTTGTATATAATATGCTGAGCTGTGTGTTTATCTAGTTTGGGATTCAACGTCTTGAATCTATTCACTACAATTTTACTTCAGTTATTTTTCTGCTGTTCTCTCTGGGACTCCAGTGACATATGTGTTTTGATATCTTCTCATTTGTCCTTAGGATCTGTACATTTTTCTCTCTAATATTCATCTTTTTTTCTGTCAATTACTAATTGTTGTTATTTATCATTAAGTTCATTCTCATTTTCTCTCTTATCAGTATTCTTGTGGTTCAGGAGTCAGTCTGAGGCCTGGAAGCTTTTTTTTTTCTTTCTTTTTTTTAGTTTTTAATGGCTCTTTTAACGGTGCTGAGGATCCAACTCAGGGCCTCACACATGCCATGCAGGTGTTCTACCCCTGAGTCACAACCCCAGCCCATGGAAGCCTTATTTATTTATTTATTTTTAAACAAAGAATTTAGAGTTCTTTTATGCTGGCACTCTTCTCACTGAGATTTTCTCTTTAATTTTCTGAGAATTTGAGTGCTATCCTATGATCTTCAAGGCCAGAAAGATCATAGGTCTCTGCAACTGCAGCCTGCCCTCAAATTAAACTCTTAAAAATGGCAAACTCAATTCTTGATAGTCTTTTCTTCCAGGATTCAGGTTTACGCCCAAAATACTTTGTTCATGTTCTTTTAACTTTTTAAATTAATTTGTTTTATGGAAAAATGTAGATCTGTTAGGAAATTATACCATAAACCTGGAAGTGTAATATAATATTATGTAGACTACAGGACGACTATACAAAAATCCTGTGAAGTGGGAGAAGCAATATTTCTTCTACTTTAGAGATAAGGAAATGAAATCACTTGCCCAGCTAGTAAGGGATTGGTTAATATTTGAACTCTGGTCATCTTAATCCTCTGGTTATTTTTCTAGTCTGCCAGTCTATTAACTAGATGTTGTTATATGTTAAAATGAAATAATGACCATGGTAATGTAAGTTGAACTGCAGTTTTATAAATATAAATTCATAAATAAGACATCGAAATACCATACTTTGTTACTACTCATGGCAATCAGAATAGAAAAATATTTAAATGTCAAATTTTATTTAAAGGTAAATTTTTGTTTCCTATGATTTTACTGTTCTTTCTTATATTTCTAATATATAAATATACCAGGCTATAGAATCAAAGAGTGCAGAAGGAATCTTTGATGCCAGTCTGCATTTGAAAGCCCAAGTTGATCAGCTTACTGGAAGAAATGAAGAATTAAGACAGGAGCTCAAGGAATCTCGGAAGGAGGCTATAAATTATTCGCAGCAATTAGCAAAAGCAAATTTAAAGGTGAGAATTTTATTAAATAAAATACTAAGCATAAAAACATAGGTTTAATAGAAAAGTTTATTTGTTTTCTTGAGGCTACTTTATAAGAAAATGTCCATTGAGTTAATTCTTTGAAAATTAAGAAAACTGAATTTTTCTTATGAAAGTAAGTGGAAAAATTACTGCCTTATAGAAAAACACAAAAATTGTGTCTTATAATTAGGCATTTTAAAATAAAATTCAAGCATGATTATATTCATTTTTGTCAGTTCTGGTATTCATGTACCTATTTTAAAAAATATGCTGTAGGGAAACCATGAAGTATAATTTAGTATTTTCAATTTGTCTTTCTTTGGCTGTAAAACATGTGGGTCTCATCTTTGGATTGTTTGTTTTCAGATAGATCATCTTGAGAAAGAGATCACTCTTCTACGACAATCAGAAGGATCAAATGTTGTTTTTAAAGGAGTAGATTTACCTGAAGGGATAACACCATCTAGTGCCAATATCATTAATTGTCAGAATGAATATTTAATACATCTTCTTCAGGTACTGAAAATTTTACATGTGAATAACAAAAATCATTGATAGTATGTTTCTTAATTTAGTCTTCATGTATTCCTTTGAGCTCTCAGAACATTGAGATATATTATTTGTGAATTATGTTAGAATAGTTTATATAAAAGTAATTCATTCCATTAATCTTCACAAGAAGCATATTCACATATCTTATTTGGATGAGTGTCATTCGTATGAAATAGGAACATCAAGCAGCTACTATAAAGTAGTGACATGTAAATAAGGTGAGTACTTGTATTTATTGCTGGTTAGGGAAATAATTCAAGAGAATAAAGTCTGATAAACCCATTTCTAGTGTCATGATTACTTTTCTGTGTTATTCACAAGAAACGTTTTTGAGCCAAAAAAAATTTTTTAAACCTTATTCTTTCCTTTACTGTATAAATTGTTAGTTTTTAAATCCAATAGCAAGTTAGGAAGGGTACCATGCTCTAGTACTTGTCCTGTGTTTGTTTCTCACTTTTGCTGTGTGTATCACGAGCATGATGAATGGCCTAATGAGAGATGCTTTTCATTATTTTATTTGAAGTTTGAATAACCATAATATCACACATACTACAAATATATTTGCAAAAATGTGTTCAAAATCAATGAAAATGGTCTTGATTATAAGTACCACTGTATTCTTGTATTAAATTATTGATCACTTGAGTTATAATTATCAAATGCTTGTTTTTGTATTTGATGTAAAAATAGTCTTTTCCTAAATATTAGACTTTTGCTTGTCATCCAGGTCAAGTAGGGATAGTCTTCACTACTTATCAGAATGTTGCTTTATAACTCGTTATATCATTACTTTGAAATTCATAGTACTTTTTTCTTTATAGTACTCTTTATGATTTCTCTTATTATTCTCTAATAAAGGGACATTATCAATAAATAATGGCCATGTGGCATTGACCTTTTATTTGCGATAGGATTAATTTTTTCCAACAAGATGCATGAAATGCATTATGATAGATTAGTGAATAACCATTGGTAATGTGCAAAAACCTATCCTAAGTGAAAAACCAAGTACTTGAACTCTTATTCGTAAGGAATTATAGAGCGATGGAACATCAGAGAGATGCAACTTCAAATGTTATATCTGAGTATCTGGAAAGCATGTGGCACCAGGTCTGGCATATGTCCTTAATAAAGGGATCTCAAGTGTAGTGCCACTGAGTATTTTTGATGTTGAGTAAGTTATGTAATCTTTTGAAGTCTCAATGTATTTATCTTTAAAATGAAATGATTGGAGGGGATAGATAATTTGAGTGGAGGTATGAAAGTATATTTTCACAAAATGATATGTCACTGAGTGGTTAGAGGTGTGTGTTTTTAACTATTCTGTATATTTGATAAAAGTGTGTATTTAAAGGTAACTTTTCTTTCAAATAATTTGTATGCTTACTGTGACCACCATAACTGATAAAAGTAATTTTACCCATTTCATACTATTTTTTTGGGGGGGTGGGGTGGGGCAGATACCAGGTATTAAACTAAGGGGCTGTCCACCACTGAGCCACCTCCCCAGTCCTATTTTGTATTTTATTTAGAGACAGTTTCTCACTGAGTTGCTTAGTGCCTTGCTCTGCCGAGGCTGATTTTGAACTCGCAATCCTCCTGCCTCAGCCTCCTGAGCCGCTGGGATTACAGGCTTGTGCTACTGCGCTCAGCCATAGTACATTTTTATATATATTATATCCTTGAATTATGATGTTTTGAATTCTTATTTTTAAATCAAATTTTTAGGAACTAGAAATTAAAGAAAAAAAGTTGAAGAATTTAGAGGAATCTCTTGAAGACTATAACAGAAAATTTGCAGTACTTCGTCATCAGCAAAGTCTATTATATAAAGAATATTTAAGGTAAAAGTATTAGCAAAACTTTATAAATTTAATCATAGTATATTCATAGTGTATTTCATTCATAATGAAAGTAACATTAGAAGAATTTAGATATTTTGTTCTGTTCTTTCCTTCTGCCTTTTCTCTTTCACTCTTTTTTTTTTTTTTTTTTAATATACTGGTAACAGTTGTGAAGAATTTGTTTTTAGATAGATGGTATAGTTTTAATGATCACAAGCTCATCCATGTCCTGGGATTGTTTTGCCTTGTTTTTAATCCAGACTTCAATATTTGCTTATTATAAGACCTTGAGCAAGCTGCTTTACCTTTCTATGTTTTAGTGTCCTTTTTTGTAGAATTCTGATAGTAATATCTCTCTCATAGTGTTCTTATGAAAAATAAGTGAATTATTACATGAAAATGTTTAGTGTATGGCACATATGAACAGTTTATAAATGTCAGCTGCTATTAGTTAGCATCACTTGTAACAATTCATATGTGTATGTAGGGATTAACATATATCTTCTTATCTCTGCTATCTAATCTGTATCCATAGAGTGATTTCTATACATCAAAGGTGATGTAAACACTAAGGATAATTATCCTCTGACCTAACAAATTCCAAGCTAGTTAAGAGGGTAGATGATATTTTCAAATTGTTGTTATGTCCTACTTTGGTTATAAAATAGTAACAAAAATCCGAAGAAGATAGAACCATGTCTGCTGAAGAACAGCAATGTATTTTTCCACCTAATTTTTATTTGTGAGTAGACATTGGCAACATCTGGCCAACTTTGACTCAGGTATTATTGGCCAGAATTAAGTCACATGTTCAGTCTTATCAAGAGATTGATGTTACTATAATTGGTTTAAGCCAAGTAGATTATAAGTGATTATAGACTGTCTCTTATAGGCAACAATGTCTTAACACACCTTCTTAAAAAGTGAATTTATTAATACATTTTATTTTTTGAATTGACAAGTAAAAATTACGTATGTTTATGGCATTCAACATGATGTTTTAAAAATGTATAAATCGTGGAATGGAAAAATCAGGCTATTTAATATGTGTTATCTTATACTTTTGTGTCTGTGTGTGATAAGAACATGTAAACTCTGAACACTTTTCTAGTACATAGTCTTAACTCAGTAACCATGATGTACGTACAATAGATCTCTCTTTTTTTTTTATATCAGTTATTCATTGCTACCTTCACATTCTGACACAGGGTTCTGTTATTGCACAGAGATGTTTTATGTGGGGTTAGGCTTGGGTTCACCAGGAGTTTCTGCTGATTTTTTTTTTTTTCAGTTTGTTTCTTCTTTTTAGTTATACATGACAGTAGAATCCATTTTGATATAATTATACAAGCATGGAATATATTTTTTTTTTCTAGTTAGGATCCCTTTTTTTTTTTTTTTTTGTCAAGAGATGTACAAGGGATTGAACTCAGGGGCACTCAACCACTGAGACACATCCCCAGCCCTATTTTGTATGCTTAGTGCCTCGCTATTGCTGAAGCTGGCTTTGAACTCTTGATCCTCCTGCCTTAGCCTTCCAAGCCACTGGGATTACAGCAGTGTGCCACTGTGTCCAGCTAGGATCCCATTATTATGGATGTTCATGCCGGTGGGCTTCACTCTGTTGTTTTCATGTATGTACATCATGAAATGTCAGATGGCTCTGGGTTCAATCCCCAGTACTGACACAATAGCTCTCTTGAACTTCTAACTGAAATTTTGTGTCCTTTACACACACTCTTTTAAGTCCGATGATTTCTAATTTTTGTATTCTAAATGCTTTTCAGCTTTTGAGTGGGAATGTTAAGACTTGATTTCCAGAATTAGTTTTGAGAATTGATTATTTTCCTGATCCTTTTCTATTTTCAATAAAATATTAATAAGATTCAGTTTATAAGTGAATAATCACTCAACTGGAATAGTTTTTCTTTTGGTCAGTTTTAGCTAGTGGTACCCTTTAAAGCCAGTTCTATGTCCTTTTGACAAGAACTCATTAGTCTTTGAACCAGGCTTCAAAGTTTAGTTTGTTTTCTGGAACATGATGTTTGAGATTTGCTTACATTCTTATCCAGACTTGGAATAAGGCATTATGTATAAGTGTCTAATAAGTATCCCTTTTGAATGATGAGTCATTTAATTAGATTTAATATTATTTAAATTAATAAAGTTGACAACTTAATAAAATAACTTTGTTATCTTGCTTTTATTTAAAATCAATTCCTGACCAAATACTCTGTATAAAACTTTTTGTGTGTCAGATTCAGAATATTTCTTGTTTTAAATAAACATTAAATTTCCATGACCTAAAGTTTTTTGTAGTAACCTTTTTGTAGTAAACTTTGTACTTTTTGTAATAAACTTTGTGTTATTAATGTATTGTGTGTGGGATTTTTTGTTTTTGTTTTTTTATTTTTGGTTCTTTTTTTGTAATTTTTGTTTTTTTTTGTAATTTTTAGTGAAAAGGAGACCTGGAAAACAGAATCTGAAACAATCAAAGAGGAAAAGAAAAAGCTTGAGGATCAAATCCAACAAGATGCTATAAAAGTAAAAGAATATAATGTGAGTAAATTACTTTTAACATCCGCATACAAGATTGTGTAAGCTAGGATAGGTAAACTCAGCAAGTGATATCTGTCTTTGTGCAGAATTTGCTCAATGCTCTTCAGATGGATTCAGATGAAATGAGAAAAACACTTTCAGAAAATAGCAGAAGAATCACTGTTTTGCAAGTGAATGAAAAGTCACTTATAAGGAGATATACAACTTTAGTAGAAATGGAACGACAACTTAGAAAGGAAAATGGGAAACAAAAGAATGACTTGATGTCAATGGAGGCTGAAGTTTGTGAAAAAATTGGATGTTTGCAGAGATTTAAGGTACTTGTGCTTTTTGTTGTTTTGGTTTTAAATTTTTAAAAATTTTCAAATATGCAGAAGATAGCATAGATTCATGAACCACGATTATTTATTAACATTTTTCCATAATTGTTTCATCTGTTTTTTGTGGAAATATTTTTAAATTGTAGATAATTTCTCCTCTAAATGTATTCATGTGCATCTCTAAAATACAAATTTACATTTTTCGTTTACATAACCACAATTACTTTATCTTACCTAAAAACATTGATAATAATCCCCTTATTTGCTTAATACCAAGAATACATCTACATTTTATTAGTAGTGTCAGAATTATGCATTAAGGGAATTTGGATATAGATATCTTTTTAGTGTAGAATTTTTTTTTCTCTTGGAAAAATATTAGATTTATCTTTTTTTTTTCCCCTTTTTTGGTATTGAGGATTGAACTGAGGGGCATGTAACCCTGAGTCACATCACTAGCCTCTTTTTTTTTATTTTTTATTTTTATTTAGACATAGGGTCTCCTTACTTGCTTAGAGCCTTGATAAGTTGTTGAGGCTGGTTTTGAACTCACAATCCTCCTGCCTCAGCCTCCCAAGCTGCTGGGATTATAGCAGGAGCCACCATGCCCAGCGATTTATCTAATTTTTGTGTGTGTGTGTTATTTTACTTGTTCCTTTATGCCTTTTATTTTGAAAAGTTATTTCCGAGGCCTAGGTTAGTTCCAAGTTAAGCATTTTTGATAAGAGTGATTCATAAGTAATGATCTATATTTTAGGAAGTATCACTTCAAGAGACAAAATGTCTGGTTGTCTCATATTTCATGATTGATTACTATGTCAAAGGGAGGACAACCATGTACCTCTGTTACTAAGTGATTAGTTATCTGGTGATATTTTGGCACAATGAAAATAAAATTCTTCATCAGTACCACTAATGATTTTAACACTCACTGATAATTGTTGCTTGGCTCAAAATTATTTCACAATTTTTTATTTATATTATGCTTTTACATTTATTAACAATTATTCTTTTGAAAAATAAAGAGCTTTCCCTCATTAGCCCAGGCCATTCAATTATCTTGAAGTATAATTCCTCCTGCAAAGTCAAGATAAATGCTTCAGTCTTTTCTTTTAATGATGAGTTTTCAGAATACAGAGTTTGTGTGTCATGCTTCTTCCTGGTGTTTTTCCACTCAGTGTCTCTTCTTTAGGTGTTGTCACAGACGCACAGACTTAACTATTCAGTGAATTTTACTCAGTTTAAGTTATCATTTTTTCAACTTTGGCCAGTGGGAGCCTTTTAAAGCTGGCTCCTATTTTGGACAAGAAATCATTAGTCTTGGAACCCAACTTCAAAGTTTGGTTAACACAACAAAATGTTCTAGTTTTACCTTCTGTACTTCTTGTCTGGCCTTGGAATAGTCCATTTCTCTATAGAGACCTGTTTCTCTTTAGAGAGAAAAGTATTTAGACACCCGAAACTGATCAGTGGATGTCATTGCTCTCAGAATTTCATTGCTTCTAGTCTTTTTCAATGGACAAGTTAGAAAATATAATAATGTATTTTTTTTTACACCATAAGTTCATAATATTATTGCCAATTCAAATTTAGCATTATGCGGTAAGTAAATAATATGGATTTTTTTCAAACCTTCTTTAGTTTTTGTACTTTGACTATTAACATAAAATAATTATGTTTTATCGTATAATACATACATTAATTTGAAAATAAGCAAGAATGACAGCACCATTGTTGCTAACATAGTTTAAAATGTCCTTACAATTCTTATTTTCTTTAAATTTCACTAATGATGTATAGGCAAAATAATATACTTTATAGTTACTTGAAATAATTCCTCTTCTTGTGATTATATACTTTTGATATATAGACATATTTATTTTACATTTGTTTAATTTTAGGGATTATTTTTAATTGATTTGCATATATACAAATTTATATTTTCAAAAAATTTAATTAAAATCTCACTTCTACTACTGTGCCTTTCATACCATTCTGCCTTATCTCCTGGGACAGCAAATTATTCTGTTTCTTTTTTGCAATCATAAACAAGGATAGAAAGGTTATATGCCTGCACCTTGACTTAGTATCTTATTTTTAAGCATGTAGATGTTCAGTGTATATGATGTAAATTTAGAATCATATGAACAAAAAATTCAAAGTAAAATTTAAATGTTACCATCTGTTTTGTAGATAGTAATGGATGATAATATCATTGCTAATGAACCTATTTTTAGTATGATCTTAAAGCTGAATTTTGATGAGATAAGAAATTGTTAAAAATTGAAAGCTGTTTTTGCTTAGACATGGAAAATTTGAGACATCAAAAATGTTATTATTTATATTTTTAGGTGGTTTTTTTTTTGAGTTTTATACTCTTGGGCTTGAAATAGAAAAAGAAATTGGAATCTCCTCTTCAACATAATCATTCAACCTGAATTTTTCTATTCTCTTTTTCTTTCTTTCCCTCCCTCCTTCTCTTCCTTCCTCTTTCCTTTCTTTCTTTCTTTCTTTGTACAACAGTTAGAAAGCTGAGAAAAAGGGATATTTTGTGAAAATGGGAAATAGAGCTTCATCTACCCTATCCCACCCCCCCCCCCACCACCAGAATGAAACCAAAGTCCCAGGACAAGGTAGACTTGTGTGTGCTTATTTTGATGGAGAAGTTATCACAATATCTAAAACACTATTATGAGAATTTTATTTTAGAACAAATTGTAACCATAAGTTCTTATCTTCTTCACTTTGTAAATGTGGTTGTTTGGTATACTGTTTCTTAATAAACTTCCATCTCTTTTAGTTTTCTTTTATATGTAATTTTTACTTATCACAGAGAAACTTACTGGAGTGACTGAAAGTTTAGGCATTTCTTTTTGGTGTTAATAAAGACACTTTAGTGCCTTGGGTTGATGATTTTTCATAGCTTGATAGCAGGTTCATAGAACATTGTGTTAGTCAACTTTCCATTACTCCAACAAATATTTGAGGTAAATCAATTTAAAAAGAAGAGTGCTTTATTTTGGCTCACAATTTTGGAAATTTCAATTCTTTGTTGCATTGTGCTCATAGCAGCATAGTACATCATTGCAAGAAAATATGGTGACTCAGCAGAAAGAAATATACCAACATAATTCAGTGTATTTTTCTTTACATAGGAAATGGCCATTTTTAAGATTGCAGCTCTCCAAAAAATTATAGATAATAGTGTCTCATTGTCTGAATTAGACCTGGCCAATAAACAATACAATGAACTGACTGCAAAGTACAGGGATATCTTGCAAAAAGATAATATGCTTGTTCAAAGAACAAGTAACTTGGAATACCTAGAGGTAAGTTTGTGTGATCCTCCAACCTTGTGATACTAGCCATTTTTCTTTGGTGAGGTCGTTAGGTTTTAGGTAATTCTGTAAATTTTAGTTTATTAGAGTTTACCTCTCTTTATGTAAACTTAACAGACATATAGTTCATAAATATATATTTATTGTATTTTATTTCTGATTATCATATACATACACATATGTAACACATTATTCATGGTTGCAGAATGACTTCTGGTTAACTTCATGCAGGTCATTCTTTTTAACTCATTTGCATAATTTAGCAGAATCAAACTTATTTCACCCAGGCACTTAAAGAAAAAAAGAGTATGGAACAGGTAGCATATTGTAATTAAAGGAGGAAGTGTCATTCAGAACTCTTCTCTTTCCCTTATCTATGTTCCCAGAATATATTGTTCTCCCATGGTCCCTGGATTCTGTTTCTTGGAATGGATTTTGTTCACTCTGATGTCTTTTCCTGGACCATGAATGAGCTCTGCAAATTTCCATCTTTTCTTTTTTTTTAAATACTTATTTTTTATTTGTAGTTGGACACAATACCTTTATTTTATTTATTTATTTTTATATGGTTCTGAGGATCGAACCCAGGGCTTCACATGTGCTAGGCAAGCACTCTACCACTGAACCACAACCCCAGCCCCTCCATCTTTTTTATTATATAGAAAAGATTAGAGTGGATATTATATAAGTTTAATTTAAACCATCCATGAATATACCCAGACCATAGCCACTTGACCTTCTTTTATGCTTTTATGGTCTGATTTGTTCATCTTCCTCATTAGAAATAAGGACGCTTACATTTTTGGTTTGTTCTCTTTTAAGATCCTCTCACAATAGAGGACTAAATATAACTCTGTTGGCTCATAAGCTTTTACTTGCTTAGGGGTACACATTCAATAAATGAAACGTTCTGAATACCTTTCAGTGACTCTTACAAAGTTATCTGAGTCGTTATACATTAATACTATTTAGAAGTAATCAAGATCCATTTACTTATTACTGCTTTTTCCAAGAATTATATTTATGGAAAAATTCTGAGTATTTAGGTATGTTCATAACTGATTTTCTTTTTCCCATTCTCTGTGCCCTTTGTTCTAGGAAGAAATCCCCTGTAGATAACATATTAATGAGTAATTTTAAAACTATTTCATCTATTTTCCCAAAGAATATTTTTCATCTTTCCTGAAAATTAAAAAAAAATTGATATACTTTGTAATTTAAATCTTTGCTTTTATCAAATATACATTTATATGTTACTTCAACAAAATTTATTATATGCCAAGGTCCAAGTTGTTATTGCAGTATAACAAAACCATTATGAGCTCTTGTTGCATAAATAATGATTTTTTTTCTGCTCATAGGTTTTGTGGTCTAGAATTCAGAGAGGGTACAGTGAAACCTTTGAGTATTCCAGATTGACCAAAATGAACATACAGTTTTAGTGGTAGAAGCTAATACTTAAAATTTAGAGTGACATATTAGATATATAAAATTTTGATGTTATTTTAAAATAATATTTTATGTTATATATATATATATATATGTGTGTGTGTATATGTGTATTGCATATGGGGGGAATTCCAGTATTTAAAAAACTAGAGTGTAAGTTTTAGGAGCTATTGCATAAAGTTAAGAAAGTGTTAGTTTTGTGATATATTGGTCTGAATTATAGTATAGCTTTATCCATGATGTGTATTTTATTCAGTGTGAAAATGTATCCTTAAAAGAGCAAATGGAGTCTATAAATAAAGAACTGGAGATTACCAAGGAAAAACTTCACACTGTTGAACAAGCCTGGGAACAAGAGACTAAATTAGGTAAGTCTTATGACTGGTAATAGAAAATGATTAGGAATAAACAGGGGATGCTTCTCATTTAAAATTCCATTTCTGTTCCAAAAAAGGAGAAAATATTCTGTTTAAAAATATGAGCTCTGCCCAGAAGTTTAACTTAGTAAGTAGTTGATGAATAATATCTTGTACAAATTCCCACCAAATTTGATTTTCAGTTTATAAATTATATTTGTTCCTAGTAAGAAATTTATGAGTATACATTATCTATTTTGAACATCATTTAACAATCAAAAGTAGCGATAATTTTGAAAAATCCTGTATTTTAATAGTAATATGGAGTACTCCCTAAGTGTGGTTATATTAATTACTTATTTGCTTTTATTAAATTCATCATAAAATATTTGCTATTATTAAGTTTACCATAAAACATCAAAGAAAATCTGAAAAGAATTTTTACTGTTTATAGTTGCACTGCTGTATTATCACATTTTTACTTATATGTTCATATATTTCTATACTTCAAATTACAATATGTATTTGTGTTATATGCTATGTTCATTTAGTAAATATAAAAAATATTACTGTTTTACTCATCATACACATAAATGTAAATGTTCGTGCAATATCCCAATTTGAATGATTATCATTAAATCATTCTTTTGGTATTGTTTATAGTGCTACAATGAACATCTTCATATGTTTCTAACAGATATTACCATTTCAAAAGTTATTGAAATCTTGGTGGCTCCTACTAGGTTTTCCATATTAGGTTTTATAGTTGTCAAAATTTATATAGCATTTTAATAATTTTCTCTCATAGCATTGGATTTTATAATTTTCAAATAAATTTGCTGCTCTGAATAAGGTATTTTTAATTTGTTTCTGAGAATTTATAGTTCTAATGCTCTTCAGGGCTTCTATTACTGAGACAATTGGATTAGAGAGAGCAAACATTAGGAAATTTTTAAAAAATTACTTTTATGAATATAATTTTTAATTTACAAAGAGATTAAGTATGAATTAACTTTAATGTAGCTCCTACATACATGAAAGAAGATACCACTTTAAAACTTAAGTTTTACTTAAGTTTCAGTAGGTTTTTAAAATTTTATTCTCTTGGGCTGGGGATGTAGCTCAAGTGGTAATGCACTCGCCTGGCATGCACTGGGCGCTGGGTTCGATCCTCACCACCACATAAAATAAAAAATAAAGATGTTGTGTCCACCAAAAACTAAAAAATAAATATTAAAAATTCTCTCTCTCTCTCTCTCTCTCTCTCTCTCTCTCTCTCTCTCTCTTTTAAAAAGAAATATATCACCAAGATTTTAAGAGTGTCTTCTTACTTCCTATTCCCTTTTAGCTTTAAGTGTCACTTCATTTATCTTTTTTCTTCACTGAGGAGTTTTTACTATTGGTCTATTGTGTTCTTTCCTCTGTACCAAAATTTGTTTCAGCCCCTCCTCCAAGCTTCTTTTCAATTTTGGACTTCAGCACAATATAGGACATCTTACCTTCTTTTTCTTCTTTTGTATTGGCGACTGAACCCAGTGGCACTTAACCACAGGATCTTGCTAAGTTGCTGAATTTGGAATCCTCCTTCTTCAGCCTCCCAAATTGGTGTGATTACAAGTGTATGCCACCATGCCTGGCTTCTTATGTCTTTGTATATTTACATTTAGTGAAGGTTTTTTTTTTTTTTTTTTTCCATTCTGATGCTTAGGTTGCTTGAAGGGGTCTCAGTTCCATACTGAACTGATTTACTAATGTGAAGCTTCTTCTGGTAGTCTGTTATTGTTAGTTACTTGATCACAGCTTGTAGCAGCTATTTTAAAATCATTTATTTTAAAGATAGATACAGGACCTAATGAAATAATTTTCAAAACTAAGACTTGCCAATTTTATTTTGTTGTTCAAAAATGCATATTACTTTGAGAAAATGCAGTTATAAGATTTGAAATTTTGAAGTTGTACAAATAGGGGGAGGCGTTATTGTTATAAAGCTTATTTAGTGGTGATACATGCCTGTAATCCCAGCAGCTAGGGAGGCTAAGGCAGGAGAATCGCAATTCAAAGCCAGCCTCAGCAGTTTAGCAAGGCACTAAGCAACTTATGACACACTGTCTTAAAATAAGAGACTAAAAAGGCCCATGGATGTGGCTCAGTGTTAAGTGCCTCTGAGTTTAAACCCTGATATTAAAAAAAAAAAAAAAAAAAAAAAAAATTAGTCATGCTTAATTCTAATTGACTTTCTAAAAAACAAAATATTCTACCATATTTTTTTTTCAGGAATATATCTGTTATGTAAAGCAAAAGTGTAAGTTTTCTTCCTTGACCAAAAGAATGACCAAGTAACTAATAACACTCCTACATGATATCTTCTCATAGAAAATTGAGGCTTTTAATTTCTTTTCATTTAATCAGAGAATTTGTTGTCCAGACAAGCCATATATCTACATGTAACAACTAATAACAGAATGTAAAATATTTGGTAAAATCTCAGTCATAGAGCTTCAGATTTTACTTTCCAGTTTGTCTGTAATGCCTTAAAAAAATCAAGTCATTATACTTGTGTTCCAAAGAAGCGTTGCTTTATTGCATTGCTTCTCATGCAGTTTATCTCCTTTCTATAAAGTATATGAATTTTCCATATTTTGATTTTAATATATGTAACACTTCTGTGCTAAAACTTTACAATGTTACATCAGCACTCCCTTTTTTTTTGTTATTGTTTGATGAAGAACATACATTTCAGAGAGATGAATTGGGTAGGCATCAGATATGGAGGAAGTAATAGAGCTAAGAATAAGATCCAGGTCTGTCATAATTTAAAAGCTCATGAGCTTTCCATGGAACTATAATATTTCCTTATGTACAGCATTTAAAATATCTGAGATATGATTTGAATATAAACCATATGAGATTGACTTGAGTATTATTGCTTATAGGGAATGAATCTAACCTGGATAAGGCAAAGAAGTCAATAACCAACAGTGACATTGTTTCTATTTCAAAAAAAATCACTATGTTGGAAATGAAGGAATTAAATGAAAGGCAGCGGGCTGAACATTGTCAAAAAATGTATGAACACATAAGGACTTCATTAAAGCAAATGGAAGAACGAAATTTTGAATTGGAAACCAAATTTGCTGAGGTTTGATATTAAAATTTTTATCATGCAATTAGAGAGTAAAGAGTTAGTAGACATTATATTATTGTAAAGAGGTCTGTATCTATGAAGTAGCATATGAATATGGAGCTTGTGTTTCATGTAATGAGTAAATAAAAAATTATTTAAAAATCTGAATTATTTAAAAGAAACATATTTGAGTAAGTTCTTGTTTCTTACCAATGTTATATTGTAGTTTTAATATATAAAGAGATGTTATTACCTAGTAATGAAGTTGCCTTCTATTACCATCCCTTCATCTAACACATATTCGTTACCTATTACACGTTAGACCCTGTTTGGGAGCTGAGCCTATAACAAGAAAAAAATAGATAGCAATCTTTGCTTTCAGAGACTTTACAAATTGAAGGTTTTAGATTTTTTTATGTAGTCAGAATCATTAAACTGCCTGGCAGTAAATGGTTCACATATATTCTGCAATTTATGATTAAACAACTGTCTTACAGTGATTGCTTACATTGAGACTTAACATATTTTCCAAAGCATATATATAATCTTTATTCTGAGTCTCTAATTCTATACTAATAATATTTTATTAAAAAATTTGGATTTATGTATAGAGATGTAATGGAGATAAAATATGAATACACTGAATTCTCAACATCAGAAGTTCAGATATTATAAAATATTTAATTGCCTAATATAAATGTCTTTGGTGCATTAGAATACAACCATTGTTTGATTATTTCTGAATCTTTCCTCTTTTTCCTATCCTCAGTCTCTTCTTAAAACTTTCTACCTGTGTCTGAATTAAGACAAAGTAAATAGGACTGCACTACTCTGAAAACTAAATTATAAGAAAAATCTCAACCAAAACTGATGTATCTCGGCTGGAGATACAGCTCAGTAAAGTGTGCTTAGCATGCATAAAGCTCTGGGTTTGGTTCCATCCAGGCACCAAACAAACAACTTATTTATCTGAATTTTTTTTTGTTACTTTTTTCTAGCTTACCAAAATCAACTTGGATGCACAGAAGGTGGAACAGATGCTAAGAGATGAGTTAGCTGATAGTGTGAGCAAGGCAGTAAGTGATGCTGATAGGCAACGGATTCTAGAATTAGAAAAGAAAGAAATGGAGCTAAAAGTTGAAGTGTCAAAGTAAGTGCTTTGCAAACAAGTTAATCATTTGATTAGATATGTTTTCTCTAATTTGTCTTTCAGAAAATATATTACAGGCACATGGAGAAAATATTCTTAGTGGAAATTGATACTGGTTTCTTTTTATATGAAAAGGAAGAATAGTGACTGGGTTTATAGCCCAGTGGTGGAGTGCTTTTGTAGTGTGCACAGGGCCCTGGGTTTAAGCCCCAGAACTGCAACAGAAAAGGAAGACTAACATTAACAAGGAGACAGGGGATTTAAATCAGGGATGCTTTACCACTGAGCTACATTCCTGATCCATTTATTTATTTATTAAGCCCACTCTTGCTAAGTTGCTGAGGCTGGCATTGAACTTTTGATCCTCCTTCCTCAGCCTGTCAAGCCTCTGAGATTATAGGTGTGTACCACTAATTAACAAGGTTAATTTTTAAAGAGGTTAAATAATGACACTGAAGAGGAAATGCCTTGTCAAAATTTGCATTTTTCAGAGATAGGAAAGAATATTGTTGCAGAAAGCACTGAAGTTGTAATCAAGATCCTGTGAGCTCTGCTCCTTCCTCATACTGATTTTTTTCTTAGTGAAAAGAAGAATGGTCATTTGATGCATTTCAACTTACGCTTTTTTACTTTAATAAGGAAGTATAAGTACCTCTTCTGTCTGTTGAAGATAGAAGATTTGTTTCATAAGGTTGTTTCATAAGGTTGCTTTAAAAATACAATGAAAAGTTCGGATTTTGATTTAATTTACAATGGGCATCTGCTGTATACTAGGCGTTCTGCAAGGTATTGCGCTAACTCATACAATCACATGTTTTCATTTCACACTAGGAAATAGCCCCAAGCTAATTTAGAAAACAAAATTTAAGAGTAATGTTTGTGTGCCAGGTAGAGATGCTTTGTACTCACTTTCCTTTGTAATTAAGTACTACTTCCAATGAAAAGTATAGGGAGTGTTGAGTCAACCTATCAGGCATGAATAATTATTAAGGTAATATTTTTATAGCTTGTTTATAAAGTTATAGCCATTATTTTTGAAGCATTGATAGTCCTCTTGGGAATATCAGTCATTGCCAGCCCTTTTCTTTATAAAGCACTCTTTTTTTTCTTCTTTTTTTCTTTTTAATTCTTCTCTCCTTAAGGACCTTACTTTTAAAAATAATTACTTTGTGATTTTTCATTTTATCATATTGCATTAATCCAAACTTTGACACTGGCTGTAAGAGCTTCTGATAAATTTGAGGGAACTTGGCTTGTCACAATGAACTGAAATTATTCTAGCACAAAACAAAATTTTACATTTTGTCTTGCCCATGTTATCTAACTTCAAAAGTTATAAGGGAAGTAGCAGGGCTTAACTTTTTGTAATTGTAATAAATGTATATTTTGTTTCCTTTAACTTTTCCAATAACTTACAAGTTAAAGCAAATCAAAATACACATTAATCTACACTGGGAACTTAGGAGATTAAAATTTCTATATTCTTAACTGTGTAATGATATTAGATCAACCAATTTACTACCTTACTCTAATGCATTTTCCAAATTATAATAATTAGTATCTTACAAAAAAGTGTGCAATCAGGGTTCTTTTGGTGTATACATTTGGAAAATGCTAAATATTAGGTATAACTTCTGATAATTATATTAGAACTTCTTATAACATGTAATGTGAGACAATATTACATATTATGAATCTTCAAAGAAAAGGGATGTTGGGAACAGTTTTTTTTTTTTTCCTGTAGCATACGTTAACATCTCATAAAATTAGTTTTTATTAAACAATTCAGAAGATCCCTGAAGCCTTTGTATTTTATATAGAGAAAAGATGATGAAAGTTAATATCATTTTCAGAATGGAGTCTAGAAATTTGAAATTTTATTGTTATAAAGAAAATGTACTTGATTGTTACTGAAATACCTTTTCACTTTTTAGACTGAGAGAAATTTCTGATATTGCTAAAAGACAAGTTGAAATCTTAAATGCTCAACAACAGTCCAGGGAAAAAGAAGTAGAATCACTCAGAACGCAGCTGGTAGAGTATCAGGTATGTGCACTACTGCCTCTTCTGTGCACAATCTACTTTTTTCCTAAATTACTGTTAGATATTAGTGTAAGAGTAAAGTTTCAATCAGAAAATATGCCCACCAAAGACTCTTTTTCTTGTTTGGTGGAACTTGAAAAGAGAAATACTTTAATTTGAAATACATTTATAATTCAGAAAAGCATTTAAATCCTACAAATGCATCATACTGGCTGCCTATCAAAGACACTGAGTAGTAGTTAAGACGTCTTTAAAAGCAATGTATTCTCTTGTATTTTTATGTAGCTTTTCACATTTTTTCACAAATATTTTTTATTAAAACACATAACGTTAATGGGCCAAGGACCTGAACAGACACTTCTCAGAGGAGGACATACAATCAATCAACAAGTACATGAAAAAATGCTCACCATCTCTAGCAGTCAGAGAAATGCAAATCAAAACCACCCTAAGATACTATCTCACTCCAGTAAGATTGGCAGCCATTATGAAGTCAAACAACAACAAGTGCTGGCGAGGATGTGGGGAAAAGGGTACTCTTGTACATTGCTGGTGGGACTGCAAATTGGTGCAGCCAATTTGGAAAGCAGTATGGAGATTTCTTGGAAAGCTGGGAATGGAACCACCATTTGACCCAGCTATTCCCCTTCTCGGTCTATTCCCTAAAGACCTAAAAAGAGCATGCTACAGGGACACTGCTACATCGATGTTCATAGCAGCACAATTCACAATAGCAAGACTGTGGAACCAACCTAGATGCCCTTCAATAGACGAATGGATAAAAAAAATGTGGCATTTATACACAATGGAGTATTACTCTGCATTAAAAAATGACAAAATCATAGAATTTGCAGGGAAATGGATGGCATTAGAGCAGATTATGCTAAGTGAAGCTAGCCAATCCCTAAAAAACAAATGCCAAATGTCTTCTTTGATATAAGGAGAGTAACTAAGAATAGAGTAGGGACGAAGAGCAGGAGAAGAAGATTAACATTAAACAGGGATGAGAGGTGGGAGGGAAAGAGAGAGAGAAGGGAAATTGCATGGAAATGGAAGGAGACCCTCAGAGTTATACAAAATTACATACAAGAGGAAGTGAGGGGAAAGGGAAATATAATACAAGGGGGAGAAATGAATGACAGTAGAGGGGGTGGAGAGAGAAGAGGGGAGGGGAGGGGAGGAGAGGGGGGATAGTAGAGGATAGGAAAGGCAGCAGAACACAACAGACACTAGTATGGCAATATGTAAATCAATGGATGTGTAACTGATGTGATTCTGCAATCTGTATATGGGGTAAAAATGGGAGTTCATAACCCATTTGAATCAAAGTATGAAATATGATATCAAGAACTGTGTAATGTTTTGAACAACCAACAATAAAAATTAAAAAAAAAAAAACACATAACGTTGTCTACATTAGTGTCTACCAGTGTTTGTGATTTACATGTGGAAGTTAAAATAAATAGTAATATTCAGAAATTATTTAGTCAGATTTGGATTTTTAAGTTTATTTGATTCCAAGTTTCCTTTTACAATTCTTTGATAACTATTTGTATTAAAGCAAAGTTAGGTTTTTGTAGGATGCCACACTGTTTTAAAATTTTAATCCATGATAAATTTCACTGGAAATTTTGAAACTTACTCTAAGTGTGTATTATTATTATTTTTTAATATTAGGCTCAATCTGATGAAAAGGCACTAATTGCTAAGTTACACCAACATCTTGTCTCTCTTCAAATTAGTGAAGCCACTGCTCTTGGTAAGTTGGAGTCAGTTACATCTAAACTACAGAAGATGGAAACCTATAATTTACGCTTAGAACAGAAACTGGATGAAAAAGAACAGACCCTCTATTATGCTCGTTTGGAGGGGAGAAACAGAGCAAAACATTTGCGCCAAACAATTCAGTCTCTACGCAGGCAATTTAGTGGAGCTTTACCCTTGGCGCAACAGGAAAAGTTCTCTAAAACAATGATCCAGCTTCAAAATGACAAACTGAAGATAATGGAAGAAATGAAAAATTCTCAGCAAGAACATAGAAATATGGAGAATAAAGCATTGGAGATGGAATTAAAGTTACGGGGCCTAGAAGAGTTAATAAGCACTTTAAAAGATGCCAGGGGAGCCCAAAAGGTAAACATTTACTTTTAAGTTTAGTATTAAAAATTTTAAGTTTTTAATATGTGCTTGTATGAAGTGCTTAATTTGCAATAAAAACTTTAATTACAATTCATTTTGATGTTATAAATTAGGAATTTTACTGTTTATTATTTGTAAAGATGAGATTCTTCTAAGCACAAGCATTTAATAAAAATACTTAGGTCGTAAAATAGGAAAGAATTTTAAACACCAGGAAGTTCATATATATCAATTAATACTAATTATTATTAAATGTTTATCAGTTGATTTCTACTCTTCATAAGTATTATCTATTCAAAATTATTTGTAAATATTAGGCACACATTTATTGTTTAATGACTTAACCCTCAACTTAGAAGGAATTAAATGAAAAATAGTTATTTTGCAACTGACCCCTATTCTCTAGGCTGGAAATATTTAGGATTTCCATTTTTGAAATTAGTTTCAATGACATGTTTACAATAAATATTCAGTAAACAAATAATAGAGAATGTAAAAATGAAAGTGAATGTTAGTGATATCCATTCCCACATAATCTGAAGAATGTTTTATTGTAATATTCCACATATTCTTTGAAAAGTCTATGGAAATCCTAAATAAACTTTTCCATGTAACTACACCAAGGATAACTTTATATATTATTTTATCATAGAATGTTAATTAATTTTAATTAAAATTGTGATCAACAGGGAAATATTTATTTCATAGCATTTATATTTATTTATATATATATATATATATATATATATATATATATATATATATGTAATTTGGAAATCTTAGGTAATCAATTGGCATATGAAAATAGAAGAACATCGTCTTCAAGAGCTTAAACTAAATCGAGAATTAGTCAAAGATAAAGAAGAAATAAAATACTTGAATAATATAATATCTGAATATGAGCATACAATCAGCAGTCTGGAGGAAGAAATTGTTCAGCAGAACAAGGTTTCATTTTATGCATTCATTTTGTTTTGTTTGCTAATATTTTAAACATAAGAATATTGCATAAGTGGCTGTTGTTTTCCTAATTGAGTGTAACTCCCATTATTAATAGGTTAAAAAGTAATCTGTTTCTCATTTTCTGTTACTCTAAAATCTATATTTATTTATTTGCTTTTAACCATATGCTTAAAAAGAGCAATATATAAATGGACTTATTTGTTTAAATTACTTTTTATTTTCATATTGATTATATGATGTCCATAGTTTCTTCTTGCTCTCACTAATGGATAGAAGGTAGCTTACTCTAGAATTAATTATTCAATTTGGAGGCTGAAAGAACTCATCAAGCACATATGTATCTTAGAGGTTTTGTTGTTCCCTCTGTTTAAATTTTCTTGCCCTAGGTAACTTGTATTTTCACTGTCTTAAGATCTTACCTAAAATATCTTAACCTACTAGTCAACCTTCATCAGCCACCTAATATATAATGGTAAATTCTACCATCAAGATCCATAGTGTTTGTCATTCTCTGATATATTGCATACTTGCTTGTAATTAGCTGTTTCCCTCTCATTAGAATATAAGTTTCATCCTATATTTGTACTGCCTACAATAAGTGCTTGGCACAGGGTATATGCCATTAGATATGTTTTAGATGCATGGATGAATGAATGGATAGATAATAGATTGAAGTTCTAACATCACACCTGCCTATCTCTATGGGATTAGGCAATTTACTTCACCTCCTGAGTTTTTGTATAGTGACCTCAAAGTGTTATAAGGATTAAGTAAGAAAATGTATGTAAAATGTTTTTATATGCCTGGTGTCTCTGTGTACATGTCTGATACATATTGTTCTTGTTAAGTTTCATGAAGAAAGACAGATGGCCTGGGATCAAAGAGAAGTTGAGCTGGAACGTCAACTAGATATTTTTGAACGTCAGCAAAATGAAATCCTAAATGCAGCACAAAAGGTATGAATGAGAGTAATCCTTTTTGCTACTAATAAGCATGGCCTAGAGCATTAACTTAAAGAAATATTTTCTAAATCAGTTGTAATTTTAATTGATGTTATCTTTTTATACATAAAATATGAGGTTTAATCTACATTTTGTTATACATTTGTGAAAATTAATATTATTTAGTATCAATGTTTTAACTGCTGGTTTTAAAACATATTGTTTCTTGATAGTTTGAAGAAGCTACAGGATCAATGCCAGATCCTAGTTTGCCTCTTCCAAATCAACTTGAGATTGCTCTAAGAAAACTTAAGGAGAATATTCGAATAATCCTAGAAACACAGGCAACCTGCAAATCACTGGAAGAGGTAATTAGAAGATTTTACATTTTGATTAGTGTGTTATGTGGAATTTTCTAAATAACATTAATGATGATGATTCAAAAAATAACAAATCTATTGCTAATTGCATTTTTTTTTCTATTCTCATATAATGTTTTTAATTGCCAGTACACCTAATTTGAATTAAATCTTCATTTAATTGCTTTTGGGCATTGTCTCTTTTGGGCACATTGATCAGTAAAAATGAGCATCAAAGGAAGTAAAAAGAATACTTCATTGTATTTTTATGAGCAGTATATTACCTTCCCTTGTATGAACTTTTCATCCCTGTTTATGTTTATGTTTTATTTTGTAGTGTTTACTATGTATCCTATGAATCAATTTTTAGTTCATTCATTTTAAGGAGGAGTTAAGAGTGAATGTAAACTAGAAATTATTTAGTTAGGTATTGAATTTTGATTAAGAGGTGATATAATCAGTTTTGTTAATTATTTAGAAAATAATATAACCTGAGTATTATTTCCATTTTTATTTATACCTAAACATGCTAATTGTAAATATATTTTAAAAGTTTTTTCATATGAAATTCTATACTTTTACTCAATTTAGGAAACTTAGGTTTTCTTTAGTAATTGTAAGATTTGTCATTTATGTGAACTGCCACTGAATTACAACAGAATATCTGCCTTAATTCTACTAAAGAACAACTCCACAACCCTATTCCCTATACTGGGGATTGAACCCAGGGCCTCACACATGCTAGCCAAGTGCCATACCATTGACCTACTTCCGCAGCCCTTTTTATTTTTGAGACAGAGTCTTGCTAATTTTCCCAGGCTGAGTTGGTACTTAAAAATCCTCCTGTTGTGGCCTCCTGATTAGCTGGGATGATAGGTGTGTGCTACCACTCCTGCCCTCTGCATTGTTTAAATAAATTGTAGATTGTTGACTTGGGCTGCTAAAATCCAGTCTTATACTCAGCTGACTTTTACAGATAAGTCTTTTAATGCTCCAGTAGTCATGGTAAATAACAAATAAAAAGAATGATTTCTTACATTTTTCTTTGCAAATATAACATCACCATTCGTTTCTAGATCTAAGGTGAAGAATCTAAATAAAATGCCCTATTTAAATTTTATTTTCATCGTAATGATGAAGTTTTTAAATTTATTTTTTATTTTATTTTATTCATTTATTTATATATGACAGCGGAATGCTTTCCAATTCTTATTACACATATAGAGCACAATTTTTCATATCTCTGGTTATATACAAAGTATATTCACACCAATTTGTGTTTTTATACATGTACTTTGGATAATAATGATCACCACTTTCCACCATCATTTATAAACCCCATGGGAGGAATAGACGAGCTCTAGATATTTTTTATTTTTTTTATTTGTTTTTATTTAGATATGCAGAGTGTATTTTAACATTATACATACATGGAATATAATGCTAATGATAATGTTTTTAGCACGTGATAATTTATAAGTAAATTGAAATATGTGTGCAAATAACTCTTATCACATAAAAATGTAGCAATATAATCAATACTGTCAGCTATTATAAATATGTGAAAAATAAAGTGAAACTACTCAAATGAAGTATTTAAAAATACACTTTAATAATTCATTTTGATTTAACTGCAGAAGCTAAAAGAAAAAGAATCTGCTTTACAATTAGCAGAGCAAAATATTCTGTCAAGAGACAAAGTAATCAATGAATTGAGGCTCCGACTGCCTGCCACTGCAGAACGAGAAAAACTTTTGTCTGAGTTAGGCAAAAAAGACATGGAACCAAAATCGCATTATACGATGAAAATTGCACATCAAACCATTGCAAACATGCAAGCAAGGTTAAATCAAAAGGAAGAAGTATTAAAGAAATATCAACATCTTCTAGAAAAAGCCAGAGAGGTATTTTGTCATATTTTATCCTGTTATTTTACCTCACATTGTGTTTTTCAGTTAAATGTGAAATTTATTTTGTCATAAAGTGATAGTTTATTTCTTTCAAATTTAGGAAATGTTGCTTTCACATGATTGCATTATACAGCTGTCAGTAAAACTGGAAGTTTGTGTATTTTTTTCTTTGTGAACTAACTAAACCAAAAATGGCTATCATGGTTAATGCATATGAGTTTGAGAAATACCAATTGAGCTTATAAGTAAAGATTGAGGCAGTAAGTTAAAAAGAAATCTGTCACACTGGTAATCAATAAAATCAGGTTTACTAGAATTGTATGGGAAAAATCTAATATTTAAAAAAACGTAGAAACAATTGAAAAAATGATAGACATGTTATTTTAATGTTAAACATAAATTATGACTGAAAGCTAGGGTTGTCTTCATAAACATATGTTAGGGGAATTGTATACTGATCTAGATAAATATATGCAGATGTTATTCATTCTCTATCTGAAAGGGATTTTAGAGGATTGAGGAAAATACAATGTTTTAAACATTTTAAGACCTTTGGAATGTGAATTTATTTGAATCATGATTTGAAATATAGTTTTGATTTTTTTGTATACTAGGAGCAAAGAGAAATTGTTAAGAAGCATGAGGAAGACCTTCATATTCTTCATCATAAATTAGAACTACAAGCTGATAGTTCACTAAGTAAATTCAAGCAAACAGCATGGGTAAGATTCTAAGAACTTTGTTCTATTTGTTTTTGATTTTTGAGATCTTATAATTTAAAATTTGCCACTCTTCAGTTTATCAGAGTAGAAGTCATCTCACTTTTTTGTTTCTAAAATAATCTTTTGGAAATATGGCTCTGGTAATTCCTTTTTTTAGACCCAGATCCTTTAGTAACTTACCACTACACACAAAATCATGTTTATACTCAGCCATGCATTCAGAGCCTCCTATGAGATCTGACTTAAGTCTTTTCTTTTCAAATTCTACTCATTCTACTCATTCTGTTTATATCTAAGTGCTTTGCACCTTTTGAATTCAGCTAATTCTTACCTGTTTTAATCATTCCATTGTGTATGTGTAAAATGACCTTTCTTCTTAACTCATTTGTCCCATTATCCCAGATGTGGAACACCTATAAAAACTTAAATCGAACATTAAATATATCACTGTGATAACTTTGAAATAATTATGTTTTTAGAGGTCTGTTCTTCTGAGAAAAGTAATAGGTGAGTGGTTAGAGTGTCTTAAAAAATACATTCTTATTTCCATGTACATATATGAAAATATGTATTTCACATCCATGTAAGAAAATATATGAAATATATATATGTATACATATGAAAATATATATGTAGTATATTTAAGGATATAAATAGATTTCCAACCTATTTTAATGCACCTTTGTCAATTCTGTTGAAATATTCACAGAATTGAAAACTTGGGACTGAATGGTTTATTGGGCAGTATTGGAATCCTTGAGCCTTACCTCATTAATTCAGTCAGCATTTATTGATCCTCCACTTCATATAGATACTTTGCAAAAACTGGGAATACAAAAAATAAGCTATTTCCTGTCTTCTTTAAGACTTTATTGCTATTTAAATTACTAAATTTTATATTTTGATCGTTTGAAAAACCAAATTAAAATTGTGAAATATGCTGTGGCATTGAATTATAAATGCCTATGGCTAATATGTTCTTGTTTCATAGGATTTAATAAAACAATCTCCTACTCCAGTTCCTACCAATAAGCATTTTATTCGTCTGGCTGAGATGGAACAGACAGTAGCAGAACAAGATGACTCTCTGTCCTCACTTATGATGAAACTAAAGAAAGTATCACAAGATTTAGAGAGACAAAAAGAAATCACTGATTTAAAAATCAAAGAATTTGAAAAAGTCAAATTACGGTAAGTCTTAGAAGTGTGCTTTAAAAATAAATGGTAATTATGATATAATGAAGATGAATGCATTTGCTCTGCCAGGCACTGTACTAAGACCTTGATGAATATTATCTCATTTTATACTCAGGACTACTTATGACATAGTTGCTACTGTCCCCAATTATTAGATTAGGAAACAAGGTTTTAGGAAGGCTCAGTAACATTCTAGGAGGAAGTAGAAAAGCAATCTTTTGAATTTAGTCTGACTCAAAGACCAATCCAAATTCTCCAGAATTTCATTTGTAACTTGTGTGTCAGTTTCATCCTCTGGACAATGAAAATGACAGTACTTTGGTTCTTTTGATCTGAGACAGGAAGAGCTTTTTTACAATGTGGAAGGTGAAAATAGACTCTAAAAGCAGAATACAGGCTATCTTGAGGGGGAGACACACCACCAGGTCTTAAAATTAAGATTTGATTAGTGTACATAATTAGGTGACTATGTGTCCTCCAAAGGGATTGGCCTGCCTTCTGGGATTGGGAAATATTAAGGGAGGATCATGTTTTCCCATTAAGGTTAGGGTTAAGGTTAGGATTAGGGTTAGGTCTGATATTTAGGTTTTGGTTTAGATCAACTTGTCTGTAATTCTGGTGGTCTATTAGGTGACCAGGCCACATGGTCAACGTCCAGTCAAAGGTTAGCCCCAACCTCACAAGGTTTGTGGTTTCTTTTTATTGAAGTCTTTTTCCTGTTTTGTTACATTACAGAAAGCTAGTAGGGAACTGAATAACTGCAAGTAATTCATGCACTGTTTAGGCCTTTTTCTGTCTCCTGTGTTCCTTTGTCTGGCTCACAAGTTGTTTGTTCTGTAGTTTAACAGGGATATTTTCCTTTAAGGACCGTGTGTTCTCGCTACACCCCTAAATTTCTTTCTCACTTTTGGAGTGGTTATATGAAATTCTAATGGTTATGTATAAGGAAGTAACTTGAAAATTGCAAAGTCATATGTACATACAGAAATTTTGTTTGCACATCTTAAAGTGTGCAGCACAAAATTGAAGCACAATAAATGTTTGCTAAATAACAGTAATTTTTTTATTAATTATTGTGACAATACAGTGTCATAGCATTCTGTATATTAGAGATTCTTAATATATCAAGGAATTTATTGAGACACAGATTTTTAAGCCTAAAATAAATTTATAGTTGTGCAGTTTCAAATCATTGTAGAACTATCTTTTAAGTATTTGCCATATGAAATACTTCAAGTAGTTGTTTTATACACTTATAAAATTTTTATTAAGATATTCCTTGTAGCAGCTAATCTGTTGTATACATGTTCTTGTTTTTTTCAGACTCCAAGAAAACCATGCAGTTGAAGTGAAAAAAGTGAAAGCAGAAGTAGAGGATTTAAGGTGTCTTCTGGCCCAGTCACAAAAGGAGTTGCAGAGTTTAAAGTCTGAACTTGAGGCTCAAAAAGAAGCAAATTCAAGAGCTCCAACAACTACAATGAAAAATCTAGTAGAACGGCTAAAGAGTCAATTAGCCTTGAAAGAAAAACAGCAAAAAGTAAATAATAACATATTATTAACATTTTCTAGAAATACATAGAAAACATAGAAAAAAATGATAGTTGAAGACTTATAAATTGGTAAAAGATAATAGCATTAATCTGTGTTAGAATAAAAAGAATGAGTATTTATCTAATACACTTAAATAAGACTTATTCAAAGATAGTTTTTAAATAACCTTAACTGAGTGCTGTTTTTAAATGTAGATGTAGTTCATTTTGTCTATGTTGTCATCAGTAATTTGTAGATTATCTGCAGGAAAGGAAAGAAAAGCTTAACATTTTTTCTCCTTTTCTACTGGAATTTTATGCTGCTGAGTCTGTTTCAAATAATTAAGCGGTTTTGAACAATTTGATTTGGGTAACTAAGAAGGATATATGATCGTGAAAAGAAGGAGAGATCAAAAAAGGGAATCACAGAGGTGGTATGGGAAGCCGTTGGTTGATTATCTTGTTAGTTTTTTTTTCATCCCCATTCATCTCAGATTTGATATCCTAAAACATTTTAGGAGGTACTCCTAATTTTCTCTTAGCTCATAAAATTTACTTTCAACAAGCCTTTTGTATTCCTGTACCTATCCTTTCTACCTAAATTTAATTAATTTCATATGGAAGGATGACTGAAATCATGAAGGAAATCGTTCACTCAGTGAATGATTTATAATATCTAAATTTGGATATTGGGGAAAAAAACATGCCTAGATTTTGTAATATAAATTGATTGATTTATGCTGGATTCTCATATCATTGTCAAGATTTTAAACCATTTTACTCAATTTGGAAAGAATTAAATATAAATCACTTATGAAAATTCATTTGAAAAGTATGTTGTGAATTTCATTTGATTAAATACATGATTTTAGGAAAATAATAGCAAGAAATAAAGGTTGTTTACTTTTTATGTCATGTTGCTCAATTAAAATATCAATTTTCCTTTAAAAATGTATGTATGTTGTAACTTTTAGGCACTTAGTCGAGCTCTTTTGGAACTCAGGGCAGAAATGACAGCAGCAGCTGAAGAACGTATTATTTCTGTAACTTCTCAGAAAGAAGCAAATCTTAATGTTCAACAGATTGTTGATCGACATACAAGAGAGCTAAAGGTGAACATCAACATAAGCATTAATATAACCAAATTCTGATAGTTCCCATTGAAAGGAATCCACTTTAATAATAGTAATTTTAATAATAAATAGGGGATTTGTAATGCATTATTAGTGGATAGATACACATATAGACACTTTTCAAGAATATCATTTTTTCATTCTTTTTATTGGTGCATTATAGTTGTACATAATGGTGGCAATTCATTGTTACATATTTACACATGAACACAATTAAACAATATAATTTGACCAATATAATTTTCTAGTATTTCCCCTTTACCTCCCTTCCCTCCTGTTCCCTTTTCTTTACTGTGCTGATCTGCTTTAGATTTTCATGAGATCCCCCTCCTTTCTTTTCCTTTTTCCTCTCTAGCTTCTGTTTTTGACAGAAACCATATGACCCTTGATTTTCTGAGTTTGGTTTATTTTGCTTAATGTAATGTTCTCAAGTTCCATCTATTTTCCTGAAAATGACATTATTTCATTCTTTTTTATGACCAAATAAAACTCCCTTTATGTATACATACCATATTTTCGTTCATCTATTGATGGACACCTAGGCTGGTTCCGTAACTTGGCTATTGTGAATTGTGGATATCCATTTATCAGTATAGAATAATGACTTTAATTCTTTAGGATAAATACCAAGGAATTGTACAACTGGGTTATATGCTGTATCAGTTCCTAGTCTTTTGAGGAAACTTAGTATACTGATTTCCATAGTGGTTGTACTAATTTACAGTCCTGCCAACGGTGTAAAAATGTTCCTTTTTCTCCACATCCTCTCTAGCATTTTTTATTGTTTATACTCTTGATGACTACCATTTGACTGATATGAGATGATCTCAGTGTAGTTTTGATTTCCATTTCCCTAATTGCTAATGATGTTGAATATATATATATACGTTTGCTGGTAATTTGTACTTCTTCTTTTCAGAAATGTCTGTTTAATCCATTTGCCTATTTATTAATTGGATTATTTGATTTTTTTGGTGTTAAGTTTTTTTAGTTCATTGTATATTCTAGATACTAATCCTCAATCAGTAGAGTAGTTAGCAAAGATTTTCTTCTGTTCTGTAGGTTCTCTCTTCACATTCCTAATTGTTTCCTTTGCTGTGTAGATGCTTTTTAATTAGATGTCATCCCATATATTAACTCTTGGCATTATTTCCTGAACAACATTATAATAGTAATTTTTTATTGGTAGTAATACTATTTGATCTATAATAATTTATTCAAAAGAAATACATTTAGTCAAATAAGACATTATAGGGCAAATAACATCATGATAAAACTGGCCTTCAGATTATTTTGATATTAATTGTGACTTCTATTGTAGTCACAGTTCTAGAGTGGCATATTTTTGAAAATACAGAAGCAGCTACCGTATTACACTTATTATAAGAGTATTACTCAGAAACTGTGGATAGTGATGGCTTCATGTTTCTGTCACTGTCACCATATAGAACAGCTAAGAACTCTGAATTCCTACATAATGGCTTGTATATACTTCCAGGAATTACAAGCTGCCCTTTGATGTTTTGTCTTTAAAAAGTAGATTAGAAACTACTTGAAGTCAGAGATTTTGTTTTATATTACTCTTAATGCTTCATAGTATTTAAAAATCTCCATGCACATTGATAGGTACTGGTTTCTTTAAAATTAAGCTATAAACATTTATTTAATTGATAAAATTTCATTTCTGGGTATTGAAAATTAATTGCTTTAGACTTTTTTCTTTAATATAGTATTAGTTTTTGCTTCAAATAGACTTGGCTCATTTAACATGAACATGGAAAAATATATGTAGTTTGGCTTTTAATACTGTGTATTGTACTTAAAATTTTCCTTTTTCTTTGTAATAAAAAGTATTAATGGTATACGTTCTATTTTGTGTTGCTTTTGTCATTGGTATATGTGGTGAGGATTCATGACTAAGACCTTTCTTTATCTCTAGTCACAAATTGAAGATTTAAATGAAAACCTTTTAAAATTAAAGGAAGCTCTTAAAACAAGTAAAAGCAGAGAAAACTCACTAAGTGATAATTTGAATATTTTAAATAATGAACTGCAAAAACACCAAAAAGCCTATAATAAAATACTTAGAGAGAAAGATGGAATTGATCAAGAAAATGATGAACTTAAAAGGCAAATTAAAAGACTAACCAGTGGATTACAGGTAATTTTATATTTAGTTTTGATTAATGTTTTTGATTTGTAATATATAGGTAATAGGTAATAGTTTATTTCCTCTTTTAAATTTTGTCTTCATATTAAGAGTATTATTCAGAAACTATGGGTAGTGATGGCTTCAGAAGATTTCTATAATTGGAATATTTATTGTGTATTTTTTTACTCTGCCTTTTTAGAATGTAAAGTTACATCTTATTTATTACAGAGCAAACCTCTGATGGACAATAAACAAAGTTTAATTGAAGAACTTCAAAAGAAAGTTAAAAAATTAGAAAGCCAACTAGAAAGAAGAGTAGATGAGGTGGATTTAAAACCTGTGAAAGAAAAGGTATGTGATACATCATAAGTGGTATCGGATATATATAAGGCAAGAAGTTTCCATCCTTAAGGAATTTTCAGTATGTTTAAGGAGGCACCTCTAATGTTACTCTTACTTGGGAATTGCTACTTCAACTCTATGTCAACTTCCTGACTTCAAATACTTTTACACCTTAAGTATTCAATTGTATTTATCATTTCTCTCCAAGTAACCATTTATGTAGGTAAGAACTTTTGACCTTTGGGGAAAACTGGACATTGGACATTTTAAGATTTTAAGATCTCTGCTTTGATCCATGTGTGTCCTTTTTTTATTTTTATTTATTTTTTTATTTTTTTTCTCCTTCAGTAGGCTAGACTGTCATTTCAGGGTAAAAAAATGATTTGGAACATATTCAGTATTTGCTATAATTAATAACCCATCTGCTCATAGATTGATTCTGTCATGTGAGATAAATTGCTTAATATTTTCTTAAGGTCAACTAGCAAATCGTTTTCTAATAAAAATTATTAATATAAATAACCCAAACCAAAAGTAAAATTGGCTAAAATGCATGTAACTATATTTGGTATGAAGAAGAAATGGGAATACATTGAATATACTGTTAGTATATTGAAAATACCATGCCTGGGAATGTTGCTCAGTGGTAGAGTGCTTGTCTAGCAGGCCTTGGGTTCAGTTCCCAGCTCCACAAAAAACAAAGGAACAGAAGTTTTCTGGGGAAATATTGGTTGATGTTAGTAGTAATGTTTGCCCTGAAACTGGAGGAGGTAAAATTTGTATTATAAAATTTGTATTATAAAATTTACCCAAAACATATTTAATAACTATAAGATAATTTTAATAAAAAGAAAATTAGATGTCTATAATGGCACCAAAGAGAAAGTAGGTAATGAAATTAAAATAACTTAGTAGACTATTCCAGTATTTTCCTATGAAAACTCATCGGTGTCAATGTAATTTTGATGAAAATGATTGCATTTGTATATGTGAAGCCACAGCATGCTTTCTGTCAGAAGCTTTGTTGGTGAAATCTGCAAGATCAAAATGTCTTAACTCCTCTGGATTGCACTCTTAACTGCCTCCCTACCTGGGAGTAAGTCCAGCATTGGATACCAGTTCCTAAGCTGATTCCTATCAATAAGCCCCAGTAACCTTGTGCATTTGCCTAAATTCCTAACCTCTCTGTTTCAGTTTATTCAGTTTATTAACCTGAAATAATACTGTCTTTATTGCCATGGAAGATAATTTTGACAATTAAATGAAATAATATGTGAAAGTTTTGTAAGATATCAAGTCTAGTCTATACAAGTATAAGATATTATTATTAGGGGCTGGGGATGTGGCTCAAGCGGTAGCGCGCTCGCTTGGCATGCGTGCGGCCCGGATTCAATCCTCAGCACCACATACAAACAAAGATGTTGTGTCCGCCGAAAACTAAAAAATAAATATTAAAAAAAATTCTCTCTCTCTCTTTAAAAAAAAATAATAATAATACTTCAGTGTTGAGCCTCACAGCTGACTTTAAAAAAAAAAAAAGATATTATTATTAACTAGAAAACACAGAGGACAATCTTGATTTTAACATGTATATCCATAAACCTATTAGAAAATTTTTTCAGGTTCCATAGTACTTGGACATTTCTAATTTATATTAAAAATATGCTTTCATATTGAGTGTTTTGAAATTTCAGCATGTTTTTGTCTGTAAACAATATAGCAAACATGTATAAGGTAACAAAATTTCCTATGCTTTGCACTCCTTTCAGTGTACATTTATTGTTATCTGAACATACTAGACATTTACTTATATAAGTGTTTATCTTTTGTTTTCCCTGTTTGATTACAAGCTTGGATAGCAGTATCTTTGCTTGTTTTGTTCATTGTTATGTTTCTAGCATCTACTTAATAGATGATCACTATTTGTTAAATGAATGAGAATTTTAAATATACCATATTTTCCTGAGACTTTTAGTAGAGAAATATTTTGAAAGAAAAACATTCTCTCCCTATCCTGTCTTATCTGCTTTTCTTCCTCAGTCTAGAACAGACCCGCGTTGACATTTGCCTTTGTTATTTCCTGTTCATTATTAAATTCCCTCAGCCTTGCTTCCCTCCTTAAATTTGAGGGTAATACAAGACACAATTTAATTGCCTAATCAGGGCAAAGCACTCCATTTCTTGCTTCAGAATCATTTATTTACATACATTATGCCCCCAAATATTATTTACATTTCTAGGAATATAGATAATTTCTTATATATATTTCAGAAAAAAGAAATTAACTATGAACCACTTATTGAAATCTTTACATTTTTTTAAAGGATACTTATTAGTCAAACTAAATAAATAAGGTAAAAAAATTAAACCGTATTAGAAGAAGAATGTTAGAGAACTAGAGAAGATTGCTTTGATAAGACAAATAATCCTAGTTAGGAATTTAAATTTAAGTTATGAATCTCAACACTTTTAGGCCCAAAATGACCTTTTATACTAAATAATAATAATGTTTTATAATATCCCCTTCACTATTACAAATGGAATTCATGATTAATATAAACTAATTACTTAAATAACTTCAAGAATATTATTAATAATATCTCAAATAAATTTTTATAGGAAAAACATGAAAGAAAAGTAACATAAAATAATAAGTATATGACTATATTATTCATATTTCAACATGTAAGTAGTCTGACATGCTTATGTTAAAAAACAGAGGTAGTTGTGTGCTTTTACCTTTACATATCATTAATGTGAGTTGTAAGCTACAAATATAGAGTAATACAAATATGTTCTATTGGTAGTTCATCTGTCATGATTGCATTTCCAGTTATAATTTGATTTCCAAATTGATAAACTGTATATGACTATATTATTCATATTTCAACATGTAAGTAGTCTGACATGCTTATGTTAAAAAACAGAGGTAGTTGTGTGCTTTTACCTTTACATATCATTAATGTGAGTTGTAAGCTACAAATATAGAGTAATACAAATATGTTCTATTGGTAGTTCATCTGTCATGATTGCATTTCCAGTTATAATTTGATTTCCAAATTGATAATACATAAAAATTCTTTATTATAACCAGAGAAATAAAGAGTTGTGCAGCAGTGGTACCCAGTGAATCAAAATGCACTCTGCTGTCATATATACCTAATTTTAATTAATTAATTAATTAAAAATAAAAATAAACAAAACAAAAAAAAATCCTTGTTAGAAGTTTACTTTAGCCATGATGACTATATTAGAATTTGCATTTAAAGTCTCCTCAAGGGTGTTGGCATTAGTCATTTGTGCCCCAGAATTTTGTCTGACAGGTAATAGAAAAAAGCCTACTTAGAGTGAAGCTTGGCATGTCTAAAGATTTTAGGAATTATATAGCAAATGAACCAATTATCATTTGCTTAGAAGTATTAGTTCACTGTTGTTCTTGGTAGATTATAATTTGTGAGTTTAAAAAATAAAATAATTTTTATGATTTTCTAACACATATGTATTGTTTACAGAGTGCTAGAGAAGAATTAATTCGGTGGGAAGAAGGCAAAAAATGGCAAACCAAAATAGAAGGAATTCGAAACAAGTTAAAAGAGAAGGAGAGAGAAGTCTATACCATCACCAAACAGCTGAATACTTTGAAGGATCTTTTTGCCAAGTGAGCTTAAATTTCATTGTAACACTAATTATGTATCCAATCTATTGACCCAGAAATTATATTGTTTTGTCATAGTTGGTAATATTAGCCTTTTTCTATTTTAATTATTTATTATGTATGATTCAGTTTTTATTTATTTTATCAGTTTTAAATGAAATTTCCTATGGTTTAGAAGTAAGTTGATTCAGATTAAATACAGAATGGTATAATTGCCATATGTTGGTCTGATAAGCTGTAGTTTAATAAATTGAATAAGCAAAATACTAAGTGGTTTATTTTCATGATTCTATATTAAATTTCACAGAGCTGACAAAGAGAAACTTACTTTGCAGAAGAAACTAAAAACAACTGGCATGACTGTTGATCAAGTTATGGGAGTTCGAGCTTTGGAATCAGAAAAAGAGTTGGAAGAATTAAAAAAGCGAAATCTTGACTTAGAAAATGACATATTATATATGAGGTAAGTTATTACATGGAAATGTAGTACCTATTGTAATGAAAAGCTGCTTGACCCATATATTTGGAAATAATGTGTGTTGTTTCAATTTGGGGTTGTGTTGGTTTTCTTTTCCCAAGTGAAGTTGAGATATTCCTAATGTAATTCTAGATTGTACTATTGTATTATTGACCTTTAAATATTATATTGTGAACCTCTAGGTCTTGTTTAAATTCTATGGAAAATGTAGATGATTTGTTTTAGCTTGTAATCTAATTGGTTAGGTTAAGGACTCAAGTTGCACCCTCCTTTCTGTGGGTTATGGTTCCTTTGTCAGTTCTGTTTTCAAAGCTTTTTTAGTGCCGTTCAGATCTGTTCTGTCTGTGCACTTACCAGTCAACAGTCTGGTACATGGGCAGTGTTTTATTCAGTTCTCAGAACCCTTAGTATTGTGATTTGATTAGGATCAGATCTATATAGTGTGCAGCTGAATGGTGAGTCCAGAAGTCCGTAAACAACTTTGTAGCTCAAGAAATGTCTCCCTCTCTTTATGATACTTCCTATTTCCTTAGGGTTCCCCATTTTGGTACTTCATACAAATCTGGGACTTCAGTTAAACCCACCATGCTATGTACTTCATTAGTTGTACATGTCTGTAGCTGAGTCAGCAATAGGAGGGCAGAAAGCAGGAAGACAAAAACTATTTTTTGCCCTTTCACTTTGATATTACAGCTCTACCAATTAGAGAAAAAGATCCTACTCAAAAATTTCAGCTGTTGAGGGTTCCCATTGAAGCCTTTGCGAAAACCATGGAGTTGCCTGAGGGCTGGAGCATGAGACCACCTAGAAAGGACAAAAATAATAAGATTTTTTTATTCTTTGTGTTTCCTTTTTTCTTATTTGAGTTAGAACTAGAAAGCTTCTCTAGAACTTTTCCCTTCAGTGCTGACTACCTCCAGTTTCACATAACATGTTTCAAATAATGTGTTCAGGCCAATTACAATAGGAGAAAAGAAAAAGTTAAATTCATTGCCTGTCACCTGGTACTTAAATTCTGGTATTCTATCCTTGACTGCCTTATATGGTTTAGTTTTCAGTATCCTCAAGTAGTTGCTCATGGGAGAGAGACAGGATTGAGTGTGATTATTCCATTGTACCTGGAACCACCACTTACCCTCCACCTGCGGCCATCATGCCGTTTCGTAAGAGAGTCTTTGAGACTTGTTTTCCTCTTTCCAGACTGCCTTCCATATACTGTAGTAATAAAAAGCAAAATAAAATGTTGTCCTGTCATTATAATTTTTGTTTCACATATTTCTTCCAAGGTGAACTTTGGTTTGTTATAAAGAATTTGTTATTTCATCTGCTAAGTGCTTACAATATCATAATCTGTAATCATGTTAATAATCATTTTCAAAGTCTGGAATCTACATATAATATTTAGATGTGATATTTATCCTTAATAAATTTACCATGGCTTTGTCTATTAATCTTTAATAATTACCTTTACTGCTTCTTTTTAAAAATTTATAATCATTTTTAATTGTCATAAAAATTGAATATATTAATGTGATGTTTTAATACATGTATGAACTATATAATGTACAGTCAGGGAAAACATATCTATCTCCTCAAACATTTATCATTTCATTGAGACAAAAACATTGAAAATCTATTATTTTTATGAGAAATATAGTACGTTATTGTTATCTGTAGTCACCCTAGTGAACACAAGAATTTATTTCTCCTATCTTAACTATAACTTAATATCCCTTAACCAACCTTTTCCCATCCCTCCTTTCTGCATGCTCTCCCTAATCTCTATTCTACCCTCAAGTTCTGTGAGATAAATTTTTTGTATTCCATGTATGAGTGAGATCATGTGGTATTTCTGTTTCTGGCTTTTTTCACTTAATACAGTGTCCTCCAGTTCCATACATATTGTCACAAATGACAGGATTTGACTTTTTTTTTTTTTTTTTGACTGAATAGTATTCCATGGTTTGTGTTTGTGTACTACATATCAATTCTTTAGTTGATGGACACTTACATTGTTTCTGTTTCTTGACTACTATGACTAGTACTGTAATAAACATTGTAGTTCACATGTCTTTTCTACATAACAATTTCCTTTCCTTTGTGTGTATACATTAGGCATCATAGTGGTATTGCTGGATCATATGGTAATTCTATTTTTAATTTTTTGAGGAACCTCCATACTACTGATTTATAGTCCCACCAACAGTATATAAGGATCTTTCTTCATATCCTTACCAGCTCTTATTATCTTTTGTCTTTTTGATAATAGACTTTCTGTTGTGAAGTGGTTTTGATTTTCTCATTGTGATTTTGATTTTCATTTCCCTAAGGACTAATGACATCGAATGTTTTATTCATGTGCCTCTTGGCCATTTGCATGTCTTCTTTTGAAATTTTTAAATTAGATTGTTTTTGCTGTTAAGCTTTTAGAGTTCTTTATCTATTTTGGAAATTAATTTCTTGTCAGGTGTATAGTTTGTAAATATTTACTTCCATTCTGTATTTGTCTCTTGATTTTCTTGATTATTTCCTTTGCTGTGCAGAAGCTTTTTAGTTTGATATAATCCAGTTTAATTTTGTTTTCATTTCCTGTACTTTTGAGAGTAGTGCTTCTTTATTAATGTCTAATATTGTGTCAGTATGAATGTGATATGGACCTATGAAGTGGAGCACCTTTACATAATATTCTGGTGGACTCCTAACTTACATTCCATCCTCTTTCCATTTAAGTTACTATTTTTTAAATTCTTCATAATTTTCCTTGATAGGAAAAAAGATCAAGAAATTCTTTCTCTTGATAACTGTTTAAAGTTACTATGTAGTCCCCAGCAATGGATCTTTCTCTTCCATTTTTCTGAATCTAAACCTATGTTAAAAACAAGCAAACAAACAAACCTCTTTCAGTAGCCTTTGTAGTTTTTGCAAGAATCAAATCATTTTACTTTTGAAACCTAAGGCTTTTAAGGGCCTATTATTATTATTATTATTATTCTATGTGTTAATCTGTAAAGGCTGTAGTAGTTGGAGAAGATTTCATACAAGAAACTATCTTGACTTTTCAAATTCAAAGAACTTCTGAATTTTAAGGATCAATTTCAGATATGAATCACTCTAGCAGAGATATAGAGGCAAGAGTGAATATTTCATGTTTGGGTCAAAGTAGATTTATTTGCCTGAATAAAGGTAGTCTCCTGGACAATAAAGTTGGTTGTGCCAGATTATGGAGGGTGATGTAGACCAGGCAGACATGTTTATATTCAAAGTGACAGATTATTATCTGGAACCATTAAGAAATTTTTTATATCTTTGAGCTTTTTGAGACTGACCATGGATATTATGCGTTTATTACATAATGCTTTTAGAATAGTGGATATTTTAACTGTCTTATATAATGACATATAAATTGATATACATGCTATTTAAAAATATGGAATATATTTCTTTTTTTTTTTTCCTTTGGTGCCGGGGATTGAACTCAGGGGTACTCAACCACTGAGCCACATCCCAGCTCTATTTTGTATTTTATTTAGAGACTGAGTCTCATTGAATTGCCTGGTGCCTCGCAGTTGCTGAGGCTGCCTTTGAACTCTCGATTCTCCTGTCTCAGCCTCCCAGACCTCTGGGATTACAGGCAAGCACCGCCGCTCCCAGCTGGAATGTATTTCTGTAATTGTTTTTTATTGGTCAAACTGCATTTCTTACCTGACAGTTTAAAGGAGTCCTTCATTAAATCCTCTGTAGAGGATTATTTTAAAATATAAATTGTGATGGCAACGTTTATATTAAAATTTTGGAGTTTTGAAAAAAGTAAAACGTATACTTTATTAATAAATATATTGCAGTTTCTTTCTTTTATGCTATATTTTAATATTGTAAAATTTAGGTTTTCGCAATACAGAGTCTATGGTTGTTGTTTGTAGGACCCATCAAGCTCTTCCTCGAGATTCTGTTGTAGAAGACTTACGTTTACAAAATAAATACCTTCAAGAAAAACTTCATGCTTTAGAACAACAACTTTCAAAGCAGGAATATTCTAAGCCTTCAGTGAGTATACATCTTTTCTTTCTAGTTTTAAATGCATAAAAGCATAATCAGTTCATTCCAGAAACATTAGATTCTTCTCATTAATATCAAATATAGTAAATTCAACTTTTATTTTTACTAGATAATGATGTATAGTAGCTTCTTTAATCCTAACATAATAACTTAAGACTTTAATATTTGCATAAAGCTTCATTACAATTGATTTCTAAAAATTCTAAATGAAGCTATCATGAAGTTTTTTTATGATAGGAGCCTATAATTAAATGTGAAAATGTTGTAGTAATGTTTCTATTCTCATGTTTATGTTTCTAGTTTATAGAAGATTCATTAATGAATAATGTAGAATTGTTTGTTTGATCTCATTTTAAGTAATACATATATTTTATGTTTTTTCCTTTTCATGTTTCTTCTACTTCAACAGAATCTGGTATGTGACACAACTATGTATTCTACCCTTAGTAGTGTTAATAAATACAGACGTAATACTTTTCACAAAAGAACACTTTGTTCAGGAACAAGGAAAAAAAAAACCCTAAGATTTAAAAATAGAGAATAAATTCCAGAAACAGTTACATCATCGTTAATACCCTATGGTGTTAATTAAAGAAACACAAAGTAAAAATGTTGTAGCTCCTATTAAGTTAAATCAGAAGCAGTATCAAACACATCAGGTCCATTTAGGTCAACTAATGATAACCTGAGAGATTTTGACTCAAATTTTGAGTCTGCATCAGATCCTAAAGTTGAGAAAGTTGATCAAAAATATTTTGAAAATGGTAGGCAGGAACATAAAAAGGAGAAAGAGAATGAGATAGGTAAAAATGAGGGTGAAAAAAAAGGACCACACAGCTAAAGATGTGGTTCACAACTATGCAGATCCCAGAGAATCTACTATCTAGGACCATAATCATTCCATAGTTGCTGATACAGTGAATCATTGTGCTGTGGATGGTGCACATACAAATCATGAAACTGGTCTCATCAATTCAGCCAAGAAATGAATGTCCCTGGTAAAATTTTCACATTCCTTTATTTCTTTGTTAGCTGAATTTTCTTAGGCCAATTCTAAAAAACATATAGTTCCAATGGGATAAAATCTGTAGCATTTGTAAAAAAACAAACAAAAAAAACCCAGGAACTATTAATAAACTTTGCCTTAAGCCCTAATTTTAACTGATTATTAACAAAATTAGTGGTTTTGCATTTCCTAATTCAGTTTAGAACTTACTGAATAGTAGTAGAAGGAAGGCACTCTATATGTGTTAGTATTGCCTTAGATATTTCTAATTCAGACAGCTGTTTGCAAGTAAAAGCTCACTACAGTGAATATCAGGAATATTTTGTTGCAATGATATATAGCAAGTTCACTTAGTGATCTTTTTGCCATGGATGGTAATATACTTTTTAATAATGAGAAAAGGGAGCTTTCATGTGTTGTCTGTGTTGTTTTAGGCTCTGTACCTAAGTATATTTCTCAACATATTTTGCAAAATATTGTTCATATTTTACATAGGAGGCTTAAAGAATAAGTATCTCTAGTGACCCTGTAGAAACAGAATCAGGCTTTAAATTCAATCTAATTCTAGTTCCTGAACTTTTGTATATATACTACTTTGGGTCCATTTATATTGAAGTACAGAATTAAGACAAGCTTGTTTCCAGTTCAAATAACATGTAGCCTTTTTTCTTTATCCTTTCTACCTCTGATGTTCCAGTCATGCCTAACCATCAACTAATATTACACATCTAGGAGAAAATAGATGAAAGTGATTTAATTCTTATTTTATTTCTTTATCCAGGTTCATAAATTTTTTTCTTTAACTTCATAATTAATGAGAAAATTTGAGATGCCTAGTATGTATTATCTAATTTCCATCCACTAAGGATTTGATATTAAGCAATTTATGACTTTTAGTGGGATCATTCTTCAATAAAACACGTGGGAAGTCCTATGAAGTTCATCATACAAGAAATCCATTTATATTATCATAAATAGAAAGTTTTATTAGAATTTATTTTCCAAAGATTAGGAGAATATGATCTAATATCTTGTTTTATTTTCTGAGGATAGAAAGAAAAAGTGATTCACATTCACTTATAGTAATTGCATTCATATTTTAGTGAGAAATATGTTTAGAAACTATTCTCATGTAAAATCTTCATCACATAGAATTCTTCTCTTCTGTGAGATTTAATATTTTTTATTTATCAATCAGTGGTACTTATAGGTGATTTAGCATTCATAGATTCAGATAGCTACCACAGACACAAGAGACAAAGATAGGGAAACAGAACAGCTTAGAGACAAAGAATTAAATATTCCCATGTCTGAAGTGAACTTAAAAGATATCTTCTCTAGTGCCTTTATTCATAAGATTCAAAAACTTGATAGTCTTGTAATTGGTAGGATTTACTTTATGTTAACTTACTCACACTGAATTAGAATATATGCCTGGGTAGTCTGAATAAGTGGGAATATGTTACTGTGGTTTATAGGCATCTTCTTTTTCTTGCTAATATGTGCCTATGCATACTCATTCCCTTAATCTGGTGAACACATGCAGTCTTCCTGCCAGTGTTCTGCTATATGCCTCATCAGAATCAGACATCTGTCCAAAATTTCTTTACTTTTCCATTTCCTGTATTGTGATTTCTTTACTTTTACTGTGTTTTACCTTAGAAAATACATTTATGGAGTTCCTTTACTTTCTAACAAAAGTAACAAGTATAATGTAGATTTCAATAATTAAATCACTATTAATAGAACCATGTATAACATGTAGATTTATTGATATATTTTAAGAAGTATAATATCCATGGAATTATTGACTTTATTGAACCCAATTGAAGCGTTTAAACCAATAGATGGAGAAAGTTTAAGGAAAAAGTACTAAAGCCATGCCCTGCACTTTCACAAAATTATTTTATATGATGCTGTAACAGTTCTATGAAGTAGGAGGTAATCAACCCAGTTTATAGAAAGAATAATCAAGCACAGTTTTCTCTTTCAAATACCTTACAGTTTAGCCTGAGAAATAAAAGTGAACATAAAAAATAACCAAGGTAGATTCTTGCCAAAAGAAATGCAAATGTAGTATTAATGCATTTCAGAGAGGGAGTAATTACCTCAAGGAATACAGAAATGGTTTCTAATTGAGGCACTTCTTTTTTAGATTAGAGTGCATAGTTTGGGCTGCCATTACTGAATAAACTATATTTGCCCACCATAGGCACACATTCCACATCTGAAGATTCAACCAACCATGAATCAGAAATATTCAGGAAAAAAATCGTGTATGTACTGAATATGTACAGACCTTCCTTTTCATGTCATTATTCCCTAAGCAATATATTGTAATTAACTACTTACACTGTATTAAGTGTTGTAAATAATCTAGAGGTGATTTAACATATATAGGAGGATGTGTGTTATATGCATATTTGCTATTTTATTTAAGGGACTTGACCATCCACAGATTTTAGTATCCTTTGGGGGAAGGTGGGATTGTCCTGAAATTGATCTCCAGGGGAGACTAAGGGATATCTGTACTACAGATTCTGTGGCTCAAACAACAGAAATTTATGGTCTAACAATTCTGGAAGATAGATGTTCAAATATCAAGGTGTGGGCAGGGTTGGTTCTTTCTGAAGTCTTTACAGGAAAGATCTATTCTAAGTCTTGGCTTGTAACTGGCCCTCTTCTCTCTATGTCCTCAGATGCCCTTTCCTCTATGCATCTCTGGGTCCAAATTCCCAAACTTCCCCTTTTGATAAGGATACCAGTCATACTGGATTAGGGTCTACCCTAGTTATGGCATTTTAATTTAATTACTTCTGCAAAGACCCTGTCTCCAAATAGGTTGCATTCTGAAGGTGCTATGAGTTAAAATTTAACATACAATTTGGGGAGTGGAGGGATATAATATTACTGTATAACAATTATACAACCTTTATTTTGCAGTAACAAAACCAGCATAAACTACTTAACTATTATGAGAGTATATATGAAAACATTATACATATGAAGGTTTCTATTTTAAATAAAAGGAAACTATATTACTTTTTATCTGTAAGTTTTATATTCCAACTTAATTATCTTTTCTTTAGGGCTCTCCAATTTTTTTCACATTCTCTTGAGAAAAAAATTTTCCTTTTGATATAGTATTTTCTAATTCAGTATGTCTTATCTGGCTCTAATTTATTAAACTTTAAAAATTCCAAATTTAATTTTCCTGAAGACTTCTGGAATAGAGTCAGATGAACATTGTCAAAAAGAACAGGAGCTTCAGAAGGAAAACTTGAAGTTGTCATCTGAAAATATTGAGCTAAAGTTTCAGCTTGAACAAGCAAATAAAGATTTGCCAAGACTAAAGGTAAATTTAATGGGCTTTATTATATTAAGAAAATCAAATGCCTGTAACATTTCTGCACCACACATCTAATTGTTATATTTACTTATATTGTTAAAAAATGCATATTCATAAAATGTTAGGTAAGATTACATTTAAACAAGTCAATATAGTATGTAAGTTGATGTTAAATGCTAACAATGGTCACACTTGAAAATATAAGGATAATTGTTTCTTTTAGAAAGTTTGCTTTATTTTGATCTTAATAAGTTGGTTTTTTAAATTCAGTATTCTGTATGTTAGCCTATTGATGGGAGTCTTTCTTTTTGTCATAGCTAGAACTTTATTCTCTCCTTTTCTATCACGTGAATATTGATCTATATGTGTAAATTATGGGACAGTTTCAGAGATCTAATCCCAAATTTGTATTGTACCCTAAGGCAGTAATATAGAAAATATTTCTTGAAAGTTTATATATAAAATATTCTCTTATTAATTGAACATATGTCTTTAGTTCAGAATATTCCTTGTTAGTCTAGAGACCCAGTTGCTTAATTTGACTGTACAATTGAAAACGTTACTTCAGATGAATTGTTTTTATTTCCTTTTCAGTGATGATAATTATGTCAGATTGCTACATATTTTATCTTTCAGAATCAAGTAAGAGATTTGAAGGAAATGTGTGAGTTTCTTAAGAAAGGAAAGTTTGAAGTTGAGCGAAAACTTGGTCATGTTAGAGGGGTGAGTATGTTGCTTGGGAATCCAGGACCAAAGGTTTAGGCCTCCATTGATTTCATGTTAGTGAGTGGCATAAATAAATGAAACCAATCATAGTTCAAAAACTCATTCCAGTAATAATGCTAAATATATGATGGATTTAGTTAAAATTTGAAGAGTATTATTATTATTAGAAAAATATTAAGAGCAAATATCTTTGTGATGATCAGCAACATATTTTTCAAAAATGAAAATATATGTGTACACTATAAAAATTTACAATTTTATGTTGATCTAAAAATTTTTAATTTATAAAGAAAGTAAATATGTTTGTTAGTTATATAAAAGTTTATATATCAGGGTTATTCATGCTATAGCATGAATGCTAACTCAAATGTAAATAAAATGAGCACATGATTTTATTAAACTATTAACTATTTTTGATTATAAGAAATTAAATTTATTGATGGGTAGCCTACCTCTGTTGATATATTTATACAAGGTTTTTTGTTTCAGATGTCTTCTATTATATTGATCAGAAGCTGAATTCCTAAGCAGTGACTATTCTTAGAGAAAATTGCATCTTTTAAATTGCAGCCAAAATTTGATTACTGATGAGCTGTATTTCAGTTTTTCTTTTTGATTTTATTCCATATAAAGAACATTTTGGTATACTGGAGAGAACATTAGCTAAATAGAATATTTGAATTTATTTATTTAGATCAGACATCAAAACCTGCCTATTTAAGCTGTTACTTACTAATTATGTGCTTGTAGGAATGTCAAATTCTCTAAGTCTTGGTTTTTTGTATATGAGAATTATAAATCTTATAGGTTGTTATAAGGATATTTTAAATTAACACAGGTTTGGGGATCAAATATTAGGAATTATTAATAATGAGCACAGTAATAAACCTGTTGTGTTGGTACTTCAGTATCATAGTCTATGAAATGTTTGTTAAATTATAAATTGGCATATTCTTTTACAGTCTGGTAGAAGTGGAAAAACAATCCCAGAACTAGAAAAAACCATTGGTTTAATGAAAAAAGTAGTTGAAAAAGTCCAAAAAGAAAATGAGCAGTTGAAAAAAGCATCAGGAATACTGACCAGTGAAAAAATGGCTAATATTGAGCTAGAAAATGAAAAGTTAAAGGTAACATTTTTAGTATGATCATTTTTTAATGGGAGTGCTTTATTAATTTTAATTTTTTAGGAAAAATTTAAACATTCTACAAAATGGCTTTAATACATGTACATATTTTATGCAAACAGAAAAACCTAAATTGGAGGAAAAGGTAAAAATATTTACTGAATGGCTCCCCTTATCCTCCTTATTTCAAGACCAATTTGTTTTCTCATAGATTAATTACCTGTGTATTTTTAAAAATACAGGTGCCCAAGATCCTGAATAATCTGATTATTTGATGACATGTTCTAAGATAGGTGTAGTGAGAGGGTTGTTTTTGTATTTTAAGTCATCAAATGTGTAGCCAAGAGTTGGGTACTGCTATTCTAGATGACCAGTATTTAAGGAAAGACCTTAATTCTAATCATACCAAATATAGTCTCTAAAACTATCTTGAATTAAATTTTATGAGTTTACAAGTACCATTTATTTGATTACCTTGTTTTGATCTTTTTTCTTTTTTCTTTTTTTTAATCACCAGGCTGAATTAGAAAAACTTAAAATTCATCTTGGACATGAGTTGAGCATGCACTATGAATCCAAGACTAAAGGCACAGAAAAAATTGTTGCTGAAAATGAAAGGCTTCGTAAAGAACTTAAAAAGGTATGACTTTTATGATTAATTATAATCATTAATTTATGTTTTAATTAAGTAGTATATCTTGGCAGTACTGAAAGTAGAAAAGAGCATTTGTTTAAAGTAGATAGTAAGTGGTTTAGGAATTGTAGTGAGAGATTTAAGAATATGCCTGTCATTACTTTGAAGGACATTGAAATAAACAAACAAATTTAGAGTCAATATAATTAAAAGCTACTCATTCTGAATTCAGTTCCTAGTTCTATTACATATTAATCTTAGGAACTGGGGCAGGCTACTTAACCTAATCTCTCTTCCTCAGTTCCCACATATATAAGTTTGGGAATAAGAACTATACCTATCTCACAGAATTGCTGTAGGATTTAAGTGACTTAATCTTTATGCACATGCCTTAGAACAATACTTAATTTCCAGTGAGAAGTATATGAAACTCTTTGGTTAAACAGTAAGATTTCTTTGTATTTAAGTGACAAAATATATTCCTTGCTCTGAGCAAGTAGGTATTGTTATTTATATGGATAATTTAGTGAAAACATTGAAATGAATATTGTGAAAGCTAGTTAGAATAGTAATTGAATGCATTGTGAGGCCAGAGTAATGTTGTTCCTTGAAGGTGGATGTTTAATAATAGAAACAATCTGTTATTTACATATGGCTTATGCTTATAGCCAGGTGTCTTAAGTGTTAGGAAATCAAAACACAGAATCTTTTAAATGTGTAAAGAGACAATCTATCTAATTATCCTAAAAATATTAAGAGAAACAATGAAAATTTTAAAGTAACCACTAGAGTCCATTACTTGTAAATATATTTCTCTGAGCTCATTATATGATCTTTTGTTCTAATTATCATCATATTGATGTTTTAGAAGAAGAGAAAGATTACATTTTTATTTCAGATTTAATCAGCATTTAGAACTTCAGGTTATTTATGTTTTCCAATTTGTAATGGTAATTTAAAATGCATTGTATCTGTGAGGACAGTGTTATGTTTTATTATAATGTACTAATTATCTTTTTTTTAAGAGAGAATTTTTTTAATATTTATTTTTTAGTTTTTGGTGGACACAACATCTTTATTTTATTTTTATGTGGTGCTGAGGATCGAACCCAGCACCCCGCGCGTGCCAGGCAAGCATGTTACCGCTTGAGCCACATCCCCAGCCCACTAGTTATCTTTTAATGATAGGAAACTGAAGCTGCAGAGAAACTACGGATAGCGAAGAATAATTTAGAGATATTAAATGAGAAGATGACGGTTCAACTAGAAGAGACTAGTAAGAGATTACAGATTGCAGAAAGTAGAGGTCCACAACTTGAAGGTGCTGACAGCAAGAGCTGGAAGTCAATTGTTGTTACCAGGTAGGACCAAATAGTTCACAACTTGCCCAGCATTTAATCATGTTTGATTCTGGTATCATTGATTTAAAAGATGAGCCCATTCTGAGTAACTTAGAAATTTCCTGATGAATAATTTGTTATTTACTTTAGCATATTACTCCCTTTTAGTCTATGCTAGCATTTCCAGAAAATCTTTTTCTTCTCTAAAACATTTAACTAGTTTGGATGGCAGAGCATAGAACGGAACAGAACTTGATGTGCATCGTAAAGCTGCTGTAGAGCTTGATGTGCATCGTAAAGCTGCTGTCAGCCATGAGCCTGGGCTAACACTTCCCATCTTTTCCTAAGTGCTACTTTTCTTCAACTGAAATCTCAGCTTCCTTTTTCACTTTGCAATGCTGGAAATTGAACTCAGAGTCGTGTGCACACATGCAACAACAGCTTCTTGACTGTTGTTCATTTTCTATTTCAAGTATGAGCTAGAAACATTTGAGCTGTCTTGTCACATTCTGTGACATACAGGATCTAATGAACTGCATTACTATTTGGAGTTAAATACTAGAGAAGTTTCTCTTCAGAAAGCCTCAGTAGATAAATGCAACACAGCTTTAGTGTTTCTGGCCTCTGCTTTTTGGTACTCAGTTTTTTTTTTCCCACCATGTGAACCTTTTCTATAAGTATTTGGGATTTCTGCCTGTGAAACTAATTTATATGATACTGCCATCATGACTATGATAAGTTGCTAAAAGACTGGTGTCATTCCCATTTCCAACTCAAGAAGTTTAGAAGTTAGTAACCAGTAGGATCCTTTGTCCTTTTCCACCAAAAGTTTTCCTCTGTGAAGTTATATTCTTTGTCATCAGCACATCTGTTGCTCCCATTCAAAAGGCAAAGACATCTTTGTAGTTCCATATGGCCTTACCTTCCTATTTTCCCATTTGAAGTC